AATGTTCTGAATTGGCGATTCCTATTAAACTGAACGGTACGTAGTGCTTTCTTTGACGCGCACCAAAAACCCGACAAAATTGGGGAATAATGCTAAGGAAGCGCGAAGGTGGGAAATGGTTCCATTTGTGCAACTACGAATGTGATCTGCGGACTAAGTGTGGACCGGGCAAGAGTACAATCATTTATTTATTTATATAGGCTTTATTTGCACAAGGTTTGTCTTAGGTAAACAATTTTAATGCAACGAGGCATTTTCTGCCAATCTATCTCAAGATATATCCAGTATAATAAAAGCATCCAAGACTTTTTCTGTCACCAGTGTGTCGCGGCTTTGAAATGAGGTGAAATATTTGACAGATTTCATTGAGAGGAAGTTAAATTGTTAGGAAAATACAAAGGTTTATGTTTCTTTTTGAAATATAGTTATATTTTATATTAATTAGATTAAAATGAATAAAGTAAACTACGGATATTGCTAAAGGAAACAATTAAAAAGAAAGTAAGCAAAAAAGTATATAAACTAGAAACCATAGCTAGAAACCGACAAGGGTATATATTAGCTTGCTACACATATATTTATTTATGGTATATATCACTATGCGTAACAAATAACTTTTTCACCTCAGTGCTTATGGTGCTTAGCATAGACTTTGAATATAGCAAGGAGGTTGTAAAATATAGTGAGTGCGCTCTTTATACTAGAGAAACGTTCCTAAATCAGCGACCTTTAAATGAATGAAAGGCACCGAGTTAGGTGTTGCATTTCTTTCTAATAAAGTGTCCATGATAAAATATTTTGAGAATATTATTAGTGTATCACGGAAAACGAAATGCGTATTTTTTTCAATATGGAAAGTGCTGAATAGTATTATAATTAAACTCCGCTTAATATTTTGATTACATTATTGCTTCGTTACAGTATCAAACCTTACGGTAACTAGTAGCGGCGTAGCGTTGGTTGACACCCAGGGCAGTTTTCTATGGAGCACCCCCCCAAGTAAAAATAAAAAATGCCATACATGCTAACGGGACTTTATTTTGCTAAAATATTCTAATATTTTATCAAAATTTACTTTCTAGTCATTTTCGATAGATAAAATGGAAAGATTGGTTAGTCGCGCTTGGCTCATTGTGGACCTTAAGTAAGATTTTATTAACTTGAGTTTTGAAAAGCTTCCTTCACATGAAACTTAATAGCAAAAAAATCTTAGACACAGCGCTAGATTTGGAACAGATTCAGAATATCCTAATTTTATGAGATATGCTCCAATGAATTACATTGAACCGCTTCTTGGGAAGAAATGCTGGCAGCTTTCAAGTCGTAAAACCGCCAAAATTATATATACTACAGTAAATTCATCGTACATTTTTGTCAGATTTTGAACTATTATACGAAGATCTTCATCTGGTGACGTTAGCAGAGTGTAAGGCTGATCAACACTAAATGTTACGAGAATATCATCCATTGCTCTGTAGCGATGGTCTAGTTCCTCGTAAAATATGTCAAGACATTCTAAAAGAGCTCTCTGCAGCTCCTCTGGCAATGTTAGTCCAGCATATCGGGTCATTTCTCCTGGTAAACGTTTTAGATATCTCCTCATTTCTCTTCTTCCTTCAATCGAAATGTTCACATTCTCACATTTTTTGTTACGTAGGAAATAGCTTTTTCCACTAGTTGAATACGTTGGCTTTGAAGAAAAATTTTTGGGCTTTAATTTTTATCTCATACTTTTCCAGTACTAATCTAGATTATTATTATATTATTTAGTATTTGCTTTTGTGTCTAACTAACTTCTATTAGGATTTTACACTAAAAGGAAAGACAGCAAAAAAAAAACTGAAGTCACACAAAGCTAGTAAGAGTGTAGATACTACTTCATTTGTATAGACGTTTTCTCTGTTGGTGTTGGGATCATATATATCTTCGTGTGTTTATACTAGTTTTTTTTAATTATTCTGCAGTGGTTTAACAACGTCATGGTGAGCAATTCATTTTGTCTCTGAGAGTGTTTAGACGGATACGCCTACACTTTTTATTAAAGTTTCCCATTGACGTGTGGATGATGAAAAGAACCTGTAAATTCTTTCTACTGTTCCGAAAAAAAGTTAAACTTGAATTAACGCTCCCTAAGTGAGTGCGCTCCACATAGATTTAGCGAATGATTAGCACAAGGCATTTTCTACGTGGTAGAGCCATGCTGCAGCTATATAAGTAGTATAGTTGTAGCACAAATGGGTCGGCTGGACCGGGGAAGGACCACGCACTCACAGAATACCAGCGTAAAATAACAGCTCACCACTGATGTATTTCGTATGGTGAGTGTAGAGAACCGAAGACTTTTTTTACTGGAAAAGAGGCATTCCATCTTAGTCCTCACGGGTGACAACGCACCTGCTTTTTGATTCGCAAACTAGGATAGATGTAGATGTCTATGGGCCACAGCAAGCATTTACCTACCGGTGGACTGTGTGCTCGTTTGTCACCTTATTCTATAAAAAAAATATATATTCATTCATTAAATTTTAAAATCGTGTTGTCATCTATAGCGTAAAATGCACCTCCTAGTTTTTAGGGAAAGAACATTTGTACACGCCCCTAGCTGCCCCAACAAAGCTTGACGGGACTAGAGCCCATGAGTAATACCATCGACGGGCAATAAAAAACGGGGCCCAACGGCCTATGGAGACTTATTACACAATAGATATAAGGCTAGGTAAATAAATAGTACGTACCTGGTTCCGAAGCTCAGACTGCCGCAAGGCTCGGTCAAGCGTTAAGTAGGTGTAGGTGCATGTAAGTGGTGTGTGGTAGTGTTTGTACATGTGACCTGACCTAACTGAGGTGATCGGGCAACGGCCTGGTCCGATGCTGCCCCACAATGTTGTATCACTCCAGCGGACGTCACCAATTGACAACTTCTTTCTTCATTTCACTGTTTCAGTCTATCAACTTTATTGTACACTATTTCAATCTATCAACTCTATTCAACGTTCATCGAAATCAAACACGTGACACCCGACACAAGTAACGAACAGTAGTTCAAAGCTCAATATTCAATGTTCCGGATTCATTTATCACCAAATTACAAACAGGGAACGAACGCGATCTCTTCTCGAGTCACAAAGTTCAGCGTCACAACCAACAAACTAAATTCCTTCGTACGATACTAAATACTACGCCTGCATTAAGACTCAAAATCCGCCTAGCTGACACGCAAACTAACTACATAGTCAACTCACAAAAGGCACTTAACGCGACGGTACAATTAAACATTAACTTTAACCTTAACTTACAAAAACAATTAACCGGGCCACGCCCTCGAAATGGAATTCGAGAATCAAATTCAAGAACGTATGTCCACTCGCCGTGCGTGCAAGGTTCCACGTCACACAAGCAAGTTAAATACTGCAAAATGCATTTCATCATGCAATCACTATACAATTGACGTAATTACTTGCAACGAAATTACTTTAATCAGTCAAATTCAATACAAGCCTCTTGTCCGAAACGTACAACTTAGACAAACTAATTCGAGGCGGTCTACACGAACCAAATTCAATAGCAAATTAAACGCGCACAAATAATCAAATTCTAGACAACAAAACCCAAAAAACTGGTCGCGTGAAATCGATGCAGCGGTCACAAAAAAATACGCTAATCGACAGCACCGCTGTTATCAAGCTACTTCTACGTACTCACGAGGCCGAACGCCGGGAAGTGGCATACCGCAGCCCCCCCCCCCTCGGCGTCGCGCACATCACCTCACACCATCGGGCGATGCGCCCAGTCAAACGGTGATTGGATGGCGTTTCAAATGCCCAAGTTTGGGCCTAAACAACATTCGTGTAACAGAAAAAGAAACTTTTTTATTCAATATAGACTATAAATAATACTTATTGAAAGTCACTCTTTTGTTTAATTACCACTGGTTCAAAAAAATCTCTGTCCTGCGAAGTACCAGCAAGAAACCCAGCGGAACTTTTTTTAAATAACTGCTTAAAATCTTGATGTTATACAAATTAACAACACAACAAATTAGAAATAGCTTGGTAGCGATCACCCCATTTCCAGGGGTTATTATCATCCATAAATTCTTTAATATTATAATAACTCTTTTTATACAAACTTAGTTTAATAAATAGTTTTGAACTTTGAGCAGGTCAAATTTTGTATATTTTCTGGAATTTTGTTTTAGTCTAGCTGTTTCAACACTGGTAATACTTTTAAACTTTTTTACAGCATATGCTGCAGATTGTGCAGAGCTAAGTCTGCTTGCTAATTTTGATATATGGGGGGTCCATCGAAGCTTGGCATCTAATATGATTCCAAGAAAAATAGTGGTATCTACAAGAGTCAGTTTCTCTACATTTAAAATTACATTAGAATTTATTTGTTTGACATTTGGAGTCATTAATTTTATACATTAAAGTGTTTTAGTGGTTGTCTTTTCGTGTTACTTAATAATAAGCTTAATTAAAATACAATATGGAATATACCAACTATGATTAGCGATAAAAAATGTAAGATTATCGTTCTAGCATACGTCTAAAATATTACTTTAAATCAATAACTGTCTAAACGTTGGTAATGTTTTTATTTTGTGTAAACATTTATCAATGTTAGAAGGAGATAAAATACTCCATACAAGATAATAGAAAAATGAGGAACGGTTACAATGTTCCAAGCGCTCACTCCCTATATTATATTATAACCTCCTTGGAATATACTTACGCCAGTATATTCTAAGTCTATGGTGCTTAGTCCTAACTAGAGACATCTGGTGAGTGTAAAATTCTGAGCCCTCATTGTTGACACTTGACATTGACAGCAAATTCAATAACATAGTACAGCTGATTTTATAAACAATGTACCTATTGCGTCCTTTTATTTACTCTAGTTTTTTGTGCAAACAAGAAATGGTTTGGTTGAATTAACAAATTCAAAACAGTACGATAATATTTAGCGTTATTTTAATTATTAAGTTTCTCGATAGTATCATGGCGACTATGATAAAGGAAAAACGGACAGAAGTACGTAGTAATATTAAAAATATGTTTCTTTGTTAGTTTTTAAATGTTATTTTAATAACTTGACATACATCGAAATTGACTATGTATTTTTTAAGGTACAGCATGGTTCAACTATACAACATTTATCTAATTTTCTTTTCTTTGTTAAAAAATAAACAACTAAATCACACAACAACTTTTATGACAGACCTTAAGTTTGTTTTGTAAGGGTTTTCCCAGATTTGCCGTATGTTTGCCCTTGTGCAATTTGTGTATGTAAACTGCTTCCACAATACAGGAGAAAATCAACAGAGTTTTATAATAAAAAATCTTCCAGATCCAGATGATGTCGAAAAGCTCATTTATATTTTTTATATCACACAGACTTTTTGGGTGGCAGCACTCCTTTTTTGACTAAGAGTCCATCGGGATAGGTACCACCCTCTCACCTAATATTGCATTAAAATACAACAGTTCAGTGACTGATGTATTTGGGTCTGTAGGGTTTTGAGATGAAATATATTTAGATGACCATGTAGTGGCAGTGTAAGAATATCCACTACTCAATATCGTCCTATTGGTGTCGTAAGAGGCGACAGAGGGAAATTGAAACAGTAGATAGGCAGCAGCATCTTCCCGATAACAACTAAGAATAATAAAAATCTGTGGTTGAAAACCCGCTCACCAGGCATGTCAACTATTTAAAAATCTACCCTATCAGGCATTCTATGGGAGGCCTATGTATAGCAGTGAACTTTTATAGGCTGTAATGGATGGAATGGGGACTAAAATGTAAAACTACACGGAATTATTTACATGCTGTGTAGTAATTCAGGGGTGACAACACATTTGTAACCATCTTTGTTTGAATTTACTATCAAGTGGACTGCAAGTTTGTTTGTCACTTCTTTTTTAAAATAAATACAATCTTTTCTAGATCTTGTAGTTCAGTCATGAAGTTATGACCAAGTTTAATTTGCATGTTTACTTAAGCATTTAAAGGACCATATATTTGCAGCCACACCATTTAACAATGTATCTAATTTGGACATATGAGAAACCAATGAAATAAGAGGCCACTTTTATGCTACTTATTTTTTTAAACACTACAAGATAAGCCTAGTCATAACAGTGTTATTTTCTAGTAATAAAATTAATTTTTGATTCTAGTCTGAACAAACATTTTAAAATTATTTTATACAATAGCTAAAATAATATACATGATTTTTTAAACAAAATAGAGCAGTTACACTATTACCACTATTGAGATGTTTTCAAACATGTTTTTAATTATAAAACTTGTACATTAAACAATTTGTTACTCATTAATTTATTAATGATATAATTAATTTACAAATGTACAAGATGGAAACAGGAAAACCTAAATCGAAAATGCTATATTTAAAACAGTTTTGTCATGAATAAATGAAATCCATTAATATAAAACTAACTTTACAAAACATCTCATGCACCTGGCAAGTGTTGAAAACAGATAGCCGGTGCATCATGTGTGTATAGTACATAATTAAAAATTTAAAATTTTGTACAGCTGACTTTAATAAAAGTTATTAAGAATAACTCTAAAACTATTGGTCTGATCTTGATCAAATTCATATGGGACCACACGAGAAGTATCAGCTTTCATATAAAAAAAGAACCATCGAAATCTCTTCACCCAGTAAAAAGTTATTAGGTAACACACATAAAAAAACATACATGTCGAATTGAGTACCGTCTCCTTTTTGGAAGACGGCAGAAAAATGAACTTATAGAGTTTGGCATATGTTAAATCTTTTCTGAAAGAATGTTTTGTCAGAAAATATTTAATTTTCTTATTTTGTGTGTATGGCCTTACACCAACTCGAGTTTAACCACTGCAAACAACATAACACTGTTGATAATAATCTTCTTCTTATTGTTAGCAATGGCTAACAAACCACTTAGAAGTGAAAGAAAGCAAAAATCACTCTGATATTTCCTTTATGGTTATCTACAAGAAGAAAATGGAGTATGGTGATAATAATATTTATAAAAAATATAACTCTAATTAAAAAGAATTATGTGCAATGATTTGTAGTTTAAAGTCAAATGTTTTTCATTATTTCAGAAAAAGAAAACGAAAGACAAATCAACACATAAAAGTCATATAAAACACAAATTGGAAGAAGATTTAAAGTTAGCAGAGAAACCAGAATCTACTTTAGAAGATATTGAATGTAATAGTAAGAAAGATACTACAGTTAGTACAAAATATGATACTGAAAGAAACCCAGCTGGTGAGGAAGATTCTAGTTTAGATCTATCAACTTCTCATGATAAATGCATTCAAGACCAACATCAATCAAGGCAAAAGCCGTCAGGAGTAGAAATTAAAGTAGATTCAGATACAGCAAGCTGTACCAAGGAAATTAACAAACAGTATGAAAAAGTTGTAAAAAATGTTAATGAGGTCAATATTGAAAACGTTATCAGCCAAATTGAAACTGCTAAGGAATCAATCAGTAGTGATAATTCTTGTGAAATAGAACATCAAGATGCTGTTCCATCAGCACCCATCTTTGAAGAAGAAACAGCCACATTTGTTAGTTCACATAATGTGGAGCCAGAAATAGTTATTCAGGAAAAATCTAAAGTGGAATGCATGCCTTTAGAAGAGGCTGTTAGAATTTTTGGAGGGAAGGAGATCACTGAAGTGAGAACTATTGGTGAAAAGGAAGAGGCTATTGTGGAAGCTGGACCTATTAGTGGACCAGAACATCCCCTTGTAGATTTATTGTCAACTTTCAGGTATACAATGAAGTATTTTGATTGTTTGTATTTGATTTGATTTAAAAGGAATTTAAATTCCTTTTAAAATAATAATACATGATAATTTTGAGTATACTTCCATTGCTTCTCGGCCTTTTGCTAAGATCAAAGTGGAGTATACTCCAGCACATTAAAGAAATGAAAAAGCTAAATGCGCAGGTTCGAATCCCTAAACACCAGTTTGGGCAAAAACCATTACTGAGTTCTATTTGTCAAGAATTAAAAACACAGTAGCCCTCCCCCCACTCCCCGTGCCTTGGGCAAGCACGTAAAGCCGTTAATCCTGCGCCTGATCTCTGGTCGTGTTGGATTACTGTCCCATTGGACTATGAGAGTGAGGGAATGGCGCGTCCACCTGTGCTTATACAAACACTTGGGCATTATAAACTTGCCCTGCACAGATGACTAGTTGAAACTGGCCTCCGTGGCCGGAATTCGGTCTGGAGGGACATTATTATTATTATTAAAGGTGCAAAACGCAATCACAGTCCACCTATGTTAAGATGTTGTGGTTCACTACATCTATCCTCATATATAAATACATTGTACTCTTTTACCTATTTCTGACACCGAATACTAGTGCTTGCATTTTCTGGTCTGGAGAGTTTAGAGAGCCAGTGTAATGCTACTACTATACTGTACATGCTGAAAGGCATTCCACCTTAGTTTTCAGAGTTGACAATGCATCTGTGGCCATCTTCGTATAAAGTTAGTGGCTGGTTTTCATGAAGTACAGTAGCCACATACCATCAGCTGAACTGTAAGATTGCTTGTCACTTCATAACTTCATACATTAACCCTTTTGCTGTCCAGTGCACTACATATAGGTCATTGCTATTGTCTTATCTTCTGTTTTATTGTCTGAAAACCGGACAGTGTTAGTGTTATGTGGCTATTTTATGCTTGTATTTCGTGAGTATCGAAGCATAAAATAGCCTATCAAGTATTTTTTATTATAAAATAACCTATCCTGATAAAGCCGACCCATTCATTTTGCAGTCTGACTACCATGTAAAGTACACACATTTTGATATCGTAACTTTTCTACAGCTGACTGTGTTGATCGCGATTCAGTCTGGAGGACATTATTATTATTAGAAGGCTTACGCAGGGTTATTTTGCAATATCCAAATTTGTAGAGAAAGGTTCAGAATAAGTATTATAGGCAAATAGTGAAGTAAAATTAATTAAAAAAATCTCATATATTCTCCTTTCTATCTTTTAAATTCAAAATGCGTGGTAATGCATTATTTTAACTGATTTTACTGTGCACGCACACATTCGTAAGGGTCGATTTGTAGACAAAAACGTTGACTATTTGAAAAATAACCCTGTATGTAGTAATGATTTCTTTTCCATAAAATTGCCATATAATGTTGGCGTATGAGAATTCATTATCCCATATAATCCCGTGAGTGTCATAAGAGGCGACAGAGGGAAACTGAGAATTGAGATGGGTAGCAGCATCTTCTTGTTTTGAGCTCAAATAATAAAAAATGCGGAGAGAAGGAAGAAACAAGTAAATTTTTTTTTTACTTATATAAATTATTTAATCTGTAAACTTGTGCAGATCATCCTTGAATGCTGTTGACCGTAGCAGGACTACAATAAGCAAAGGGTTTATCGAAGAAGAAAAATCTAGATCGTTATTATGGAAAGTAGAGAAACGCAAAGTGTATCTATCAGAAAAATGTCCCTGTGGTAATACAGTCAGCTTGCAGGCTACTTATGATCATGCTGAGCTGCTGAAGGAGAAGTTACCAGCTGCTCGCATGCGATTAGAGGCCTTGTCTCGTGAGGTGCAAGACTCCTATTGCCATCACCAACACACGGCCCTGTTAGCATATTGGCAGGTTGGTAACTGTAAGGTCATCGATGACTAATAAAAAAGTAGATACACAATTAGTGACAAAAAATGTCCTTACCAAAGTAGCGCCCACCCGAACATTTGGGTGCGCTTTTAATTTGTACGTAGCTTTGTGAATACAACTAGGTTAATATTTATTTCAACTAGAATTACGTCAAAACAATTGGCGACAGTTTTTAGAGAACTTTTGCATAAGATTGTGTATCTAGTTTTTTTTATTAGTGATCAATGTGTAAGGTTTATCTTTTTAATCCTTGGAAATGGATTAAGGCGGTTTTTCACCAGTAGTAATGTGCACTCTTTACTAAGGTAAAGGTAAGGGCAATCTCTGGAATAAGCTAAAAAGCGATGCAAAATTACAATCACAGCATTGTTAATGCAACATTCACACTTTCAACTGACTTCAAATGATTTAAAATTAAAAATTTTGTACAGCCGACTTCAATATAAGTTATTAAGAATAACTCAAAAACTATTGGTCTGACCTTGATCAAATTCATATGGGACCACACGAGAAGTATCAGTTTTCAAATCATCGAAATCGGTTCACCCAGTACAAAGTTATGAGGTAACACACATAAAAAAAACACAGTCGAATTGAGTACCGTCTCCTTTTTAGAAGTCGGCAGGAAAGGAGGAGGTTCTCAATTTGACTATTATTTTTAATGCGTGTTACCTCAGATTTTTTTTATAGGTGAACCGATATTGATTTTTGCTTGAAAGCTGGTGCTTCTCATGTGATGAAAATTTGAGCAAGATCTGACCAGTAGTTTTTGGGTTATCCTTAATAATGCGCATTTAATTGACTTCGACTTCGAAACAATGGTTTATTTTGTAAAACTAAAATAGATGGTACAAATTCATGTTGTATTCTGAATTTAATGCTCGGTGGACTAACTGCTTTATCAAACTGTTTTGCTTACAGTGTAGGCTATAACAAATAAACTAAACGTTTTTCTACCGACTTCAAGATCTAGCCGGTACTCGATTCGACTGTATGTTTTTTTCTTATGTGTGTTACTTCATAACTTTTTACTGGGTGAACCGATTTCGATGATTATTTTTTTATTTGAAAGCTGGTGCTTCACATGTGGTCTCATATGAATCAAGGTCTCACCAATAGTTTTTTCAGTTATAATTTATATTGAAGTCGACTGTACAATATTTTTAATTTTAAATTATGTAAAACTAAAATAATTGGTACAAATTCATGTTGTATTCTGAATTTAATGCTCGGCGGAATAACTGCTTTATCAAACTGTTTTGCTTACAGTGTAGGCTATAACAAATAGAATAAACGTTTTTTAAAATGTCTTTTTAGATAGAAGAGTTGGTGTACGAAACGATTCGTAGCAATAAGGGAGAAATTCGTGAAGCACTATCGCTTATCCTGCAAGCGCTACGGTTGAGCGACAGTACTTCGGAAGCTTATTCGAGCGCACTACAACGCTGGGCGGTCGCGTTGTCTGCGTCGCTCCTTCACGGACAGGATTTAAGACAGCTGATCTTTCTCATTCAGCATCTATTTAGGTATTTATCTCTTCATATTTATACGTGATAGAGCCATGCTGCAACTATGTTATGGTTGTAGCACGAATGGGTCGGTTCGGCCGGGGAAGGACCACGCTCTCACAGAATATCAACGTAAAATAGCAGCTTAACGCTGCTGTGTTTCGTATGGTGAGTGTAGAGAACTGAAGACCCTTTTTACTGGAGACGAGACATTCCATCTTAGTCCTCACAGGTAACAACGCATTTGCATTTTAATTCGTAATCGAAGATTTTTAACAGTGGTAGAGCCACGCGGCAGCTTTTGCTGTCGCACGGATGGGCCGGCTCGAACGGGGTTGGTACCACGACCTCACAGAATACCAGCGTGAAGTAGAGGTTTACCTCTGCGTTTCGCTTGGTGAGTGCAGGTGGCCGGAGGCCCTTTTTACTGGAAATGAGGCATTCCATCTTAGTCCTCACGGGTGACAACGCATCTGCATTTTGATTCGCAAACGAGGATAGAAGTAGATGTCTACGGGCCGCAGCAACCACTTACCATCAGGTGGACTGTGTGCCCGTTTGTTACCCTTATCCAATAAAAAAAAATCACAATTCGAATGATTTAATATTTTTCAATTCTCATTTCTGGGGAGTCCTATGTCAGCAATGTATTGTAAATTATAAATGTAATTTTAATGGCATGTATAATGCAACACAATTTAAAAGGCATTTAATAAAATTTGTAGAAAAATCTCTTACTGGATCTTTAGATGTTCTAGAATAGAATTACTTATAATTATTTAAACAGGATTTTTTTCCTCAGACAAACGCGTTCCGTACGTTGGGCGGCGCAAGTGATACGCGTACAAGTGACCGACCTCTGCTCAGCGGCGCGGATCATAGCCTTACTCGAACTGATACTGGCTAGGCCAGGCCTGGAGACTGCTGTAGAGTGTACTGAAGGTAAGGTTGTATGTAGCAGGACTTTTGCGTCTAGAAACTCGGGTTGGTGTCACTCTCTTACCAATTTTTGCCATTTGACAGTAGTACACTCACTGTTGTGAAGTGGAAGTCATGTAGGATATATTAACACTTTGACAGCCGATCACAACCCTGGGTCGTGACGTTCAGGTTTGCTCCGTACGCCGATCAGGACTCCGAATTCCTTGATTTTATTCTAAAAATTAAAAGAATTTTGGGGTTGGCGGTTATTGGATTGGGTAGCTACATTCTTTAGCTACACACACATAGGACTAATTTACGTAACGAGTTGCGATGAGGTGTAAAAGGAGGGATTGCAAGGATTGCGTCGAGGCGTCCGGCGCGCAATCGCGGACACGCAAAACGACCAGCACGTGTCATATTATTCCTTTCACGGGAAGTCCATGAAATGGTAGAAGAAGATGTTACTGTCCAGCATGCAATATTCCACTCTGCCAGTATCCTTGCTTTGAAAAGTATCATACTAAAAAAGATTTCACGGTGTGGGATTGAAAAAAAAACCACGTAATCGCGGACTTATATTTATGTAAGAGTTTTTTTCACTGTTGTGAAGCGGAAGTCATGTAGGAAATATTAAATGCAGGTGGCTCAGAACTTTGTTTTGTGGCATTCCTTGAAGGAGGCCTATGTTGCCAAGTGGTAAGTAAAAAATTACTTTCAATAAGTATTATGTCGTAATCTATATTGAATAAAAATTATCCTATTCTATTCACCAATGGACTTATGATTATAGAATATGGGTGACGAACGAGCACACAGTCCACCTGATGGTAAGTGAATGCTGTAGCCCATAGACACCTACATCTATCCTAGATTAAGAATCAAAGTTCAATCCTGAGGACTATAATAAAATGCATCGTTACTAGTAAAAAAGGGGTCCGGTTATCCACACACACCATACGAAACTCAGCAGCATTAAGCTGCCATTTCCCGCTGGTTTTTTGTGACAGCGTGGTCCTTCCCCGGACGAGCCGGCCCAGGCCTATGTTCAACAGTAGACTTTTGATAGACAGGCTGTAATTAATTAAAATATGTATGAACAGATTTGGAGGAGGTATGGGAGGAGGTGGATAGGCGCGGGGAGGGGAGTGCGGTGCGGGAGGGCCGGCTGCGGGAACGGGACGCGCTCGCCTTGCTCAGGACCTTGCCTTTACGCCAGCTGTTGGCGAAGCTGATGCTATTCGCCAGATCCGTGAGTCGTACTGATTTAATTCATCATCTACTCAATATATCATTGGGGAAATGCCTCTTATATTTAAATACAGCTAGAATATTAAAACTCCTTTGTGACAAAATTTCAGTATTTAGTCCGGCCTCATACTTTCGGAATTCCAGGACAAATCGGTCACATACATTCGATATACCGTTTTCCCCGCAAAATTCCGAACGGAAAACTACTGTACGTGTGTGATAAGTCCTTGATTTTATATGGATTTGCTGCGTTCGGAATCCCGGATCGGAATCCCGAACGACATATTTATAGGAAAATTGCTTCTTTCTTACATATTATAATCATAACACAAAACCATCGAAGATGCACTTCGCTAACTAACGGATGAGGCCTTGACGATGAATTCTGTGAGAGCGTGGACCTTTCCCGGTCGAGCCGACCCATTCGTGCTACAACTATACCAGTAATATAGTTGCAGCACGGCTGTACCAAGTACGAAAAATATAACACATCGCAGCTTTACTAATAAATAATCAGCTTTATAGATGTCGCTCATCTCTGTTGCAAAAACAGTTAAAAGTCCGGTGTGTATCAATGTGGGCATCCACGATTTTTTGTGGCACCAGGGCGGCGCCACTGAAAAGTGAGGTATAATATTTCACAGATTTTATAGCGGGGAAGTTGATTTGATCGGAAAATGTAAAAGTTATTGTTGCTCTCTGTACTATTAGCTATATTTTAAATTAATAACATTAAAAATAAACAAACCAAACCACAGATATTCATAAAAGTAGAAAAATAAAAAAAAGTTAAAAATGTGCAAAAAATTAAAGAGCAAACCATTGCTTTTTTACGCATTGTTTTCTGTATTAATATAATACTCTAGAAACTGATAAACTTTTACTAAAAAACAACTCTATTAAATTATATTGTGTAACAAAAAACTTTACCTCAGTGTTAACTGGCGACATCTGGTGAGCAGAAAATTATTAGCCCTCATTAAGTTTTGTTTTGTAGTTGAACCGTTTTAAAATAAAAATAAAACATTTATATGAAAATATTTACTATTTTATTTTAACTTATTATAATTTTATTTTAATTAGATACCATAGAAAAAAATTGGGGGGTATTTATCATTTATTTTGGGTGTTAATAGGTGACACAACGCAAAACTAGGCACAAGAGAGAACGGTGAGCTGAAGGTAAGGAAATTTGGCCGACTTCATGGAAAAAGAGAGACTCTTTATGATGAAATCTTTCATCCAGAAGCGGCCCCACAGGAAGTGCACCTGGACACGCCCCGACGGTTCGACAAAAAATGAGACTGACTTCATAATGACGACCAGACTACAACTGTTCAGTGACGTCTCAGCGATCGCGAAGGTGAAAACTGGTAGCGATTACCGAATGGTTAGAGATACACTAAACCTAAACGTTAAGTTAGAAAGGTCTCGTCTAATGAAGTCAACGCATCGACCCCCGTCGTGCTTTAATCCAAAACCCCAAAAACTTTTAGCTCGAGCGGCAAAACCGTTACAGTACGTTTTGAAAGTTCAGTACTTAGAAGATTGCAATGCAGTAGACGATATGAATGACAAGCTCGTGGAAACTGTCCATGCGGTCGGAGCTAAGTTCTGCAAGACCCGCCGCAGAAAAACACAAAACTCTCCGATCACACTCTTAATCTCATGGCTGTTGACGTGGAATGAAACTGCAGTCTTCAGCAGATTTGACAGCGTACAGACAACTGAACACAGATCTCCAAATGCATGCGACGGGACTTACTTTAATACAGCTCTTATTGAAAAAGCGATCGAGCGGACCCAGGGCTCCAAAGTCTTTGCTAGAGATCTGTCTGCCAGAAAGAGCCAACTGTCGAAGCTGAAGACTAAGTGTGGCAGGTCACCTGAGATTGAGAGGTTCTATAGGCAGCTGTACAACATCATCGTTGGAGCCACACGCAAGTGTGAGTAATGATTCAAGAGCAAGTCTTATCCGACACTATTCCGATGATATTCCGGACGTCAGTCTGAGCGAGATTAGAATGGCTCTCCAGCATCTTAAAAACGGCAAGGCCCCAGGCGAGGATGGAATAACAGCGGAGCTTCTGAAAGCGGGTGGAAAACCGGTACTTGAAGTCCTTCAGAAACTCTTTAATTCCGTCCTCCATGGTGGCACTACTCCGGAGGCGTGGAGCAGAAGTGTGGTGGTCTTGTTTTTCAAGAAAGGCGACAATGCTCTCTTGAAAAACTACAGACCGACTTCCCTTCCATAGGAATCGCTGTTCTTTTGCGAGGATTTGTGGTCTATCAAATATAATGAAATGGCGGGGACGATCTAGAACATGTTCACATACTGTAGACTTCCCGGAACGTCGATGCTTCAAGTCAGCTATATGTTCTTTCACGCGGGTTTTAATAGACCTTATTGTTTGTCCTATGTAAGAGAGACCACATTCACAATCCAGCTTGTACACTCCTGCATCTTGTAGAGGTATATGACACTTGACGAATGGTAAAAATTGACTAATCTTCTTCGACGGCTTGAAGTATGTTTTAATGGAAGCTCGCTTCAAGATGTAGCTAACCTTATCTGTGACTCCTCTGACATAGGGTAGTACAGCAGGCACACGCACGACTGTGGCCGGCTTCACTCGGTCACTGTTACGTAGGCGCGGGACCCGAAGCTTGTTGTCTTGCAATACTTGCTCGACGTGTTGAAGCTCGGCGGCCAGATGCTTTCTGTCACAGATCCCTCGTGCTGTCTGAAACAAAGATTTTCCCACGGTAGCTAACTGTGATGGAAGATGGTGCGATTCACCATTTAAATATTTGTTAGTATTGGTCTTTTTCCTATACACAGTGTGACCAAACCTCAGTCAAACACCTCAGTCGCCCCCGTGACCATGGGTGCTGTAAAGCACTCGAAACGTTGGGAATTAAAAAGTTAAATTAAACGCGATAAAATCCGTAAAAATTTGTTTCATTTAATATAGCTCGATAGTTAGACGGTTTCTATCCTTGGATGTCTAACTTCGCCGATGGCTTAGGATTCTTCGCCACGGTGGATAATAGCTAAAATAATAATATTATTTATATAAAATGTATTTATATTGCATGCCTTAAGCGCGAAGCGCGCAGGTATGTTCTGCTAGGGCCTAAAATTAAGATTCCAACGTTTTGTCGCATGAAATCGTATCTAGCAATCATATTATACATATAAATGATATAAAAAGCACATTGTCAGAAAGATAAATGATTATTGAACTTATTAATTTTTTTTTATATCAACTAATTGCTATTTTTTCATAAAAAAGGCGGCGTAAACACGATAACTTTTGAAAATATCAATTGTTCAACTCAATATATTTTTTGAAACTCTTCTCTCTATCATGTGGGAAGCTATTGAATGTAAATGGCAGATTAATTTTGTTTTGTTTATGTCGAAACACCGACAATTTCGACATAAACAAAACAGCCTTGTATTAATTTATTTTATTAAATAGACTGCCTCATTCATTTCGGCGTTAACCGCCGTCGTAAATGCATATTCGGCTCAAAAAATCGTTGTACAAACACAAAATATTCGAAAAACCAAATTTCATACATTCTTGATTATTATAATAATTAGAGATTTATATTACAATATTTTAAAAGCACAGAATAAATAATAGTAGTACGTACTAAAAGTAAGTAGGATGTAGGTATATATTTATACTTAAATTAAATACGTCTTGGACTTTATGGAGTGACCTGAATGATGATATGATGATCATATGAGCATTATGAGTCGTGCATTTTTGGATTTTCCAAACTTTTTTAAAATTGAAGTTTGATATAAAATTATCGGAAAATTGGAAGTATAATAAGTTTATTAGTGAAAATTTGTGTGTATGTAAACTACTTTAAAAAAATTCGTATAATCATGTTATACGTAATTTTTTAATGCGCTTACGGCATGCACAATTGGATTTACCAATAGTTTGTTAGTTTATTATAATATTGTGACATTAGCGCCTAAATACACAAACACTACTCAATTTTAAGACTTCGTAAGTCTTGTGCTGTCTCTATCACCTCGAAGTGACTGTGACACCAAGAGACTTAATTACATTTTAAAATTGAGTAGCGTTTAAGTATTTGGTCATATATGTGATAATAAATAATAATAGGATATAAGAAGTAGTCAAGAGCAGGAGTGGGGTGACTCATCGGGCGGGCACGGGGTGATAAAGGCGGCGTGCGGGGTGCGCGCGCTGCTGCATGTGGTGCGGCGCGCCACGACTGCGCACGCGCAGTACGCGCGGCTGCAGCGCGCGCTGCGGGCGCTCGCGGCCAACGCGCTGCGGGCACTCGCTGCGCTGCACCTGCACTCCAGGTATCACTTGACACATCGCGCTGCTGCATGTGGTGCGGCGCGCCACGACTGCGCACGCGCAGTACGCGCGGCTGCAGCGCGCGCTGCGGGCGCTCGCGGCCAACGCGCTGCGGGCACTCGCTGCGCTGCACCTGCACTCCAGGTATCACTTGACACATCGCGCTGCTGCATGTGGTGCGGCGCGCCACGACTGCGCACGCGCAGTACGCGCGGCTGCAGCGCGCGCTGCGGGCGCTCGCGGCCAACGCGCTGCGGGCACTCGCTGCGCTGCACCTGCACTCCAGGTATCACTTGACACATCGCGCTGCTGCATGTGGTGCGGCGCGCCACGACTGCGCACGCGCAGTACGCGCGGCTGCAGCGCGCGCTGCGGGCGCTCGCGGCCAACGCGCTGCGGGCACTCGCTGCGCTGCACCTGCACTCCAGGTATCACTTGACACATCGCGCTGCTGCATGTGGTGCGGCGCGCCACGACTGCGCACGCGCAGTACGCGCGGCTGCAGCGCGCGCTGCGGGCGCTCGCGGCCAACGCGCTGCGGGCACTCGCTGCGCTGCACCTGCACTCCAGGTATCACTTGACACATCGCGCTGCTGCATGTGGTGCGGCGCGCCACGACTGCGCACGCGCAGTACGCGCGGCTGCAGCGCGCGCTGCGGGCGCTCGCGGCCAACGCGCTGCGGGCACTCGCTGCGCTGCACCTGCACTCCAGGTATCACTTGACACATCGCGCTGCTGCATGTGGTGCGGCGCGCCACGACTGCGCACGCGCAGTACGCGCGGCTGCAGCGCGCGCTGCGGGCGCTCGCGGCCAACGCGCTGCGGGCACTCGCTGCGCTGCACCTGCACTCCAGGTATCACTTGACACATCGCGCTGCTGCATGTGGTGCGGCGCGCCACGACTGCGCACGCGCAGTACGCGCGGCTGCAGCGCGCGCTGCGGGCGCTCGCGGCCAACGCGCTGCGGGCACTCGCTGCGCTGCACCTGCACTCCAGGTATCACTTGACACATCGCGCTGCTGCATGTGGTGCGGCGCGCCACGACTGCGCACGCGCAGTACGCGCGGCTGCAGCGCGCGCTGCGGGCGCTCGCGGCCAACGCGCTGCGGGCACTCGCTGCGCTGCACCTGCACTCCAGGTATCACTTGACACATCGCGCTGCTGCATGTGGTGCGGCGCGCCACGACTGCGCACGCGCAGTACGCGCGGCTGCAGCGCGCGCTGCGGGCGCTCGCGGCCAACGCGCTGCGGGCACTCGCTGCGCTGCACCTGCACTCCAGGTATCACTTGACACATCGCGCTGCTGCATGTGGTGCGGCGCGCCACGACTGCGCACGCGCAGTACGCGCGGCTGCAGCGCGCGCTGCGGGCGCTCGCGGCCAACGCGCTGCGGGCACTCGCTGCGCTGCACCTGCACTCCAGGTATCACTTGACACATCGCGCTGCTGCATGTGGTGCGGCGCGCCACGACTGCGCACGCGCAGTACGCGCGGCTGCAGCGCGCGCTGCGGGCGCTCGCGGCCAACGCGCTGCGGGCACTCGCTGCGCTGCACCTGCACTCCAGGTATCACTTGACACATCGCGCTGCTGCATGTGGTGCGGCGCGCCACGACTGCGCACGCGCAGTACGCGCGGCTGCAGCGCGCGCTGCGGGCGCTCGCGGCCAACGCGCTGCGGGCACTCGCTGCGCTGCACCTGCACTCCAGGTATCACTTGACACATCGCGCTGCTGCATGTGGTGCGGCGCGCCACGACTGCGCACGCGCAGTACGCGCGGCTGCAGCGCGCGCTGCGGGCGCTCGCGGCCAACGCGCTGCGGGCACTCGCTGCGCTGCACCTGCACTCCAGGTATCACTTGACACATCGCGCTGCTGCATGTGGTGCGGCGCGCCACGACTGCGCACGCGCAGTACGCGCGGCTGCAGCGCGCGCTGCGGGCGCTCGCGGCCAACGCGCTGCGGGCACTCGCTGCGCTGCACCTGCACTCCAGGTATCACTTGACACATCGCGCTGCTGCATGTGGTGCGGCGCGCCACGACTGCGCACGCGCAGTACGCGCGGCTGCAGCGCGCGCTGCGGGCGCTCGCGGCCAACGCGCTGCGGGCACTCGCTGCGCTGCACCTGCACTCCAGGTATCACTTGACACATCGCGCTGCTGCATGTGGTGCGGCGCGCCACGACTGCGCACGCGCAGTACGCGCGGCTGCAGCGCGCGCTGCGGGCGCTCGCGGCCAACGCGCTGCGGGCACTCGCTGCGCTGCACCTGCACTCCAGGTATCACTTGACACATCGCGCTGCTGCATGTGGTGCGGCGCGCCACGACTGCGCACGCGCAGTACGCGCGGCTGCAGCGCGCGCTGCGGGCGCTCGCGGCCAACGCGCTGCGGGCACTCGCTGCGCTGCACCTGCACTCCAGGTATCACTTGACACATCGCGCTGCTGCATGTGGTGCGGCGCGCCACGACTGCGCACGCGCAGTACGCGCGGCTGCAGCGCGCGCTGCGGGCGCTCGCGGCCAACGCGCTGCGGGCACTTGCTGCGCTGCACCTGCACTCCAGGTATCACTTGATTCAAAACTTTCGTGCAGGGGCAGTGTAGAATATCTACTACCCCTTGTCGTCCCATGGGTGTCGTAAGAAGCGACAGAGGACAATTAAAACAAAAGATGGAAGCGTGGCAACTATAGAAAATCTAACGTATGAAGAAATTTGTGAGGAAGGCTTATGTTCAGCAATAGTTTTATAGGCTGTAATGATTGGAAAGAGGAATCGACATAAATGTTATTATAATTTTTATTTTTATTGATATTTTAATAATAATATAATTTTTGATGTGAACACGTTTTTAAGTTAGGTTTCATAGCGAGAGGCAATTCAAAAAACTAATGATAATCTTATGTGATAGATCCACACTGCAACTATATTATGGTTGTAGGTTGTAGCACGAATGGGTCGGCTCGACCGGGGAAGGGCCACGCTCTTAGAAAATACCAGCGTAAAATAACAGCTCTAACGGTTGACAGCTGCTTGGAGCTTCTCGGTGAGGATTCTTTTATTATGATGGGTGACGAAAAGTGCAGTTTCATCGGCGAAAATAGCAGTATTCACTACCGGGTCCTTCGGGATGTCACTCGTGAAGATTGTAAAGAGTAGTGGGGAGAGGACGGAGCACTGTGGGACTCCAGCCTTGAGGCGACGCTTTGTAGAGCGAGGACCCTCTATTCGATATCGAAAGTGGCGATTGGCAAGAAAGGTTCTGATTATGTGGGTGAGCATATCAAGCACGTTCAGTTTATACACCTTGTAAAGCAAGCCGTCGTGTCAGACTTTGTCAAACGCTTTTGCAACATTGAATAAGAGGGCTCCAGTTATGGTGGTTCTACGACATCGAACTGTACTTAATTATGTGACGCAGCGAAACGACCTCAACATGGCGGCACTCCCCCTTCCGCCGAACGCGATGCGTCACAGGCCTTATTCAACGTAGCGAATTCTTTGATACTTTAGCTATCAAATGGTGTGACTAATTCTATATGTAGGTGAAAGATGTGTAGCTGCAACACCAAACTGTATCCCCCGATGTTTTTTATAGAATAAGGGTTAACAACGCCACACACTCCACCTGATAAAAAGTGGCTGCTGTGACCTATAGACATCTATATCTATCCTTGATTAAGAATGCGACCCTGAGGACTAAGATGGAATGTCTCGTTTTCCGGTGGTCTACATTCACGAAACACGGCAACATTAAGCTGCTTTTACCCTGGTATTCTGAGAGAGCGTGGTCTTTCCTCGGTTAAGCCGACCCATTAGTACTACAACATTAATATAGCTGCAGCGGTGCACCCGGTATAATAATTACAAGAACGCAAGCAACCCAGGTTTATCCCCTCCCATTTGTGGACATAAGAACTCTGTCAACAAAAACCAGAAATGATACTGTATTCAGCTATGGGACGTATATTAAGCTGTAACGAATTATCTTTTTTTTACTTTCCTAGAATGCACTATTATCAAGATCTTCACGAAAAAGTGCTTGCGGAATTGGAAGCTTGCTTCACAGCTGGCCTGACGTTGCTCGACGCAGCCGACCTGCATAAGTTGCCGGCAACTCTTCTTAGCGGCGACGCCGCTAGGGACTATTGCCTCGGCCTCATGGTGGGGTTACATGGTGAGTATCTCTAAGCAGATATTTTCTTATTCTTTATTAGCAGCGTTTCCTTTTCCTTCTTCAAGCCTTCAACCCACTGTAAGACCTGTGACTGTCCCATTGTAATTTGCCTTAATCACGCTTGGCAGTTGGATTCACAATCGAAGTATTTTGTCTGGAGTTATCGAGATGGCTATTCCGCCATCTATCTTAAGCCGTAATATTTTTCTGGCCTTCCCATAGTCGCTTCTTACGACACTCACGGAAGGAAATGGCGCGATAGATTCTCCAACGTCGCCACTACGCAGCAGGTCAGCTCATTAACATGTTTTTGAACGCTTGTCTCTCTAGTTGCAAAAAGGATTCGCTCAATACAATTGACGATTGCATATACGTGGTAAAGCCATGCTGCAGCTATATTAGTTGTATACTTGTAGTACGAATGGGTCGGCTCGACCGGGGAAGGATCACGCTCTCACAGAATAAGAGCGTAAAACAGCGGCTTACCGCTGCTATGTTTCGTATGGTGAGTGAAGAGAACCGGAGACCGATTTTATTGGAAAAGAGGCATTCCATCTTAGTTCTCACGGGTAATGACGCATCTGCATTTTGATTCTTAATTGAGGATAAATGTAGATGTCTATGGGTCACAGTAACCACTTACCATCAGGTGGACTGTGTGCTCGTTTGTCACCCTATCCTAGAAAAAAAAAACACTAATATTCAGCAAAAAGTGCTCTATTAGATTTTAGTTTTTTTTTTAAATATAGAATAAGGGTGACAAACGAGCACACAGTCCACCTGATAGTAAGTGGATGCTGTGGCCCATATACATCTACATTTATCCCTAATTAAGAATCAAAATGCAGATGCGTTGTCAACCTTGAGTACTAAGATGGAATGCGTTGTTTCTAGAAAAAGTGCTTCTACGCTGGTATTCTGTGAGGGCGTGGTCCTTCCTAGGTCGAGCCGACCCATTCGTGCGACAACCATAATACCAAATACGTGTTATAGCTAATGGGACGAGATGGTGTGCTAACATCTCCTATATCGGCACTATGTGGCGAAACTAACAATAATGTTCCAAACAAGACAAACATATTGTACTAAAATAAGTCAAAAACCCAATTTGACGTAAACTGCCGTGGAGTGCGGCGTAAGAGAATCCACTACGCCATATCATCTCGTAGGTACCATAGGAGGTGACAGAGGGTAATGGAATAGGATTTGGGCAGTGGCATCTTTCTGCTAACAACTAATAATAATAATAATAATAATTAAAATTTAAAAATTTTGTACAACCGACTTCAATATAAATTATTAAGAATAACTCAAAAACTATTGGTCAGACCTTGACCTTGATTTATATGGGACCACATGTGAAGCACCAGCTTTCAATTAAAAAAAGAATCGGAAATCGGTCCACCCAGTAAAAAGTTATGAGGTAACACACATTAAAAAAAACATACAGTCGAATTGAGTACCGTCTCATTTCTGAAGTCGGTAAAAATAATTGCTGTTTCTAACCTACCTACTAAGCGTGCAATTGGGAAAAAGTTTCTCGAGTGACAGCCTCGTACCAGTAGGCTAGGTGTAGGGTGACCCCCTAAATGTAGTGATGACTTGGTGAGGCATGCAGAAAGTCGATAGATGCAGGTGGCTCAGGACCGTGGTTTGTGGCATCCCTTGGGAGAGGCCTATGTTCAGCAGTGGACATCTGAAGGGCTGTAGAAGGGCTGTAATGATGATGATGATGACACCAAGCGTGCTAACTATGGCAAATATGAGACAATCTATAGGAGATACAAATATTCAGCTAAGGGTTTTTTTTTATTTGACAGGCATACATTTGGAATAAACGAATGATTTGAATCTCCTGTTCTTTCTAGACAAAAGACCACATCACATTGGTTCGTTACGCGCTGAACTTCCTGCGTTGGACTGCGACACGTGCGTCCGCATACTCGTACAAGCTGCGCTCGATCGTACGGACGATCGCGAACTAGCGCGGATACTACTCGACTTCTTGTGTCAGGTGTGATTTTTTTATAAAACTAGCTGTTCCCCGCGACTTCGCCCGCATGTAATTTAGGGTTTTAATTTTTTTTGCGAGGAACCCTAATTTATTTTTAAAATATAAGTAGCCTAAGTTACTCCTTATGACATCAGCTATCTGCCAGTGAATGTCCCGTCAAAATCGGTCCAGCCGTTTCGGAGATTAGCCGAAACAAACAGACAGTCAGACAGACAAAAATTTTAAAATGTGTATTTTTGTTATAAGTACCGTTTATACTTTCGTATGCATTTAGTAAAACGCTGTAATTTTGACATTAAAATAATAAAAATAAAATAAAATTTACATCTACCCTGCCATAGTTGCCACGCCTGGCAAGCGGGTTAGCTACCGCAGATTGTAGTTTTTATTCAGCTGTTATCAGGAAGGTCTTGATGTACATTTTCCGATTCGTTTCCCTCTGTTGTCTCTTACCACACGCATGGGAAGATATGGATATTCTTACACTGCCCCTACACGATTATCTAGACGGTAATCTTTCTCTTAATTTATTTAATAAGATTTATTAAAAATAATTGTCGAAATTTAATCAAACGTGATATTATAATGGCCGTCAAGCTGATTTCGCAACAGTGACGTTTAAATATTAACTATGTTAAAATTAACTAGCTGAGATCCGTTCGAGAAAATGTTGTTTCTTGTCTAACTAAGAGGTTAGCCTTCGCAGAAGCTATTTTTCTTGATGATGCCTCGTCAAGGGAGAGATACGAGTTATATTATCGACGATGGTGCCATAATATTACTCTTTTTTCACCTATAATGAAAGGACGCAACGTGGTAGAGCCATGCTGCAGCTATATTAGTAGTATAGTTGTAGCATGAATGGGTCGGCTCGACCGGGGAAGGACCACGCTCTCATAAAACACCAGCGTAAAATGTCAGCTTGACACTGCTGTGTTTCGTATGGTGAGTGTAGAGAACCGGAGCCCATTTTACTGGAAAAGAGGCATTCCATCTTAGTCCTCATGGGTGACGACGCATGTGCATTTTGATTCTTTATTGAGGATAAATGTAGATGTCTATTGGCCGCAGCAACCACTTAACCTCAAGTGGACTGTGTGCTCGTTTGTCACACTATCCTATAAAATAAAACCGGCCAAGTGCAAGTCAGACTCGCGCACCGAGGGTTCCGAACAAATCCGTATCCGACAAACAAAATTTTAATTAAAAAAAAAAATTTTCCTTTTTCTCAGGAACGCGTGGAGGTAATACCTAATACGACAAAAAAGGGTCTTGACAGACAGACAGACAGACGGACGGACAAGAAAGTGATCCTATAAGGGTTCCGTTTTTTCGTTTTGAGGTACGGAACCCTAAAAAAGAAAATGGATGGGAAACAGAGGAAATAACGCAACACAACCATATCCGACAATCAAATTTTTTTTTGAAGTCATGGATCTCAAAATACGAACACAGGATCCGCGACTTAGTTATCTGGTATTCGTTAGGCCGTCACAAATTTTATATGACGATAAAATCAACTTTTGTTTTTTATTCATGAATTATCAAGTCCACGTACAAATCCGTTTTTTCTTTTTGTTTTCTAAGTACTATAAATTTTTCCTCGCCTGTTTTGGTCACTGCTGAGCAAAGGTTTCTCTCACAACCTTCCAATATTTTCTGTCTTTGTTGATATTTGCCAAACTTTATCGACAGCGTTGAGATTGTCACGCCATCTATTTCTTGATCGCCCATCTTTCAGAGTGCAACCGTCTTACGTAAAGGTGTGTAAGTCCAACCAGTCCAAAGACATTAAGGACCAATGAATAGAAAGAATAGTTTTTATTCAACGTAGATTACAGGAAAGCTTATTGAAAGTCATTTATGGTTTTACCACAATGTTTTTTATTCAGACTGCCATGAAACCTAAGCCGGCAGCTTGTAAGAACTCTTGCGAGTTGAAGGCTCGCGAAGGTCTGCCGCAACTATTGGCTGTACACCCGTACCTTCACACCACCAGCTTCCATATGTTGGCAGATTTGAACCAAGGTGCGTAACACTGTTTGATACAGTTTTTTAAAATGTGAAAAATAATGTCAAATATATTATATTCAATTAATGTAAACGGGATACAATCCGTTAAATGAGTGTTTCATATAAAATCAAATGCATATATTAAAATAAGTTTTAATCAGTAAGAGCGCTTTTAAAAATATAGTCTTTTTTTCATATGTCATATCATTTGATATCCAAAATAAACAGTAATTAAGTAATGTACAGCCTCGTTTGGATATCTCTTTAACGTAAGTGCTTTCGACGTTTATGATATTGTTAAAGCGTATGCATTATGTATACATTTCATTACTTTCCCGTTTTACATTCAGATTTCTGTAATTGCACAAAATATACTATGTGCCGGAAGGATTACCTTAAACATGGAGGTATTATTTTCATATCTGTATCTGTGTTTTCTTTATAAGCCTGTGACGGTCTACAGCTGGACGATCCACGTTTGGCAGGTGAATCGGTGATTGCAGATAGATAGCAGATCTTAGATTCACTCATTTTGGTGTACAGAAAAACAATTGAAAAATGGCGGGAAAGTGTTTTTTACTTTTTATTTTTCTATTTCTTAAATTCCTATATGTATTGATATGAAAATTAGCCAGATACAAACAGTACAACCAAAGAGATTTTTTTTTCAATTGTATACAAACAAAATACGAAGAAATTTTTTTCCAGACCTATTATAAGTTTTTAGTTTCATAAATATTTACGTTGAATTGAATTCAAACCTGTGACTTACGACTTATTGACGTGACAATAAATTAATAGAACATCTATCCCCAGCGGAACCAGTAGACCCGGCGTCAGTTAGCTATCTGTCAGTGGAAGAGTGGCGTCCAAACTCTCACGAGGTGTTGACAGTTCTGGAGGACTGGTCTCAACGGTGCCCACAATTTATTGAGCATTTGTTGCTACAATTGGATTACACCCCATATGAGTAAGCATGAAAAATCTTCTAGGACAACAATCTATTTAAATCTATCTAATTTAGGTGCATCCGGAGTAAGTGATGTCATGTTAGATGGTCGTATGGCACATACATAGAACGTAACTTTATAGTTTATACGCTGTTTAATTGGCATTAATCAGCCTTGATTATCATGAATTCGTTTATTTAACACAAAAATACTAATATTAAAACTTGGTTTTCCATAGTATTATTAAGTATTAGCCCCAATAGATAGAGTAACGAACTGGTAAGAGATGCAGGAAGCGGCATTAATTTAGAAAGGCCTATTGCATGCCTTAAGCGCAAAGAGCGTAGGTATGTTCCACTAGCGTCTAAAAATCAAGATTCTAACGTTTTGTCGCATAGTTTTTTTTTATAGGAGAGGGGGCAAACGAGCATGCGGCTCACCTGATGGTAAGTGACTACCGCCGCCCATGAACAACTGCAACACCAGGGAGGGAATTGCAGATGCGTTGCCGGCCTTTTAAAAAGGAGTACGCTCTTTTCTTGAAGGTCCCTAAGTCGTATCGGTCCGGAAAAATCGCTGATGGTAATCGATTCCACAAGGAAGTCGTGCGAGGAAGAAAACATCTTCTAAATCGCACAGTGGTGGACCGCCAATCATCCAGATGGTGTGGATGGTATCGGGAGTTCTGCCGCGATGCGCGTTCGTGAAATTTGGCGGCTGGGATTAATCCGAACAATTCCTCAGAGCACTCCCCATGGTAGATGCGAAAGAAAATGCAAAGGGATGCAACATCTCTTCGCGGTGCCAATGAATCGAGCCGATCGGAAAGGGCTCGGTCGTCGACAATTCGAGCCGCTCTGCGCTGGATGCGGTCAAGTGGAAGGAGCTGGCACTGGGGAGCCCCTGCCCAGAGACGGGAACCGTATTCCATGTGAGGCCGAACCTGCGCCTTGTAAAGTTGCAGGCGGTGTGCCGGCATGAAATACTGTCCCGCTCTGCTGACCACGCCAAGCTTTTTAGAGGCCAATTTGGCGTTCTCTTCCAAGTGACCACGAAACTGCACGTCACTCGATATGTCGACTCCGAGGATACCGATACTGGCTGAGGCAAGAAGGGGAGTACCTTGAAACTGAGGAGATACGACAAAGGGGTTCTTTTTAGCAGTAAACGCGCAAACTATCTGTAAAAAAATAATATCTATAAACTATATAAAAAATCGTATCTAACAATCATATTGAACATAGAAATTATAGAAAAAGCACATTGTCAGAAAGATAAATGATTGTTGAACTTATAATTTTTTTAAAAGTGATTAATTGCTATTTTTACATGAAAAGTGGTTTTAGTGGCCTATGTTGTAGATTTATCAATTCCGCATGGCGGCGTAAACACGATAACTTTTGAAAATATCAATTGTTTAACTCTTCATCTATTATGTAGGAAGCCATGGAATGTAAATGGCAGTTTACTTTTCTTTTATTTACTTATAATAATTTTTTTCTGCTGAGAAATGCCGAAATTTTAGGTGTTTTGAGCAGCCTTGTAATAATTTATTTGGAATTAATTGGAAGTAAAGACTAGAAATGAGTTGGGTGTGACTCGAACTTTAGGCATAGCCAGTTTGAATAGCCTCTCATGTAGAGGATGTCATGGGGTCATGGTTGAATAGGGGCAAAAAGTTCTCATTACACTCCTATGGGGTCAAAGTGGCCAAAAACCAAAAAATTGTGGGATGGCTCGAACTTTCGGCATTGTCAGTTTGAATATCCTATCATTTAAAGGATGTCATGGTGGTCATGGTTGAATAAGGGCAAAAAGTTCTCATTACACTCCTAGGGAGTTCTTACACAGTCTTTACTTACCGCATCCCACTTGTTTACTAAATACACTTTGCCTCACAGCTTACTCGCACTTCGGGCTCGGCCGCCATCGTGAGTGGATTACTGTATCATTTGCTTACAGCTTCGGAACAAATACAAAGAGGAGAGGGCCTAAGCAACTGTGCACTGTGATTCTACTTAGGTCCTGACGTCATCACAGTGGGCGTGGCATTAGTTATTATACTGTTAGCGTTCGTCCTGTGTGCTTATTTGTCGACAATCGCAATCGGTGTATTTTCGTAGTATTAAAAAGAAAACCATGAAGTGTTGTGTGCACCCCGCAAATTGTCACGCGTTGTTGCATAGTGAAATCTAATTACAACACCTCCTCATTGTATTTGCTCCGTGGCTTACAGCAGTGGTATAGGCAGCAAAAATATCGATCGCTGTAGAAATACAAAATATTCTAGAAACCAAATTTAATACAAGTATGTATCAAATTTGGTTTTGATCAAGATTATTATTTTTATAATCACAGATTTTTATTACAATATTTTGTTTCGCTAAAAGTACGTAGGATTTATAGAGTGGCCTGATGGTGCACTTCGGTCAATGCTACTGGAACTCCTCGACCAGTAGTACTAGGTGTGCCGAGTTTGGCCTCGTTTTGTTAGTTATGATGAGACCTTACCTCCGGACAGTGGTGGATTATCCTTAAGACAAACTAGGCACGTGCCTAGGGGCGCACTTCGGTGAATGCTACTGGAACTCCTCGAAGAGTAGAACTAGGTGTACCGAGTTTGGCCTCGTTCTATTAGTTATGATGAGACCTTACCTCCGGACTTGATAAAGTGACCTGAAGGTGTACTTTGGTGAATGCTATTGAAACTCCTCGAATTGTAGTACTAGGTATACCGAGTTTGGCCTCGTTTTGTTAGTTATTATGAGACCTTACCTCCGGACAGTGGCGGATTATTCTTAAGACAAACTAGGCACGTGCCTAGGGGCGCACTTCGGTGAATGCTACTGGAACTCCTCGAAGAGTAGAACTAGGTGTGCCGAGTTTGCCTGGTTTTGTTAGTTATGATGAGACCTTACCTCTGGACTCGATAGAGTGACCTGAAGGTGTACTTCGGTGACTGCTACTGGAACTATTTGACGAATAGAATTACAATTTACAATTTTTTTAATTTTTCCACGATCTTATGAATCGTGCAATTTTGGGTTTTCCAAGCTTTTTTTTTTATTGAAATTTGACATAATATTATCGGAAAATTTGAAGTATAGAAATAATTATAAGGGTTTTAGTGAAAACTTGTGTGTAATTAAACTGTGAGAACTTTAAAATTTACGTATAATCATGTTATATGTATTTTATAATGCGCTTAAGTCATGCACAATTGGATTTACCAATAGTTTCTATATTCTGCAGTGAATCTGTCAAGGGTTGTGATGATGAGGAATACTCCATGTATTATGTGTTTCTTAAATGCTAGCAATATTATTAACATTACTAACATTCCCTTTAACCACTCCTGGTGGGTTTAAAATGCTTTTGTTAGGAGTGTTTTACGACAGTAGTTGAAAGGTGAACTTGAACCCACGATCTTTGAGTTTGCGGTCTGCACCCAGCCATTAGGCTACTGTCGCTTTTAAATGTGATAATATATATTTTAATTCATTCTAAGCATATGTACGTTTAGAATAGAATAGAATAATTTTATTCTATATAGATTATTATTATTACACATAAGTAATACCTTATTGAAAGTAATTTCTTTTATTTATAACTGGTTCGGAAAATACCTCCTGGGAAGAACCATCGAGAAACCCAGCGGGATTGTTGTTTTGTTAGATCCAGTAAAACACCGTAATTTTGGTAAATATGTGTATTGTGCTAGGGAACAAAACTAATGACAAACTTAACAAACTTAAAGTTACAGCCTATATACGTCCCACTGCTGGGCACAGGCCTCCCCTCATTTATGAGAGGGTTTTAGGGCAAGGAATTGTCCACCGCGCTGCCACGATGCGTGTCGGCGAACTTCACATGTCTTCGAAATAATTTTTTTCTTATTTCTCAAACATGCAGGTTTCCTCACGATGTTTTCCTTCACCGCCGAGCATGGAGTAAATCAGCACTTAAAATTGCAATTAATAATTTCATTGGTGCCGGCGGGGATCGAACATGGTTAGCCCGCGTACTGTGAAATTTACAGCAAGCGCTAACCATCTGAGCTACCACGGCTCTCTGACTGAATGAAATGAATGAATGAATGACAACAAACTTAATAATGTAATCTAAGTACCCACATTGATAATTATTTATGACCTAATAAACACTCATGCCTATCACCCAAAGGGGTAGGCAGGGACTATGGACTTCCATTTGGCACGATCCTGGCACATCTCTCGCCTCCTTTACATCCGCACACGTACGCATACGTGCTCATTGGTTTAGGGTACTTTTAATCTGGCCCATCTTCAATATATCGCCATTTTGGTCGATTAACTTCTGTCAAACTCCCATTGCTGATTCTGCCGTTCATTTCTAAAACATAGATTTGCTTTGTCACTCTTTCCTCGTTCATTCTTTCTACATGACCAAACCACCAAAGCATACCTTTCTTAATCTTGGTTACAACATCATCTTGCAAACCACACTTTTCTCTTTTTTTATAGGATCAGGGTGACAAACGAGCACACAGTTCACCTGATGGTAAGTGGCTGCTGTACATCAATGAGGATCGAGGGATTACGAGTCAAAATGCAGATGCGTTGTCACACGTGAGGACTAAGATGGAATGCCTCATTTTCAGTAAAGAGGGTGTCCGGTTCTCTACACTCACCATACGAAACAGTAGCGTTAAGCTGTTATTTTACGCTGGTATTTTGTGAGTGTGGTCCTTCCCCAGTCGAGCCGACCAATTCGTGCTATAACTATACCAGTAATATAGTTCAAGCATGGCTCTACCACGTATAAAACAATAAAATTCTTATCACGCAATTACTCACCTTATGATTCAGATTTATTATTTACGACAATCTGTTATATAATGAATGGCAAACTCGTACCGGTTAGCGAAGTGTAGGGCGGGGTCCCACTAGATGGAATGACGACATGGTGTCGCTTCAAAACTTTCACGCATACTCGTAAAATGTATGAAAGCAGCGTGTCGTCTATTATACTCTAGCGGCGCAGCATAGGTCGCTGTCCACAGCGCGCCGCTACAGTCATGATCGGAATGGCGCGCAAAGATCACGTCAATTTTTATACAGTAAGTGCAGTATTTTAGTAAAATGAAAAAATGTGAAACAGTTGAGCAGTATCCCGCTCTCGTCGGCCATACTAAACTTAGTATACTCCGGTTATAGTAAGTTTTATACATTGTAGGAAAGCGATCACGATATTCATATGTACTTATATTATTGTTATTATTTAAGAGGATGAATCAAGTGTATTCGTTTGCGTTTGCGTTTGTTACCTAAAGTGGTAGATAACAAAAAGTAAAATTGGTGTGCACAAAATTAATAAAGAAAGAGAACTGGCAGAGGGGAATAATTATGCGAGGTGAGTCCAATGGTCGATCGTTTTTAGCGACAAGTTCAAAATTGTTGATCGTACCCGAAGCGCGTTCCGTCACTAGTTCGACGTAAACACACACAAACAATTTCATAAGCTTGATATTGCCGCGATCACGCCGCGCGCGATAGTCGACAGCTGCCCGCTACTCCGTCGCACGTGTGTTTTGTAAGTGAACACTTGCATATAATGCTATGTGTTTGATATTTCGTGACCGCGTCCGCCACCGCGCCCGCGAGCGAAATTGGACTTGTGAGGGGTTGTATTGAATTATATAACGTGTTTATAACAGAGGTTTGTCGCTGGAGACGCAGCTGAGTGTGGGAGCGTGGCTGTGCGGGCACGTGCGCGCTGCGCCGGTGCCGGCCGAGTGGGCGTGGCGCGCGCTGGCCCGCCTGCGCACGCACCGCTCCTACTGGCGCCTGCCGCTCGACGCCCCGCCCCCGCACCACGAACCGGACGACCTCTTCTCCATCACTGCAGCACTGCTATCTACGAGTTGGGGCCATTCTGTGCCCTTGGTAAGATCGATACACTTTTAAAAATGACGTAAACTAATTTATAACGTGACATTTAAAAAAATTAAAGATCTTAGAGTTTCCTGCTTGTTCGCCTGTGAGAAGATCTTAGTTCCAGAATTGATGTAGATTTTGACTTTCATAAGAAATTTAAACAAGCTAAAATTTAATGACATGTTTCGAATTTGAACTTATTTTTAAATAATCAAACAAAATATGAATTCAAACTGTAAGGTCATTTTACTAGATTGGATAAAGTTTATATACAAAAGCTAAAGATTGTCCAGTAAACTATGACATCAGCACGTCAAACATCTTAGTCTCCCATAACAGGAATAAAAAGTGAGTCAAATTGAACATGATTAAATCCAAAAAAAATATTTTTATTTAATATGTAGTTTTCGTATAAATATTGATTCTTGTTGAAAGAGAAATCCAGATGATAAGTTGTAAGAATGAAATATACAAAGACTTCTATGTACATTCCTAGGCGGGCTCTGCAGCCTTAACACATTGCGCAATAAGGCACGGCCAATTCTCCGTAACTCCTTTAGTCGACTACGAGACTAAAACTAGTTCTTTGTTTTGTAAACTGCGAACGCGAACGTTGTTTTCGACAATGTAACACGGATTTTGATTAATGTGACTTAGAAAACAGTATTATTATTTATGAGTGCATTTTGTCAACTTGATATAAAGTTTATTTCATAATTCATAATTCATTCATAATTCATTTATTGCATGTCACAAAGTATAAAGTTGTTACAATATGTCTACAGAGCATGTGACAACCCTGTACGGGCGTAGCATATTAAGATCTATTTTAATTGTTAATTAATATGAAATCAAATTAAATTACAATTTTTAAGGTACATAATCTATACATTATTATTAATTAATTTATTAAATATCAAACTAAATAAATAATACACACATTTATTTAAAATGAAATGTCAATAAATATTTCATCTTAACTATTGGTCATTTTAATTCATATAAATAAGATTTAAAACTTTGATGAAAATATTAATAATGTCATTTAAGTAAATAGAAATAATAAATTTTGTCAAAATAATTTAAATTTATAATTTGTTATTAAAATATTCATTTAAGTTATAATAGCTTTTTACAATAAGCATTTTCTTAAGTACTATTTCAAATTTACGACACTGGAGGGCTTTTATATTATTTGGTAAATGGTTGTAAACCCTTATTGCCATGTAGTATTTCAGATAAGTAACTTATTAATTTGAAGTAAAAACTAGAAATGAGTTGGGGGGTGACTTGAACTTTAGGCCTAATCAGTTTAAATAACCTATCATGTAGAGAATGTCATGGGGTCATGGGGTCATAGGGGCAAAAAGTTCTCATTACACTCCTAGGGGGTCAAAATGGCCAAAATCCAAAAAATTTCAAATTCTTATTTCGGCTGTAACTCCGCCTCCTTCGGAGATTCTTACACAGTCTTTACTTCCCGTACCCCACTTGTTAATAACTAACCTAAAAATAGTAACTGTCGTGTGGAATATTTACCTTGCCAGCTACCCAGGCGCTGGCGGAACATGCTTGCGCGATCCATAGCTTGACACAGTTTTCGTTATGAACCACCGGTCTTGTAGTATACATAGAATTGCTTTTATTAGAAGGTTTGTTGTTAACGAAGATGGTTGTATGTTTGCGTCAGATATGCTCCGAGGGCGCGCGTGCGCTGTGCCGTTTGGCGCGAGCGCGGCCGCAGGAGGCAGCGCGGTGCGCGCGCCTCGTCATGCGCGTCATGCGCCACTCGCCCGAGTCCGTCGCACTCACACCTGAGTCAGTTCACTCACATACGTACACACTTGACTTTGTAAACCTCACACTCACACCACTGTCAGTTGTCTCACATACGTATACACTTGACTTTGTAAACCTCACACTCACACCACTGTCAGTTGTCTCACATACGTATACACTTGACTTTGTAAACCTCGCACTCTCACCACAGTCAGTTCACTCACATACGTACACACTTGACTTTGTAAACCTCACACTCACACCACTGTCAGTTGTCTCACATACGTATACACTTGACTTTGTAAACCTCACACTCACACCACTGTCAGTTGTCTCACATACGTATACACTTGACTTTGTAAACCTCGCACTCTCACCACAGTCAGTTCACTCACATACGTACACACTTGACTTTGTAAACCTCACACTCACACCACTGTCAGTTGTCTCACATACGTATACACTTGACTTTGTAAACCTCACACTCACACCACTGTCAGTTGTCTCACATACGTATACACTTGACTTTGTAAACCTCGCACTCTCACCACAGTCAGTTCACTCACATACGTACACACTTGACTTTGTAAACCTCACACTCACACCACTGTCAGTTGTCTCACATACGTATACACTTGACTTTGTAAACCTCACACTCACACCACTGTCAGTTGTCTCACATACGTATACACTTGACTTTGTAAACCTCGCACTCTCACCACAGTCAGTTCACTCACATACGTACACACTTGACTTTGTAAACCTCACACTCACACTACAGTCAGTTCACTCAAATACATACACACTTGATTTTGTAAACCTCACACTCACACCACAATCAGTTCACTCAAATACATACACACTTGATTTTGTAAACCTCACACTCACACCACAATCAGTTCACTCAAATACATACACACTTGATTTTGTAAACCTCACACTCACACCACAATATCAGTTCACTCAAATACATACACACTTGATTTTGTAAACCTCACACTCACACCACAATCAGTTCACTCAAATACATACACACTTGATTTTGTAAACCTCACACTCACACCACAATCAGTTCACTCAAATACATACACACTTGAATTTGTAAACCTCACACTCACACCACAATCAGTTCACTCAAATACATACACACTTGATTTTGTAAACCTCACACTCACACCACAATCAATTCACTCAAATACATACACACTTGATTTTGTAAACCTCACACTCACACCACAATCAGTTCACTCAAATACATACACACTTGATTTTGTAAACCTCACACTCACACCACAATCAGTTCACTCAAATACATACACACTTGATTTTGTAAACCTCACACTCACACTATAGTCAGTTCACTCAAAAACATGCACACTTGATTTTGTCAAAGTTCACATATTATAATTTTTTTATAGAATAGATGACAAACGAGTAAAAAGTCCACCTGATGATAAGTTGTTGCTGTGACCCATAGATATCTTCTACACCCATCCTCAATAAAGAATCAAAGTGCAGATGCGTTGTCACCCGTGAGGAATAAGATGGAATGCCTCTTTTCCAATGAAAAGTGTCTCCGGTTCCCTATACTCTCCATACTTAACACAGAAGAATTAAACTGCTATTTTACGTTGGTATTCTGTGAGAGCGCGGTCCCCGGTCGAGCCGACCCATTCGTGTTACAACCGTAATAAAGTTGCAGCGTAGGTCTACCACGTATAATACGTATACGTACGTATGTACTAAATGTTTAATAAATTATTCTTCTTATTGTTATTATATTAAATTTCGTTTGGTCACAATCTTGAGAATGAATTTGTCGATGTGTTCCTGGCTGTCCTTACATTTGCTTGCTACTTTCGTCTCGAACCCAGGTTCACGGAAGTGTTCAGTCTGCTGCTGGGTGCGGGTCCGTCCCTGGTGTCCTGGGCGCTGGGCCGCGGCGGACCCTCCGGTGCTGAGCTGCTGCAGCAAGAGCTATTAAATGAATTTACCAGCTCTCAGTACGTATCGATGATGTTGTGTTCAGTGCTGTTTATTTTTCGTTTGTGCAAATAGGTTATAGTTATTCATTTCATAACGTTATCTATTAATCGATCTCGAATCATTATTGCAGTAATTGATAAAATATACTAAGACTTTTTTTGTTTTAAAATACCTATGATTTAATATTTGTTAGGTATTTACATTTTAGGATATAACTATTTCCAATTCATCGTGTAGTGTTCGTAAAATAACCCATTACCCCATAAGATCTCGTGGGAGTCGTCGTGAGAAACGACAGAAGGAAACGAAATAGGAGATGGACAGCAACATCTTTGTCATAACAACTCTACAATAATAATAAAAAAAAAACTGTTGCCGACCCGCGTGCCAAGCATGGCAACTATTGTAGTCATCCCTCTTATTAAGGAATTTATCGGGACATATTATGGCAAATATATCCTATGAGGCGTTTATAGGGTAGGCCTGTGTTCATCTGCGGCTTTATGATAGACTGCGATAAATGAATAAATTTCCAATTGAAAAAAGTGGGTGGGTGGACTACTAGATGGAGTGACGACTTGGTAAGACATGCAGGAAGTCGATGGATGCAGGTGGCTCAGGACCGTGCTTTGTGGCATTCCTTGGGGGAGGCCTATGTTCAGCAGTGGACTTATGAAAGGCTGTAATGATGATGATGATGGGTGGGTGGAAGGAGTCGGAGTCTATCGCCCCACTTAGTCCTGTGGGTGTCATAAGAGTCGACTATGGGAAGGGCCAAAAAGACATGGCTTCCGATAGATGCGATATACAATTTCGTATCCTTTCTACAATGTGAGAGTATAGCAGTAGACTGTTATCAGCTGACAAAATAAATAAAACGGTGACAACACCATTTCGGCATATTCATTTTGTAAACTGTAAACAAAATAAGAAGTTTTGAGTTTCTATCCTTGGTGCCTATTCCATAACTGACATCTTAAAGATTGTGCCGAGAAGTCAAAGGGTTTTTATTTTTTTCCATTCCAACTTTAACTATGGTTATTTCTGAATGTGCCATAGATACGAGGGTGGGGCTATTACTCCGTGGCTGCGAGGTTTGTGGGCGCCCTCTTTGAGCAGTTCAGCTCGAGCCATTTTGGATGTTGCCTTAAGGACTACGAGGGACTGGCCCGCGCTCGACTCTACCGTCGCAGCTATGTTACAGGTCAGATGTTTACTATGAAGCAAATCTTATGCCTCCTCTATACTACTCGCGAAGTAGATCGAAGTTGGGCGAAGAGAATAGTGTAGAAAGGTACTTCGATTCGCTTCGTGCAACCGAGCTTCGCCTCGGGCGACTTCCGATCGCTGTCGGTTTTTTGCGCCAGAGTCAAAGGCGAAGTACCCCGAAATTACTCGAAGCGTCTCACTACACTACTTGGCGTACGCCAGTTGTAAATTTTTTTATATATAAATATTAAATATGTAGCTTTCTACATAATTATTTATTTAGTTAACGCATTGACGTCGTACTGTTCATACAATTAAGTACCTATAGCAGCTGCCTCTTGAACGTTATTCATGTTAAGGGTGCGGGAGACTCAAGAAGACTGAGCCTTTCGCGAAGTAGCACGAGTGTGTAGTCACGTTCTTCGGACTGCGATCGACTTCGACGAGCACTTCGTCGAAGTTACTTCGCGAGTAGTGTAGAGGAGGCATTATATTTATTTTGATTTTAACGTATATTGTGTCGCCATGTGCTGGCATCGGAACAGAATCAAACAGCCCGTTTCGTCCCGTGGATGTCGTAAGAGTCGACTATGGTGAATGCCAGAAAAATCTTACCAGGCTTCCGATAGATGGCGGTATGAATCCTTTACGTCAGATGTAAAATACCCAGACCTTCGTATAGGTACGGACAGCAATGACAAAGGCCTGCCAAGTAATACGTAACGATCAAGGCAAATTCTCCCCACGACAGAAGAGGCCCGTGTTAAAAGAACAAAGAAATATATATGGAAATTGATGGATTTCACATTCAATTTCCAAGATAATAATATATAGAGTTCTTACGATTTTTGCTTAAAACAACATAAGCCGTCTTAAAAAAAAATTATACCACGAGTAACTGCAATTCATTGTGTTATCCGCCGACAACACCTGGTAACGAAAATTTTGAGTGATAGATTGCACCAATCGCTTCAATTTGTGATTAAAGCAGTTAACAAAATGAAAAGCAATGCGTTGAATACCCGTTTATTTGCACAATTGTGCGACGAAATGATGAAGACGCTGGTTCCGTCCGTCCGTTCGTCCGTCCGTCCGTCCATCTGTCTGTCAGCGGGCTGTATTTCTGTAGCCGCTAAACAACAAATAATAATAAAAAATTAAAAACAATTAAAGAAGCTCCTCTACTAGAAACGTGTATTACGATGGTACGGAACCCTTCATGCGCGAGTCCGACTCGCACTTGGCCGGAGAGGCCACAGAGCCCGACAATTGGCAATCTTAGACTGTGTCGGGTATAAACTCGGTGTAAGTTACCGAAACTGAAGTCTTTAAGCTGCTGAATTCTATTGAGTTTAATAAATCTGCAGGCCCAGATGATATACCGATATAGCCATTGTTATAAGTAAGTGTGCTAAAAGTTTGACTATATCGCTAACAATAATATACAGATGTTCTCTTTAAGAAGAAACAGTACCTTTTATTTAGAAATCTGCATTTATTACCCCCGTCCATAAAAAGGTCCAAAATACCATGTAGAAAACTATAGGCCAATATCCAAACATTATTTGTTTACCAAAATACTTGAGAAAATCGTATACTCGTCTGCATATCATGGCACCAAACAAACACTCGGTGAATATCAACACGGCTTCTTAAAAAGTAGATCTACTGTTTTGAACTTTATTATATGTTCTGACTATTTAACTGACATCATGTTTGAGTGTTGTTTACGAGTGGACGTAGTCTACGCTGACTACAGTAAAGCATTCGATTGTTTAGATCACGTTATACTTCTCGGCAAACTACTCGAAGTAGGTGTAGCATATTGTGTCGGTAGATAATAATAACGTTTTCTACGGCTACCCTGTGTGTGTGTGAATAAATGTTCGTTTACGGGTTCAGTGTGTTTAAATAAACGTTCCCCGTATTCCCTGAATAGCAAGGACATTACAGTGGCGACGAGTTTATTTTGTGTATTAATAATCGATTAACCTACAGTAGAAGTCACGCGTTAAAATGTCTATCTATGGGAAAGTGCCAGTTTTCGATTGCAAAATAGATGAGTGGGTGGTACACGTAGCACAACTAAACAACTTCTTTATTGCAAATGGAATCGACGATATCACAGATGCTCAAAGAGTGAGAAGACGGGCAATTTTATTGAATAGCATGTCACAAGACTCATATCGTCTTACTCGTGATTTATTGTATCCAAATACGCCTGAATCAACCGATTACAAGGCGATTATTGCTGCGCTTGACGGCCACTTCGACCCGAAAAAGTGTATATACGCTGAAAGACAAAAGTTTTATTCGGCTAAAAAGGACCCTCACGAGTCAATGGTGGAGTATGCTGCTCGTCTTCGTGGACTAGCATCGGCATGTTGTTTTGGTACAGCTCTAGAGATGTGTTTGACGGATCGTTTTGTACTTGGTCTTGACACTGCGTCGGCCCGAGAGAAATTATTTAGAGAAGATCCCAATCAGCTAAAACTAAATAAGGCACTGGAAGCAGCTTGTGCAGTTGAAAGTGCGCAGCGTATTGTTTCCGCTGGCGATTCGGCAGAGTTAATTAAGTCTGAACCTGTGCTATATACGGACTCGCGGCGAAAAGCTACTGCAAGCGGCGGTATACGAGGCGGTCGCGCCCGTGGTGGCGGCGACGGCGGAGCCCCCAGGTGTAGTGTGTGTGGTGCGAGGTCACACGATACCTCCGTATGTGGCTATCGTCATCTGTCGTGCAATTTGTGTGGTGCAAAAGGGCATTTAAAAAGAATGTGTTCTAAGAGATACTACGTACATAACGAGATTACAACCAAAAAGGACAAAATTGTGAAAAAGCAGCATAATGGTATGCAGAATAATTACATTTTGGAAGGTAGTGATAGGGACGAATGTAATGATTTTTCACCAATTAATAATGTTAGAGATATAAATAATGAATCACGTATTAATACTATTTTATGTAAGGAAGAAAAACCGATATCTCTTGAAGTTATGGTGCGAGGTGTTACTCTTAGTATGGAGGTTGATTCCGGTAGTGGGGTATCAGCGCTGCCCGCGCGCATATGGTATATGTATTTCTCGCGAAACTTGTCACTCGGTGAGTCCAATAAAACTTTATATACATACAGTGGTTCTGCTTTAAGGCTATTGGGCATGTGTTACTTACCAGTCACATATAATAATGTAACGCATAATATAAAATTTTATGTTGTTGAAAATGGCCCGGTTCCCTTGCTCGGTAGGGACTTTATGACAAAATTTAATTTCGCTTTTATCTCATTAAATTATTGTTCAGTAGATAAAGAAAAATTTATTTTGTCGAAATATAAAACATTATTTTCTGGTGGGTTGGGCACGTTCAATAAATATAAGTTAACGCTACACTTAAAAGAAGGTGTCACACCAAAATTTTTTAAAGCTAGGCCGGTGCCTTTTGCGCTCAAAGATAAGGTAAGCGCAGAGTTGGACCGATTAGTGCGCGCTGGCATACTCAAACCGGTTTCTTACTCTAATTACGCGTCACCGATTGTTGCAGTATTAAAGAAAAATAATGACGTACGTATTTGCGGCGATTATTCTATGACGATCAATAAGGCCCTAATAATTGACTCTTATCCATTGCCCAAAATAAGTGAGTTATGTGCATCGTTACACGATTGTCGTTACTTTAGTAGGCTTGATTTATCAAATAGTTATAATCAGTTCCTTCTAGATGATGAGTCACAAAAATATACATGTATCAATACGCATAAAGGTCTTTTTGTTTATACAAGATTAGTGTTCGGTTTGTCAAATGCGCCAGCTTTGTTCCAGCGTGCTATGGTGCAACTGCTGCAGGGCATAGATGGCGTGGAGTGTTTCCTCGACGACTTGTTAATCGCGGCTCCGACCGCCGAATTACATTGGGAACGTGTCGATTTGGTACTAAATCGTCTAAGAGACGCCGGGCTAATGCTCCAGCGCTCGAAATGTTCATTCTTCCAAAATAAAATAGAATATTTGGGTTTTGTTATTGATCGTTTTGGCCTTCATAAAAATCCGGATAAAATAAAGGCTATTACACAGGCAAGGGTGCCAGGAAACGTCCGACAATTAAAATCATTTTTGGGTTTAGTTAACTTTTACCGTAGCTTTATACCGCAAGCGGCGGTCATTCTTGAACCATTACATAATTTACTGCGAAAAAATATGAAATGGGAATGGACGGCGGAACATCAGAAATCATTCGATGCTATCAAAGACGAGTTATGTTCAAGTCGCGTACTGGCGCATTTTGACCCGCGGCAGCAGCTGGTTCTGACAGTGGATGCGGCCCCCGGCGGGTTAGGCGCGGTGCTCGCGACGCGCTACCCCGCGGGTGCCGAGCGCCCGATCAGTTACGCTTCGCGTGCTCTCACTAAAAGTGAGCGTGGCTATAGTCAAATTATGAAAGAAGCGACTGCCATTATTTATGGAATCAAAAAATTCCATCAATATCTTTATGGCCGCCAGCAACCATTTATTTTGAGAACAGACCACAAGCCCCTCCTTTCTATTTTCTCCCCCGATAAAGGAGTTCCTCATATGTCCGAAGCGAGACTGCAACGGTATGCTTTATTTCTTGCTGCCTATAATTATAAAATTGAGTTCATTAATAGTGAATCTAATGTAGCTGATTATTTGAGTCGGTTTCCCATTGATTGTGATTCGTCGCAGGATACGGCGCACGTAGATGACGTCACCAGTTATGTTAACGCGCTAGCGGCTGCTGGCGCGCCACTGCCCGCTTCATTAGACGAGCTGCGGGCCGCTTTTCATAAAGATAAAGTTCTGTCACTTGTCATGCAATATGTGACCAAATCGTGGCCACGGAAAGTGTCATCAGAACTTTTGCCATATAATAGATGCCAGCATGAATTATATGTTGATAGCGGAGTTCTCATGAGAGGTCACAGAATTGTAGTGCCTACTGTTTATAGGGCTGCTGTGCTACAAGAACTGCATGCTGCGCACTTAGGAGTAATTAAAATGAAAATGATTGCTAGAGAACGCTGTTGGTACCCGGGTATCGACAGTGACATAGAAAACATGGCTTCTAACTGTGGTCGTTGCATATCCTTGCGACCGTCTCCTGCGAAAGCGCGCTTGGAGTCGTGGGGGTGGCCTGACTCTGTTTTCGAAAGAATCCATTTAGATTACCTCGGCCCAATTCATGGGAAGATTTTTCTTGTACTAGTCGATGCGCATAGTAAATGGATTGAATGCGAATTAATGTCAAATTTTTTATCAAAAGAACTTATCAATAAATTAAAAAAAATTTTTTCACGTTTCGGCATTCCCAATAAAATAGTCACAGACAATGCCAAAACCTTTGTTTCGTCTGAATTTTTTAAGTACTGTACTGATAATGGCATAACTCACATTTTATCTCCTGCGCATTCGCCACAGAGTAATGGACTCGCCGAGAACGCAGTAAAGACTTGTAAGCGGTTTATTGTGAACGCTATCAAGGATTGTGGTTTTAAAGACTTCGCTAATCACTTAGATAACTATTTGTTTCACTATCGGAATACACCGCATTGTACGACGGGAGTATCACCTGCATCGCTTATGTTCGGTCGGAATTTACGTTGTAAACTTGATTTAATCGCTGTTAAGCGTTCAAATTTAGATCGAAAACCTCTAATACATAAAAATGTGTTAGTGAATCAAAATCGTCAAAAATTATATTTTGGTGGTAAAATTAAAGCATTTTCGATTGGGGAGAAAGTTTGGGTACGAGACTATCGAGCCAATCCCAAAAGACCAACATGGATCCTTGGCCAGGTCGTTGCACGCTTAGGTAAAGTTCTATATGATGTGGCGATACAGAGATCCGATATCATTTGGAGACGTCATGTGAATCAGTTAATGTCAGCCAAATCATATAACAGCAGTCGTGGTGAAGCGGCGTGGACGTTTGAGGATATGGACGTTGGGAGCACGGCAGGTCCCAGTGCCTCTCATGATACACCTGCATCATTACCTCTCAATAGCCCAGGTGGTGCGCTAGCCGCACAACCACCGGGACCTGACGGCGGTGAGGCGGCACCGGTGCTGACTCACGCGGAGTCTGACATGGGAGACGTGTCCCCACCGCCTCAAACCTCCACGACCATGCGCACTCGATCTGGCCGCGCTATTAAACCACCTAAACGCTTAGTTCTATAATATTTATACTTACTAAATCTAATGTAAACATTTGTTTTGTTTATAATTGTTTTTTTTGTGTATTCTTAATAAACGTAGAGGAGAGGTGTTAAAGTCGAGTGATTAATGTCATTTTTTTATTATACATAAAACAATGTATGTATTGTAGTATATGTGTTTTTGATTTTTTTATGCTAAAATTGTGTAAGCGCAATATGTCCATCAATTATACATAAAGCATAGTTGTTTGCTTCCCAAATAAAAATGTGGTACTTAATCATTAATTAGGTATACTACTTAAGCATTTGTTCTAACTGCTTATATATTGTATATTACGTTGTAATCTAAGTGTGGAGGGATGTAGCATATTGTGTCGGTAGATAATAATAACGTTTTCTACGGCTACCCTGTGTGTGTGTGAATAAATGTTCGTTTACGGGTTCAGTGTGTTTAAATAAACGTTCCCCGTATTCCCTGAATAGCAAGGACATTACAGTAGGTATCGACGGCGATCTGTTTAGGTGGTTTAAATCTTATATTTAAAATCGTTATCAGGCAGTAGTCTTCAATGGCTATACGTCAGCAACTGTGCAAATCCCTATATGAATGCCACAGGGGTCGCTACTAGGCCCATTGCTTTTTGAGATTTTATAAATGATATAGGTTCGTGTTTCAAATACTGCAAAATATTTTTTTATACTGATGACATGAAAATTTTATGTCCCATCACAAAAACTTCTGACCGCCTTGGCCCGCAGCGTGACCTCAATGAACTTGAATGATATTGTTCACGCAACAAACTTGCCTTGAATGTGTGTTTACGTGCCTCTACCTTCAGTGCCTTTGTATGAACGTAGGAGCATAGCAGATATGATTTATCTTTAGGCAGGCTGGCAATATTTTTTTATGATACGTGCATGCAGAACTTTTAATGAGATTTTCTTTTAATAAGACCAGTGTTGTTTTCTTGTTATTGTTAACTCGTATGTTTCCAAATTTATCGAATGCCGTCAAAATCGTCACACATATATATATATATATATATATATATATATATATATATATATACATACATATACATATATACTGATAAATTTGGAAAACATGTGACGATTTTGACGGCTTTCGATAAATTTGGAAACATACGACTTAACAATAACAAGAAAAGAATCGTCTCATGTTTTCCAAATTTATCGAAAGCCAACTCACACCGACACGGTCATCCCCGCGTCATCATGTCATCCGTGGCAACATAAAGTAGCCGCTTTGTTACATTAACCGTTTGTTTACTGTCCCATTAAGTAAAGAAAATTATTTAAAAGAACTTAATATAATTTATCAAATAGCGGTTTTTCAAAAAAATCTCATTAACAATTTAATTAAAAAGAAACAAAAGCATGTTGTTCGCAACTCTCTGTACGCGGTTCAACCTCAGTGTTCATCGATATGTGAGCAGTTTGACCTACTTAGGCCCCATATCTGAAAAAGTAGCTAATACTCTTCGACAAAACGGCGTTCATGTGGCGTTCAAAACAAACAATTCTCTTAGAAATATCTGTAATAATAAAGATAAGTTGGATATTCGTCAAAAGTAGGGTGTTTACAAACTTGTTTGTGACGAATGCCACGCCGTTTACGTGGGTCGGACTAGTCGCAATTTCGAGACACGTTATAAAGAGCATTTAGCCGCGTACAGGAATTGCAATCCCGATAAATCCCATTTTGCCAAACATCTTTTGGACACTGGACACAACCTAGCCAACGACCACTCCTTTAAAGTCTTACATACGTGTAATAAAGGGCTGCGGCTGTGTGTGCTGGAACAGTTAGAGATATTAAAAAGTAATAATAATACCGTTGCATTGCTGAATGAACAAACAAATGTTACTAACTCACCTCTCTTAAATATCTTTAAGCCTTCTCTCTAATAATAAAGAGCCTAGCAATATGGTTGTTTGTCACCCTCACGGTGATCGGCGATTGGTTGCGTGGTTGGAGGGTGGGCGTTGCGCGGCGGTTTGTTTTTAATTTTACAAACGACTGCGTAAGTCCAGCGGTGATTTGTCGCATGTTTTATCGCATGACGCAGTCGCTTGCTCCTTAAGTAGAGAGCGGTTGCGTCATCGGTCTGTATAAAAGGCACTTGTTTTGGCTCGCCGCTCACTTAGCGGTTAGCCACCGTAGAGTCTATATCACCTGAGGATGCCTTGTGTAGAGGCGAAACACGTGTCGTATTATCGTCAGTGGTGTGTCTTGCTTAGTGTAGTGGTGTTGGGAGTAGCGGTGCTGGGATTAGTGGTGACGGTGATAGTGCACGCAATTGAGGGAGTGTGGGAGGTGCTCTTCATACTAGGTAAGACACATCATTTTATTTTATAACGCGGATATTTGCGAAGTAAATTTTTCTAAAAGCTTTTAGATTACCGTGTACTCCTCCTCTTGTCTGATTTGAGATCCGTTAATATCCCAGCGCATCTCGTTTATCTTAGTTATATAGTTACTTATGTTTTTAATTAATTTTTATTAAGATACGCCTTGTAATGTGATTTTTTGTAGTTTTAAATAAAAAAAATCTATGAAATCGGCCTACGCTCAGCTGAGGACTTTTAAAAATGTATTGTAGAACGAGAACCGCAGAGAATACATAACGGACGCGGTGCGGTGTGTGCGCGAGGCACCGTTGCTGTGCGAGGCCGTGCTGCGCGGCGCGCATGCGCAGTGCGAGGCGCGCGTCCCGCTGTGGTCGCGTCTGCTGCACGCGCTCGCGCACCAGCGCCACCATGCGCAGCGCACCCACGTCGACAACGCACTAAAGGTTAGCCAATCAACACACAACCAACATCTAACCAACACACAACCAACATTCAACCAACACTCAACCAGCACACAAGCTGCGCCTGCTGCACGCGCTCGCACACCAGAGGCATCACGCCCAGCGCACGCACGTCGCACGCACGTCGGCAACATACTCAAGGTCAATCAACACGTCAACCTACGCCACACACCATCCTCTGTCTTTGTCTACTTTAGGGGCTAGTGCAACTATGGTTCCGAGAGCATCGCGCCCACTTCGACAACGCACTCAAGTTCGTCGAATACATCAACCAAAAGATCATAAGCGCTGACGCAACCTTCTTTCCTTCGCCGGTCTGAGTATTTTACTCAAACAAAGTCATCATCATATTTTTTTATAGGATAAGGTGACACACGAGCACACAGTCCACCTGATGGTAAGTGGTTACTGTGGCCCATAGACATCTACATTTATCGTCAATAAAGAATCAAAATGCAGATGCGTTGTTACCCGTGAGGACTAAGATGGAATGCCTCTTTTGCAGTAATAACGGGTCTCCGGTTCTCTACACTCACCATACGAAACACAGCAGAGTTAAGCTGCTATTTTACGCTCTTATTCTGTGAAAGCGTGGTCCTTTCCCGGTCGAGCCGACCCATCGTGCTACAACTATATCAGTAATATAGCTGCAGCATGGCTCTACCACGTAAAAAAATATAAATCATCTATCGAAAGACACAATACCTTTCTGGCATATCCAAATAATTAAGCACGTAAAGCCGTTGGTCCTGCGCTTGATCTCTCTCTAAACGTGTCTTATTGCAGTTCCAACGGACTATGAAAGTGAAGGATATAAGGAATAGAGAGTGCACCTGCGCTTGCGCATACATAAAGGCACTTTTTGCTAGTCTCCATTAAGACTGACCGCCCTGCTTGAAATTCGGTTCTGGAAAGACAATATTAGTACCTTTTACGGCAACCCAAGACTAATTAACTTTAGCCGCGACCAAACTGGTGTGATATTATTTGTATAAACAACTTTAAACACATTTCAAGCAACCCCCACAGTAAAGATAAAAATTTTTCGAAATTACGATGGTAACTTTTAGAACAGCGTACAGTACCGATATTAGATTGCCATGTGGCGAAGAGAATCCACCATCTATTTTGTCACGTGAGTGTTCATCTAAAAGAGGGCGTTATCTCGCGCTTGCTAGACGTAAAAGAACCAGATCAGCGACGAGGAAAGAATATGAGAATGAGAAAAGTACGATAACGTCAAAGGTACGATTACCAGTCCGCCTGTAGAACGAGGTAATTGCCACGAACCTTCTTGATAGAAGCATTGCTGTGGACTAATATACGGGTATATACCTCTTAATCTATTTAGCATTATATAAAAAGCAAGACTTTCTTATTTTAACAGCAAATTGGTGTCACAATGAGTGCAGAGGATCTAGTGATATATCGTGTGGCGACAGCGGCCCTATCAGCTCCTTGGCAGCATCCCGCACATCTCACGCTTTGGAGATTATTTTTTCATCTTTACCTTCAGAGGCTGCCGTCTGATCCGTGAGTGAGATAAAATAATTTTAATGCAAATTTCTTTTTTCAACATGGACTTAATTTAAATGTATATAAATTAAAGCAATGCACTAAATGTAACAAAAACAAACTAATGCCCAAATACTTAACCCTGCTCAAATTTAGGATGTCGTTAAGTCTCGTGTTGTCTCTATCACTTTAAGTCAAAGTGACTGTGACACCACGATCTTAAAATTGAGTAGCGTTTGAGTATTTGGCCATAAATATTTTTTTTGTAGTGATGTCTAAACTTTCGTTTTAATATCAAAAATTTATACACGAAATAAAATTATTTTTCCATCTTTCTAATTAAATAATGTATCTGTCACCTTCTCAGCTCGAAATTGAATTTTTGTTCGCCGATGGGCTTTGTACGGGTTACCGCACAATAGTTAATAAAACATGCATTACTCATTAATTTAGGTCACTTAAAAACAATATTATTTGTTAATTACGCCCACATGTATAACTTTGGTACTTCTGCTTATATATAATTTTTATAATAATTATATAAAGTATATTCCTTAATAATAAAATCAGTGTTTAAACGACTTTCATCGGGCTTATTTCGTACTTTCCCTTGCATCTCGTTTTGCACTCATCTTGTAAACTGTAGACACACTACAGTTTCTTTGGTCCTTCGAGCTGGATACATGTGACCTTGTTGCTCGTAATCTCGCATAAATTTCAGCAAAGACTTCATTTTTGATATCTTTTTTTCGAAGTTGTAGAATTGTGCAATTGATCTTGATTTATATTCACCTAGATCATGTTCGAACCCAGGCTTAATCGGGAGAGCAACCTCTTATCTTCCGTTAGGTAGTCGCCTTGTTGTGGACTGGTAGAATTGCTCACAATACTGTTCATCTGGTGTCAATTCAGCAGCTGAGTCACTGATATCTTCGAGCTCCCAGTATTGAGAAATCTCTGATAAGTTGGTAATTACAACGTGACATTTAAACGTTTTCACGTCACCCGAGAGTATCCAGCCCAGTCTCGTTTGTTGAGCTATTGGTGCCATGTTTAGGCCTTTGATCAGACCGCTCATGATGATCTCATAGTATATACTTGCGTCTAGTATCAGATCAGGCTTAGGAACGTTGTACTCGGGATCAGCCAGTTGTACATGTTGCAGGTGAGGCCACGACTCCTTACTGAACGACATATTTGGCAGATTGTTGATAACGTGGTTGATGACTAATGCTTGAGTTGTGAATTTATAGTCTTGGTAAATGGATTGACATTCAAGCGTGACGAATCCTTTGCCGTTTTTCGATCTATTTCCAATGCCAGATACAGATGTGTGATACCGTTGTCGAGGCAAGCCTAGCATCTGGGCGGCGTTCTCAGATATCAGTGAAATTTGAGAGCCTTGATCTAGAAGGCATCTCAAAGTGATATACATGCCATCAGAAGCTTTGACCATGATAGATAAGGTCGTCAATAGAATATCCACGTCATTTGTATCGACATGATTAACGCTATGTTGTTTAGTATTTTGTCGTGTTGACAATTGAAGTATTTGCGTAACTGGAGTGGTAGGTACGATCAACGACCACGTCGGCCTGCCTGTTTGCTGACGACGTATTAAGGTTCAAATTCGCATATGCGTCATGTAACATCGTGTTATGACTGTTTTCACAAACTTTGCATCTTTTTGTCGACGTACATGGATTGTCACTGTGTGGGTACAGACAATTGTGGTAATAATTTATTTCTTGACGGTCATTAACCGCTCGTCCGGTATAAATTTGATGAATTAGCTGCATTTGTATAAGTAATGACTGTTGCTGCAAATGGGACAGTTAGCGAGCATGTCGCAGCAGCTTGAAATTCTCTGTTCGGAAATTTTCCAAAGCGATTACCACATAGCGATTTTATACGTGGTAGAGCCATGCTGCAGCTATATTAGTAGTATAGTTGTAGCACGAATGGGTCGGTTCGACCGGGGAAGGACCACGCTCTCACAGAATACCAGAGTAAAATAGCAGCTTAACACTGCTGTATTTCGTATGGTAAGTGTACAGAACCGGAGACCCTTTTTTACTGGAAACAAGGCATTCCATCTTAGTGCTTACGGGTGACAACGCATCTGCATTTTGATTCGCAAACGAGGATAAATGTAAATGTCTATAGGCCACAGCAACCACCGACCATCAGGAGGACTGTGTGCCCGTTTGTCATCCTATCCTACAAAAAAAACCAACTTGTTGAAAATGAGGATTGTATGGCCTGCTGTTAACCATGTTCTTTTGGTAATTTTTGCTGGATGATGTTGAGACCTCTCGTTCCCTTTTACCCATTGGCTCTAGAGCGTTGAACTTGCTCTCTAAAAAGTCCATAAGCTCAGATAGGGATGGTTAGTCTCTTGGCGACTTTCGTGCTTCTTTATAGTCGCGGTATGTTTCAGTATTCAGTTTCTTACTATGAGGTGGACTATCAGTGGGTCCCAGGTACTTGCATCGATAACTAGCTTCTGTATGGCATGGATACATTCCATAGATGTGTCATACAGACGTAAGCCGACTGTTTGTGAGCAACCAGTTGGTTTAGGAAAATATCAATCTGCTTAGTAAACAACAGTTGTGGGTTGTCAAATATATGTGTTAACAGTCCCCATGCTGTGTCATAGCTGTCTGCTAAGATGTTTAAATGCTCTATAAGTCGCTTGGCATCTTCTCGTAATTTACCTTTCAGGTGCTGCACTTTCTGGCTTTTTGTGAGCAGGTTGTTGTTATAGATACTCTCTATGTAAAGATCGTAGAATGTGGGCCATTGTGTGTATTTGCCTGTGAATGTAGGTATGTTGATTTGTGGTGTTGACTGTTGCAAATGTACCGTAAAAAAGTTAAATTAACAAACAAATACAATAACAAACTTTTATAAATTGTTACAGACAAGACTCAACGCCACCTATCGGTCCATTATTCTTCAGTGGCATTATAAAATCGCGCACTTTAGCACAACTCAAGAAGCGACTACAAGAGACCATTACCTATCACCATAGTCAAGCGGAACAGCTGAAATCTCAAATCAACGCCAAAGTACAAACTCAGGAGAATCCTACATCGAGTAAAAATAGTAAAACCAAAACAACGATTGAGAGTAATATGTTTCCAGCAATATCGATAATCGATTTGACTGGAGAATCGAGTTCTAGCGAAACTGAAACCGATACATCGGATGAAGAAAAAGAAGGAATAAGAGTTAAGGAAGAACAAGAAATAAATAAGGAGACCACGGGAAGTACACGAGATACGCTCCATCTATCAAATTATCACGCTGCAGCAGAAAAGTAAGTTAATGTTTAAAATAATGACAAATTACATAATTGTGTAATACCATAATTACCGTGTAGTGGCGGTGTAAGTGTAATGTAGTATAGCCTCCACGACAATATATATATATATATATATATATATATTAGAGTTAAGAATAGAGAGTAATCCAATTAAATACCTAGACAGAACAATACATCTCCTTCTCATTTGATACCTTTCAACATTACACTAAGAATATCCACTACTCCATATCATCCTGTGTATGTCGTAAGAGGCGACAGAGAGAAACATATAGAGGTTATAAAAAAGTAGCACATTTCTGTAGGAAATGTAAAAAAGGAGGCGGTGTTGACATTTATGTAAAAAAATCTATTGACTACCAAGAAATTCAATGGATATCAGAAATGTCTATTGAAAATCATTTTGAATGTTGCGGTGTGGTAATAAGTGGATTAAGCTACCTAATAATATCCGTGTAACCTCAAATAGCGACCTGAATGTTTTCTTGGTTAATATGGAGTATTTACTGTAAATAACAATAAGAACACGGAATTGTTATAAAAATATATTTATATTGGGTGATTTTAATGTCAATATGTTTGTTCGCGCAAAACGCTGTTGTCGGAATCGACGTCTAGGGGGCGCGCGGCTCTGGGCGATACCGGTTTGAAGTTCTTCCGAGCGTGCAGTGGCGCGCGGGTCGCGAGTGAAAAGTCAGTCGTCTGCCAGATGTGCTAACAATTGGCACGCTGCCAATTAAGCGCGGGAACTCGGAATAATTAAGCGCGGACAGTAAAAATACGGTCTAAGAATTTTGTGGCGCGTATCCCTACTGGAGAGCTTCCCCGGGACTTATTGGGTCCGACTCAGAATCTGTATAAGTGCATTCGACAATATTAGCTAGTGCGGCCTCTGTATTCTAGAACTAACTGTTGCAACGCGAAACGGTAGTGACCTTTGACCCAGAAACTCCGTGCGTGTTTTGTGCGGTAACCTTATACCCCGCGATAGTTAGTGGCTTCTGTAAGTTAGTTAATCGTACGATAGAGTTAATTGACTGTAACGTGACGAAAGAAGAAAGTGACGGTGGACAACCTCGGAAGCCCCCTCAAGTTGGAGCGGTGTCGACGCTCGGGCTGCTGCCGACGGCCAAGGTCTAGGTTCAATCACCATCAGTCACACCCAGATACACATCACATCACTTATTTCCCTTTCACTACACAACCACATATGACCTGACCGACTCCGGAGGGACCAGTCGCCTTGGGATAGGTAAGTAAACTCCGCCTAATTCCTCTGCCGGTCGACTGGCCGTAGTAAAGAACGCTCCCCCATATATTTTAGTGTAATTCGAGAGATTTCACGTGGCCACATTGAGGCCCGACCTACGTTTGCTCGGGAAGTCTTCTGCTCATGGGCCCCAGAGGATTGGATCCTTTAAGGGAGCAGCCGTAGGCCGTAACAATGTTAGAAAATAATAAACAAAGTAATTCGCTTCTGCGCATATTTCAGGCATATAAATTACGTCCTAATATTTTAACACTTTCATTGTCCGGTTTGCAGACACAATAGTAAGACAATAGCGATGACCTATATGTTGTGACTGTCAGTTGCTGACAAAGGTGTTCGGTTTCACCGAACAGTGACCTATTGCCTTATCATCAAATTTTTCAAAAATATTCCAAAAAGTTATATCAATTAGATTAATATCGTTCTCAGACAAATATAAGATCTTGAATGTAAATCAATTTGGGTTTCAAAAAGTAAAGAACACGACATTAGCTATATTCAAAATTTTGAAAGATATTTGGAAAGGTGTAGATAAAAAAGGACTAGTGTTGGTCTGTTTATAGAGCTGTCAAAAGCTTTTCACTGTTTTATTCATAATATATTGTTAAAACAGTTTGAACATATAGACATACATGGAATAGCTCTCAAATTAATGGAAACTTGTCTAACTGGGAGAATGCAGGCGACGATATTAAATACATTTGACAAAAAACAAAACAAAATCAATGACTCAAGTGCAGTCCTATTTCGAAAAATTAAGTCTAGGTGTATCGCAAGGTAGCATACTAGGCCCACTGTTGTTCTTGATTTACATAAACGAGCTTCGTTAATAATTAATCATCTATATGTAATGTATGCTGATGATGCTACGATATTCCTATCCAAAGACATTAGTGTCTTTGGATAGGAAATGATGCAAATTTTGTGAATGAAATTAATAACACACTAAACACAGTATTAAACTGGCTAACGTCAATTAATCTTAAAGTAAATTTGGGAAAAACTAAACTAATAGAATTAAGGAATTATAAAAAATCTCCGGCGAAAAAAATAATAAAGTGCATGACGTGCGAAGATTTCTAGGTGTCAACATTGATAGTTATTTGAATTGGAAATCACATGTTGAGAAAAATAGCAGGATTTCAAGTAGTTGTTACGCTATATAAATATTGAATAATATAGATTCGAGAGATGTAGTAAAAAATTATTACTATGGGCATGTGTATCCACTTCTGACATATGGAATTATTCTGTTGACATTCAGTCCACATTTGTTTTGCAAACAAAAATACTTAAGGATTATGTATAATGTTAATCAATATGGCCAATAAGAAATGTATTCGTAGATTTTTAATTCCTAACGCTGACTTGTATAAACATACTTGACATTTCTGTGTTTGTCAAAGACAACCAACAACATTCTAATATAAAAAAAGAATCAAAAAAGAACTTGCGAACTCAATATGCTTTTGACGTATGCATTGTTAAATCTTCTAGTTAAATTTATAGTAAAAGTACTTTAATAAGCAGAATCAGAATCTTCAAACATTAACCGATATTCATTAAGTCATTAGAGAGCCCACGATTTAAAAAAAAGCTGAAAGAATGATTAATATCAAAATGTTTTCATAATTTAGATGAATATTTTAAAAGTAATGATTATTTATTGTTGTGCTTTACTTTTGTATTATATTGTGCGTCCGAAATGGACAAACCGTTGTAACTATATATTGTATTTGTAAGACTTCATGTACACAGTTGTACAATAAATTATTATAGTTATATATTATCAAGTTAAATCAAATCAGGAGATAGGCAGCAGCGTCTTCCTAATAACGACTAAAAAATAAATAACTGTAGTCGCCAACTCGCTTGTCAAGAGTGGCAGATATCCTTCCAATGAGACATGCAATCTATTTACAGCAGTGGACTTAAATAGGCTGTAACGGTTACGGTAATTCCTTAAATTATTTCAAATAACATCATATTTTCCCCATTTTAATAAACGCGCGATTTAGATAACCCAGCTTCCAAATGTTGTGCCAAATTTTCAATTCTAAAATCAATTTTTTTGCCAAAATATACAGTTTTAATTCCAATCTTATTTCCACTGTCTATTACTCTGAATATAACCTATCTTATCAATAAGGAAGTTACACTTAATCTGATAAGTAAATTCCAAAAATTAACTTAATATGATACTGTTGGTTTAAGATTGGTTCGCGAGTACGCTCGTTGGTTGGAGGAGGGGGATAAAGTACGAGCAGCTCCCCACCACGCTGATATCGCAAGGTTCATTTCCGAACAGGTATTTAATCTTCAGCTTATGGATGTGGGATATAACATTTTTTTTCTAATGCTCGCAGTGCACATTGCTTCATGCTAACTTCTCTCTGGCGACTGATAAGTGACCGAATCATTCAAAACTGCAAATCTAAAACTACGATCTAGTGCGGAAGAGCAGAATGTCATGTAAATATTAGGTCCTTACATATGAAATTGGTGTTTTGTACGGGAGGAATATATAGTCAATTTTTTTTGTAAAATATATTTAATTAATCAAAGTATGCACCGTTGTAATCTATGCACTTTTGCCATCTCATAGTTAGTTCATTGATCCTTTTACTAAAAGAACCATGGGGGCGAGAATCATTAAACTCTTTGAAGGCGGTTTTAACTGCCGCATCGGAGTTGAATTTTTTTCCTTGTAAAAAGTTGTCCGAATTCCGGAAAGAATGGTAATCTGTTGGAACAAGGTCCGAGGAGTACGGTGGATCGCAGACATTCCAATTGTAGCTCATCTAACTTAGAGGTTGTTTGTTGTGCAGCGATGGACCAATCTCGGTTGTTTAGCAGCTAGTTATCCTTCATGGTTTGCAGTTGCTGATAATAGATATCTGCCGTAATCGTTTGACCAGATTTTAGAAAGCTGTAGTGAACGACACCGGTGCTGGTCCACCAAACACTCACAAGTAACTTTTTCTGAGTCAATTTTCGTTTAGGGCAGGATTTGGCTGGGTTGGAGACCCACGATCATCATGGTTCAGCCATTGCCACGAGCGCTTCCGATTATCGTACAGTATCCACTTTTCATCACAAGTAATCATTCGATTTAAAATCACTTCATTATTGGGTCGGTTGAGCAAAGTAACACAGCAGTCGACGCGTGCTTGCAAATTCGATTCACTCAATTCATGAGGTACCCATCGTTCCAATTTTTTTTCATTCCCGATTTGATTCAAGTGGATTAATACAGTTTTATCACTTACCCCGAAGCCTGCAGCTATCTCTGAAGTGCTTTGTGATGGATCCGCTTAGCCTTTAATTCTTCATTTTCCACTTTGGTCTCCGGCCGTCCATGGGGCCGAAATTTTCGAAATTTCCAGAACGAAAACGTTGAAACCAAAAACGTACCGTGCTTTCTTTTTCGACACCAGCGCCTTACACATCATTAAACCTTCGAGCTGTTTCTGCAGCACTGGTGCCACGGTAGAACTCGTACTCGCAAATATACTGATATTTCATGTTTTTCATTGTGCGGTAATAAGCGACGCCAAAGAAAAAAATAATGATGAAGCAACAAATGAATGATTGTTTTCTAAACTCAAATGTTGTCAAACCAGCTAAATGAATTTATAAATTTGAATTTGGAATTCTTAATCAAATAGAAGATATTTCAGATCAAGTTGGTCAGTACGACAAAACGCTAATTTCATATGTAAGGGCCTAATATAAGAATATTTTAACATAATAAAATATTATATAAAATGTATTATATTTAAACTTACTTACTTACTTACTTATCTTCACGCACAATCCCTGACGGGGTAGCCAGAGAGAACAGATCGCCAAGTGTCACGATCCTTACAAACCTCTTTCGCTTCTTTCAGATTCATTATCTTCTTCATGCATGCACGTCTAGGTATCCGAGTACTCTTGACCCTACCCTCTTCGAGCAATTTGCTCACATGGTCTTCGAAAGTTAGTCTCGGTCTACCTCGATATATATATATTTAAAATATTGTTATATTTAAATTTTTCTATATTTAAAGAATAAATTCTCATTTTCGCACTACACAAGCAACTCGCTTAATTAGCAATTTCAATTTACAGAGTTTGGACGCGGCGTGGAGAAGTTCCCTGGCGGGCTGGTCGGGCGAGCGCTCGCCGCCGCAGCGCCGGGCGCCGCGCAAGCCGCCGCCACTTCCCTTGCAGATGGCTATCGACAACATACTCAAAGTCAATGATCGCTCGTCTACGAGGTTAAGTTTTCACTATGTACATACTTTATATTTTAGTAGCAATGGCTCATAACTTCTTGCATAACATGTACTTTGAAATTATATTTTTGTAATTAAAGTAAAAAGAACACTGAAGCTGAACCTTTGACAATATTTCACCTATATAAATTAAACTTAGCTATGTATTAAGTATATATCACCCTAACATAAATTAAAAAAAAATTAAATGTACATTCAATACTATTTAAACTTGTTTGCTTGTTTACTGATGTTCTTTAGTTTATACGGTGCCATTTATTTATACTTGTAGACCACGTGTACCAGATATCAAGCCTGTACTAGACGGTGATAACAACTTGGCAGATGCCCGCGTCGTTTACGGCCTCGTTGATAAATATTTGAAGGACATCGAAGCACTTGCCAAGTAAGATTTGTTACTTGCGATTGTACAGAAGAAAATTTGCATGTAGATGGCGGTGTGCTCGCGATAACTGAATTGGTAAATTCGCAGGGAATGGGCTAGTGACGTGGAGCGGTTATGCAAGTTGGACAGCAAGGTATGGGAACTAGTGGCAGCGTTACGAGTGAGGCGTCCCTTACCAGCGTGCCTGAAGAAATGTGAGAACAACTGCAAGCCGCTCACCTTCGTCATACAGGTCACTTTAGTTGATAGATTTTATATGTTAAACAGTTCAGTTTATTGTTTACTAATCTTTATCTTTCTTTTTTATCGGTCCGTAAAAATCTACAACTGGACAGGAGCCTCTCCCGTCTTATAAAGAATTTGCTTTTATAGCTATGCTTAACCGTGTAACAGTGTTGTTTTTTTATTTAAATAGAATATGGGTGACAAACGAGCACACAGTCTACCTGATGGCAAGTGGATGTTGTGGCCCATAGACATCTTCATTTATCATCGATTAAGAATCAAAATACAAATGCGTCGTCACCCGTGAGGACTAAGATGGAATGCCTCATATCCGGTAAAAAGGGTCTCCGGTTCTCTACACTCACTATACAAAACACAACAGCATTAGGCTGCTATTATACGCTGGTATTCTATGAGAGCGTGGGCCTCCCCGGTCGAGCCGACTCATTCGTGCTACAAGCATAATACAGCTGCAGCGTGGCTCTACCACGTTTAAAAGTGTGATGTAGTAGTGTGGTAGTAGTGGTGGTGTAAGAATACCCACTACCCCATATCATCCCGTGGGTGTCGTAAGAGGTGACAGCGGGTAACAAACCAGGATATGCGTAGTAGCATCTTCCATTAACAAAGAAATCCTGCGGTTGCTATCCCCGCCTGAATCTATTGGAGTCCTACCCAATAGGTGTTCAACAGTGAACTTTTGATAGGCTATAACGGTAACGATCACGATTGACAGGCGAAATGACGATCTCAGTACCAGACGTTAGCACTTTTGATGCTGCTCCCCTTGTCTGGTCTGGTTATTTTACGTCTGACGTACACGAATTGTTTATACCGCCATCTATCGGAAGGCATAATGTTTTTCCGCCAATGAGGGCTATCCACGACTTTTTCTGCTATCAGGGCGGTGCCAAGTAGGAATGGGGTGAAATATTTGACAGATTTCATAACGAGGGAAGTTAATTTGTATGTTTCTATCTTAATAATTAGATTAAAAATGGATAAACCAAACTAAGGCTATTCTTAAATATAGAAGAATCAAGATAAGTTAAAAACGTGTATGATTCGCAACTTTTCAATGATGGTGACACTGTGTGTCATGATCATTGAAAACTTGTAAATTATGTAACGAATAAGTTCACTTTAGTCCCAACTAAGGACTTCTGGTTAGCGTAAGATTAATTCCTCATTGCTATAGTATATATAGTCGCCTCTTACACCAACCACGGAATTAGACGGGCTGATGGATCCTCCTACGACGTCACCACACGGCACGAGGGATTAAGAGGTCCCTTACTTAGATAGATCTTACTCTCTTTTAAAAATTTGTAAATCCTTTACTTTATTTGTGCACAGAAAGACGAGTGGGTTATATCGACAGGAGCTGAACAAGGGATACAAGAGAACAGGTAGGTAATTTTTTTTAGGTTAACTATGTGTGTAAAAATGTTTGTTTGACAACTCTTGGGGCTCTCACGCACTATACGACCGCGCACTTGGCTGCATAGGCTAACTGGTCGTTATGATCAAACTATTTATATAGTTTATATACCAGCATATTATAGCTTTTGCAATGAAAGTTGCGGTCACGAATAGCCTGATTCGTGGTTGTCTAGTGCGTGAGAGCTCTTAAAATGTAGTTTAATTGATTTGTGTCAAATACTTAATCACTGTTTTGTGCAGGCGCAGTGCCTCGGCAGTGCTGCGTAGAGTGGCGCGACCTCGACCGCACGCCGCACGCCTTGCAGCTGCCTTACACACTCTTGCCAGGTTCAATATCATATCTTATTGGTTTCTTATATTTACGCGAACACTACACATTTTTAAATAAAACTAATTTTACGGATTCTATCGCGTATATTAACTTTTTTTTTATATTCCCGACGTTTCGGGTGCTTTCCAGCACCCGTGGTCACGGGGGACTGAGGTGTTTGACGTCCTGCTGTCATAGTTAGCCCGGCTACGTTCAGTTTTTTAATATTAATTTTTGATTCGATTTACGCAGAATGAGCTTAAAGTATCTTGAAGTCTAGCAGGGGTATACTTGGGTTTGGATTTGATTTTATTAATTATGGGATCCCAAGCAGATGGCAGCACCCATCCATCTTCTCTATTGAAATTAGGATGTTTTTTTTTTAATTTCAATAGCCTCGCGAATCATCCTTGGGAGGAATCGATGTTCTTTTGCGAGGATTTGTGGTCTATCAAATCTAATGTAATGGCGGGGACGATCTTGAACATGTTCAGAAACTGCAGATTCCCGAGACGTCGGTGCGTCACGTCAGCTATATGTTCTTTAACGCGGGTTTTAATAGATCTTTTTGTTTGTCCTATGTACGAGAGACCACATTCACAATCCAGCTTGTACACTCCTGCATCTTATAGAGGGATATGACACTTGACGGATGGTAAAAATTGACCAATCTTCTTCAGCGGCTTGAAGTATGTTTTAATGGAAGCTCGCTTCAAGATGTAGCCAAACTTGTCGGTGACTCCTCTGACATAGGGTAGTACAGCAGGCACACGCTCGACTGTGGCTGGCTTCACTCGGTCACTGTGACGTAGGCGCGGGACCCGAAGCTTGTTGTCTTGCAGTACTTGCTCGACGTCCTGAAGCTCGGCGGCCAGATGTTTTCTGTCACAGATCCCTCGTGCTCTCTGAAACAAAGATTTTCCCACGGTATCTAACTGTGAAGGATGATGGTGAGATTCACCATTTAAATATCGGTTGGTATGGGTATTTTTTCTGTACACAGTATGACCAATAGTGTTATCAGGATTTCGGATGACTAAAACATCTAGGAAAGCACCGGAAATGTCGAGAATATAAAAAAAAAATAAGTTAATATACGCGATAGAATCCGTAAAATTAGTTTTTTTTTTAAATATCTTATTGGTTTTTGTTTTTAGAAAGTAGGATAACAAATGAGCACTTGGTCCACCTGATATTAAGTGGGTGCTGTGGCCCAGAGATGTAGATGCGCGTCACTTATGTATAGCTCTTGTCACATTTTGGGCTTCGCGCGCGTCGTGCTCCGTTGAACGACTTGGGACTGACTTTGAATAGTGTATATGACTTAATTTGTATATCGCTTTGTTCTAGATTTTTCTAATAATAATATTTGATTCGCTTAGACTATAGACTTCTATTTTACATAGTTACCTATAAAAAAAATTTAAATTATCAAAATGTAATTTTGACATATCAATTAGTAATTTAGAATATTACGTAATATCATAATTGAACTCGTTATTATTGTTGCGCGCCACTATTAATGTCTTGTACATGGCAACACTAGTTACACTAGCGTCCTCTAGTGTCGAGTAGCAGAACTAGGAGAGTCAAGATAATTCTAGAAATTTCGGGATCGATATGTACTCGAACATTCTAGATTTCGCTACAGTAGAAGGTTCTGGAAACTATCTGATGCCCTATATAAGGCCGGTATAGACCACGACCGAGGCAGTATTGAATTGACGATACAAGCGAATACTTCGAAGCGAAATAACTGCGAACTAGTGATCAGTAGTAAAATTGTGTTTTATTATTAGTGTGGTTTTAGATTGTAATTAGTGTTGTGTAATTAAAGTGTCAATTTTGGTAATTCAATCGGCAGTTTTTAATTGTCTCGAACCCCAAGCTCGTAACATTATTAATAATACTATCTAAATAAACAATAATTACGATAATTACATATCTATACAATTACATGATACGTAGGTAGAATGATCAGTATGTCTCGTCTACAGCGCGCTAATGGATGCCATACACGATCCAGTTTACCGTCAAGTTTGCAGCGCGCTTGAAGCGGCCTACGGTAACGGTAACCGTGACGGTGTATGGCTATAAGTGTGCATGACAAGTCTACTTAAAGCAAAAATTGTATTGCGATTCTGCCGATTTGATCAAGCTTGCAGCGTCATGTAAACTTGAACGTATGTATGAGCGGTCTAGTATGTATGATGTTAGTCGGAGCAAAAAGCGGGAGACGCCGTGCTTACAACGGTAAGGGTATCATGCAAGCTTGACGAATTTGAACGTGAGTAGTCTATATGGATGCACTACAAACTGGATGCCGCTTCCAGCGTTATCTATCACGATAAAAACTAATCGCACATGCGGGACGCGACTATTAATTAAGCATGCGTGACGACACAGGATGATGTACATTATTTGTTTGAAATAGCTAGTAGTTCTTATATGTAAGTTAAAAAAAAACTTCAATGAAGGAAATCGGCTTTTGCGATCAAGGTGAAGCTCAAGCTAGTATCTCAGCCCCAAAGTTCAAAGTCCCAGAATATATGCAGGCCTCATCTGTCTAAACCGCGGACAGCAAAAAGAACCAACAAGTCTATTCTCGACCAACTAAAGATTACTACCAGACTATTCACTATATGCTACCAACGAGTCCTAAGTTATTTTGGTCATATTGCCCAGAGACAACCAGACAATCTGGATAAATTGGTTGTAGTAGGGAAGATCGAAGGAAAAAGTTCACGTGGGTGATTACCTACCCGCTGGTCTGACCAGATTCAAAATATAACGGGACTTAATATTCCGACTGCCCTGAGACAAGCCGAGGACAGAGTGGTATGGAAGAAGCTAGTCGACACATCGGTGAAAGCATTTCAAGACAAACACGACCTTCAGTAATGAAGCACACGAATAAGAAGAGATCTATCTAAAAGTTTAAATGTTTTATTAAGCAAAAACTGTTTAGTAAGGGTTATTATTGTAATAAAGAATACATAATTCATAATAACGCTCAGGAATGAGATGATCGCTACCATGCTGTTTCTAATTATTTTAATATACTAAGGGTGGATTCGACCAAATAACTAACCCTAGAATAATTTTACTCTTTGCTCTTACTCTCAGTTAACCGGTTCAGTGTTGGTGACACGCCAGGCGTGCCATCGATTACTTTTGTCTGTGGCGCCTGACACGTCCGGCGTGTCATGAAATATTTGTTCGCCGCCACAGCTAAAAGTTGTCGAAAATTGGTGCCGCAACGAATCGGTTAACTTCGTTTGCGTTTTTCCAACACAAATGTAGAGTAGCTAATACTGGTTATTGTTATTCTAGAGTTTGTGAATGAAAAGTGAATGAACATGTAAGCAAACTAAAATCGAAATACAATTGTTTACATAGAGCAATATAAGATTTTTTGCCCATGTAATGTCATAAATGTATATTGTCGGAGGTAAAGGGGTGTCTACAGGGCACTACACCCACTTAGTTTTGCCGGATTATAAGTATAACTGTCACTGAACACTAGAATATTAACACCAATTGAGTTGTCAGTTGATTATTTTTCTAATCATATTCTTATCTTTTGAAATAAAATGTCTGCAAAAAAAAGTAGCCCAAATTGGTTACCTTCGAAAAAGAATTTGTTGTTAGAACTAGTAGAAAAACATTTTCGTGTCATTGAAAATAAAAAAAAAACACACGCGGTTACGATGAAGCAAAAATTGGCAGAATTCTCGATCATATTTCGTAAACGTTGTATTATTTAAAAAAATAATCCCTCCAATTATTACAAAAATACAAGCAATTATAAATGCACAACGATGAAATATCCTACTTTTTCGACAAACGATACGAAAACAGCTGTTAAAATGTAACGGCCGCCATTAAAATACTCTGGGATAACTTGCTTACTTCATGAATTTTGGCGATATAGCAATTTACTCTCGGATAGACCAGTTATACCTGGGTTAAGATTTGGTAAAACGAAAGTTCTGTAACTCGAGTGTAATTAGTGGCTTTTATTCTCAGGATAAGACTTATTCTAAGCTTGGTTGAATCCGCCTTTAATTGTATGAAATTTAAATTGTAAATTAATGTTTAAAATAAAAATTCCCATTGGATTTTTTGCTGATCCTTTCCAGGACAGAGGTTTTTTGTAGTAAGTATTTTTATAATGTATATAAAAATGATTTTGTATAATTTTACACAGAAGTGTGCGCAGTGGCGAGGCCGCGGCGCGCGTGGCGGAGCGCGCGGCGCGCAGCGCGGCCGCGGCGGCGCTCTGCCCGCTCGCCGACAGCCTGCTGCACTCGCTCGTTTCTTATCTCGCAGAGGTATGCTGCTCTCTTTTTTTTATCACACGATTGCACTATTGCAAGCATGTTTCGTTTTGTTAATTTATACAGTTATGTGGAGGCGGAGTAAGAGAATCTATCATCTCATTTCGTATCCTGGGTATTGTGGTCATACCATGGGAAAAGCCAGAAATATGTCATGCTTCACGTATGGCGTATTTATGAAATACGTGAATTCCGATAAATGATAAATTAAAAAATTCCACTAAACATCTAGACTGTGTGTCAAATGGTTTTTTTTAATAGAATAAGGGTGACAAACGAGCAAACAGTCCACCTAATAGTAAGTGTTTGCTATGGTTCATCAAATATCTACATCTATCTTTGTTTGCGAATTAAAATGCAGATGCGTTGTCAGCCGTGAGGACTAAGATGGAATGCTTCTTTTTCAGTAAAAAGGGTCTCCGGTTCTCTGCACTCACCATACGATACATAGCAGCATTAAGCTGCTATTTTACGCTGGTATTCTGTGAGAGCGTGGTCCTTCCCCTGTCGAACCGACCCATTCGTGCTACAACTATATTATTAATATAGCTGCAGCATTGCTCTACCACGTATAAAAATGTGTAAAAAGTGGGTAGTTTTGAGAGTTGTTGGTGAATGAACGAAAACAAAAACGATTTTTTTTCCTTTTTTACCGACTTCAAAATGGAGCAGGTACTTAATTCGACTATATATTCCTTTTTTCTACGGACTTCAAAAAGGAGACGGTACTAAGTTTGACTGTATGTTTTTTTTTATGTATGTAACCTAATACATTTTTTCTATGTGAACCGATTTCGATGAAAATTTTTTTATTTGAAAACTGGTGCTTCTCATATGGTTCCATATAAATTTGATCAAGGTCCAACCATTAGTTTTTGAGTTATTCTTAAATTTATGTAGAAGTCGGTTTTATAATTAAATTATTCACATTTGTTTCAATGAAATTGATAATTCGAAACCGCGTGTGCGAGTTAACGTGAACGAGCATTTAGTTTTAAGCAGTGCATAATATACAATATAGATATACTGTGTGGCTAAGTGTCGCGATGTGTTGTGTGGCAGCGGTGGCTGTGCGGCGAGGCGTCGCGGTGCGTGCCGCTGGTGGCGCGCTGGGGCGGTGCGGGGGGCGGCGCGGCGCGGCTGTGCGGCGCGCTGGTGGCGCCGCGCCGGCTGCCGGCCGCCGCGCACGCGCAGCTGTACCGCGCGCTGCTGCACGCCCCGCTGCCGCCGCACGCCGCCTTCAGCTGCCTCTCCAAGGTACACACTTTTTCACATATCTCTTTCAATTTGCCTCTATAGTAGGAGACAATTCAGATAACTATTGGTTACATAAACGAGAGATACAGTTTGATATGTTGCAAATTACATATCTACATCCATTTACATCACTTGATAACTGTAGAAAAGAGTCAAACAATTCGTTACTTTGAGTGAAGACTGTAAAGTATCGTGCGCGGCGGAGGGGGCAGCGCCGCCATTTTGAGGTCGTTTCATAACGTACACGTATTCACGTAAAACACACGGCCGTGTCCACGACATAACCAAACCTAGTTTTTTCCCTAAATGATCCACTTATACGTGTATATGTCTAGATTCGTCATTTCAAACGGGCAAAGGTCCTTAGACCATACAGCCTAGTCTGAGTTGTATTTTTATTTTTCACAAAACACTACTATATGCTGATGTATTACTTTGCGGATTCCTAAAAGATTTTGAACACACAGCAAGGCGCCTTAGCAGACACAATAGCTTCAGGTTGATATCACCATCGGAGTATTCATTTCAACGTTTCCACTAATAATTCAGAACAAAATTGTGTCTGAATTCGAGACTTTATTCAACATAGTCCAGTCCAACGCATTCCAGTATAATCTTATACTCACCACATTTGGTAAGATTCACCAATTTTTTTATAAAACAAATGACCGATATTATATTGCCTCGTAAAGGAGATATTTTAGTGGCCACACTGAACACGTGGCAAATTGGTAAAAGGCTGCTGCCCACCTCCTAGTTTTTTACCAGAAATACGAGTAAAAATACAATTACATTTTTATATTTTTTGGTTCACAGTTCGAAATGAGTTCGTGGACAGAAAAAGTTGACTCTACACAGAGAGAGGAAATGCTGGATCTGCTGATAGAAGCAGCTCAGCGTTGGGGACCCAATCCCGACCCCGAATACCATATTTTATTAGAGGTACGATTTTCTTGTAATCTGATTAACATTCTGGCAAAAGCCAATCTTATAAATGTAAATAATTTTATACTGAGTTAAATAAATAGTTTTACTTCATAAGTATAACTTGCTTTGTGTTTTTGGCGTCTGAGATTTAACGGACAGTGGTAACTTGAAAAAACTAAGAGTAATACACACCATTTTATTTAATACGCTGATCTTAGGTCATTTATTTTCACATTTTTCAATTGAATCACGACAATAATGGTTAAATTTGATGTTTATAGTTTAAAAATATACCCTGCCAACGGGGAGATTATGGAAAATTCTTCCTATAATAGGATAGACCAATGTTTGTTAACCTGTGGTCGACCCTCCCCCCGGGTCGGACCCCCTCATCAGCAATCTCATCTCTAGACTATTTGACAATAATAAATAAATGCCACCAAAAGTCTCGTTATCGCTACGCTTACTTAGCATGGTGAACGTGTACTAGTGGGCGGTGTGCGATGTGAATATACGGATATTAGGATGCATATAGATTAAGTAACATGTTGTATAACTTTATAACACCTTTACATTATGTAACATTGTTTTACAACATTGCAACATATTACAATACTGTACACATTAGAATAACAATGTTATATGACATTGTCGTTTGTCGTTCTGCCGTTCGACTTATATAACACGTTTTATAACATGTTATGTTATATAATATGTACGCACCGTTAGCAATGACGCAAACTTGATTGTATAAGTTCGTTACGAACACAAATATAGCATAAGTGACGATTTTAATCTGTATGCCTTTGTCGTCGCTCTACAGGTGAAGCAATATTTGAAGTATTGAACAACTTTATATCTTCTCATGAAATAACTTTGGGAAAATATGTGGCAGTTAGCACCGACAGTGCTGGGGCTATGACCAGTACATAATAGGACTTCAGGCACGCTTGAAGAAGATGAATTGATCTATTATCTGGCATTATTGTTGCATTCTAGTTGCTAAAAATATGCCGGAAAAATTGAAAACAGTGTTAGACGAGTGGCAGATGGTGAATTTGATTAAAGCTTGGCCTCAAAATTCATGTATTTTCTTTATGATTTGTGAAGAAATAGGAAACATTCACAAGCAGTTGTTATTGCATGCTGAAGTGCGTTGGTTATCTCGTGGCAAAGTTGTGTCGCGTGTTTGTGAGCTGAGAGATGAAATCAGAATGTTCTTTTTAAAGAGTTCTGTAGGCGGCGTTAGTAAACATGCTGATTATTTTAATGACTTTGGATGGCTCACAATAGCAGCATACTAATTTGCCAATATCGTTAGTGCCCTTAAAGAGCTAAACTTGAGTCTACAAGGAAGAGATAACAACATCTTCCAATTTGAAGATAAAATTGAAACATTGTTTGAATTATTGTAGTTTGTTGAAATAAAAATTAAATTAAATTAATAAATATAAGTTTTATTTTTATGCAGAGTTTTGGCGTTCAATAAATAAATTAAAAAACATTCGTGAGTGTCGTGGAACACTCGGTTGGAACGAAGTTCCTTTCGTAGTATATTATTATTGATAAACGTATTATATTATTGATTAACAAATACAAATAAATGAATTACTAGCGTCTATTAAAATGAAGCATCATTTAAAATAATATTTCATTAATGGCAAAATAATAAGAAAAAGTGCGGAGGATTTGGATATTATTCCATCTCGCTCACACTACAGAAAGGGGGTCGTGACGGAAAAATCTTACACATTTTTCTCGCCTAGCCCCCATCCGTCAAATTCGTATCGTGCGATAAGGAATTTCGTTCCAATAAATGTTTTGTTTGACACGGTCGGTGAACAGCTGGTGGGTGTTCACCTGGAGGCAGTGTGCGGGGCGCAGGAGCTGTGCGGGCTGCTGGCGAGCTGCTCGCGGGCCGCCGCGCGCGCCGCGCTGCCGGCCGCAGCCTGCACGCACCTCACCAACGCAGCACGCAAGCTCGCGCACCATCTCAACTCCAATCAGGTGCCTATCTGCTGAATTATCCCCGTACTACAAGCCCAGCCAACACACACTTTCTATAATCGTTAAATCTTATAGAAAACTTTTAAAATAAAGGGAGCACAAGTAAAAAGACTTGGAGGAAAAAAATATAGCTCCGTGGCGCTGTGTAGCATTTCATTGCGAAGCTTAGGGTTGCAAGTTCGAATTCGCACGGAATAAGAATTAGTATGACCTACAATTTACTGTTCCAGGCCTGGATGTTTTTCTTGAGCAATTTATATATATATATATATATATATATATATATATATATATATATATATATATATATATATATATATATATATAAACTGCATCCTCGACATAGGAGTAAATCCTATTTAATCCTAAAGAAAAAAGCTACTTCAAGTTACACATACTTATTATACATAGATGTTGATTTTTATATTATCTATTTGCGTAAACGATTGTAGAAAGTCAACTTGGCTAAACTGCTGTATTTATTATATTTATTTTTCGTTAAATACGTTCTCAATTCTTTTACCTTATATCAAGTTTTAATTCAGTCTACATAAATCATCTAATAATTTATTTGTATCATATATTAACAGAATTTGAATATTCAATATTATTATAAGAATATTTGGATCATACACTATATACAACTTGGACCTAAATCTAATATTAGCTGTATGCTGGCAGACCTGCGGGCGTAGAAAAAAGCGACTATGAGAAAAGTCACAAATAACTCATCTCCTTCAAATGCCATTATAGCCATCTCGTATATGCCAAACTCACAGCAATGTAACTACTACTAACAGTTGGTCTTCGAAGAGATCCAGATGGGGCATCGTACGGTGCAGTGCGGCACGAGACGCGGGCTGAGCACTTCCCTAACGGCCCTTAGCTGTTTAGGAAGAAGTCCGCTAGGGTTGTGCTGTTATCCTAATAAATTATAATGGTTGACACTTCATGTGCAGTAAAAACTGTGCCTCGTCCTCATTTAAAGATAAGGAATTAGTTACATCGGTTTCCACATACACATTAATTTGTTTAAACGTGAAATAAAATAAAAGCAATTTATTGTTTATGTCGGCTTTTCCGACGACATGAAACGCAAAGCGCATGCGGTTCTGACGCGTTCGTATGTTCTTCTTAGGCTGTGTTCACCAGTATGTTTCGACTCATACTCGGAACGTACTGCAATCGTCGATCCTCCTACCAAGCGTGGCGATAACGGCAAATTCTTACTACAATGAAAGAGTTTTACCAGCTGTGGATTATTACGGGCTGATGATTTTTTTTTATAGGAGAGGGAGCAAACGAGCATGCGGCTCACCTGGTGGTAAGTGACTACCGCCGCCCATGAACAGCTGCAACACCAGGGAGGGAATCGTAGATGAGTTGCCGGCCTTTTAAAAAGGAGTACGCTCTTTTCTTGAAGGTCCCTAAATCGTATCGGTCCGGAAAAATCGCTGATGGTAATCGATTCCACAAGGAAGTCGTGCGAGGAAGAAAACATCTAAATCGCACAGTGGTGGACCGCCAATCATCCAGATGGTGTAGATGGTGTCGGGAGTTCTGCCGCGATGTGCGTTCGTGAAATTTGGCGGCTGGGATTAATCCGAACAATTCCTCAGAGCACTCCCCGTGGTAGATGCGAAAGAAAATGCAAAGGGATGCAACATCTCTTCGCAGTGCCAATGAATCGAGCCGATCGGAAGGACTCTGTCGTCGACGATTCGAGCCGCTCTGCGCTGGATGCGGTCAAGTGGAAGGAGCTGGCACTGGGGAGCCCCTGCCCAGAGATGGGAACAGTATTCCATGTGAGGCCGAACCTGCGCCTTGTAAAGTTGCAGGCGATGTACCGGCATGAAATACTGTCCCGCTCTGCTGAGCACGCCATGCTTTTTAGAGGCCAATTTGGCCTTCTCTTCCAAGTGACCACGAAACTGCACGTCACTCGATATATTGACTCCGAGGATTCCGATACTGGCTGAGGCAAGAAAGGGAGTGCATTGAAACTGAGGAGATACGACAAAGGGGTTCTTTTTAGCGGTAAACGCGCAAACTTGTGTCTTCTGAGGATTAAACTGGACTAGATTTAGTCACAAGCAAAGACTCAACTTCAGACACAAGTTTGTTCCGGTACTCGGCGACGTTTTCCCGAGAAATATTGGCACGGCCGGTGTATAGAGCATCACCAGTGCTGTCATCCGCATAGCAATGAATGTTACCAGTTAGCAACATATCATTGATATGCAGAAGAAACAGCGTTGGTGATAGCACACAGCCTTGTGGAACACCAGCGTTAATAGGCTTGTAGTCGGAGCATGCACCGTCTACAACGACCTTGATGCTCCGATCTGCAAGGAAGCTGGTGATCCAGTCGCACAATTTCTCGGGAAGCCCATAGGAAGGGAGCTTCGAAAGAAGCGCTTTGTGCTAAACCCGATCGAAGGCCTTCGCAAAGTCCAAACTAACGGCCAACGCCTCCCCCTTGGACTCTACTGCCTCTGCCCATCTATGGGTCAGGTAGACCAGAAGATCACGAGCTGATCGACCCCGACGAAAACCGTATTGGCGGTCACTAATCAGCTGGTGATCTTCAAGGTACCGCATGAGCTGGCAGTTAATAATTGATTCCATTATTTTGGAAAAAAGGAGGTGATCGCGATAGGCCTATAGTTGGACGGGTCTGAGCGGTCGCCTTTTTTAGGGATCGGGTGGACAAAAGCTGTCTTTCATGAACTCGGGACTACGCCTTGGGAGTAGGAGTACCGGAAAAGACGCGTTAGGACTGGTGCCAACGCCAACAAAAACTGGTACAATAAATATGAAAAATAATATTTATTGTACAAGTTTTATAAATGAATATATCGTACTTGTATAGTGGTCTGAAAGAAGATGTAGTGACAAAAATTGAGAAAGGTATGCTGAGATGGTTTGGCCATGTCGAGAGAATGAATAAAGAACGATTGACGAAAAAAGTGTATAAGGCGAGTGTGAATGAAAGTGTTGGAAGGGGTAGACCTAGGCGGACGTTTCTAGATCAAATCAAGGACGTCTTGAAAAAAGGCCAGGTCAAGAGTACCCTAAACCGTAGAGCATGTATGAAGGGAATCATGAAAGTGGACGAAGCGAAACAAGTATGTAAGGATCGTAGCAAGTGGAAAGAAGTGGTCTCTATGTATATGTATGTATAGTGTTGTGCCTTATGAGAATTTCGGTGGCACCGTTATCTATCGGAAATCATGAGATCTTTCTCGAATTACCTGTAGTCGGCTTGTACGACATCTACTGAAAGAATTGATCAGATGTATCGATTCTATTTACACCGCCACCACATGCCAAGTACAACGAATAGTAATAACGACAATATAAAAGATAATATATTTTTGCAATAAAGATGTGAGTCTAAAAGAACAAATAAAATGCAATCATAAATTTCCAGTTGGGAAATTTACTAAGGGAACTGGGCGTCATCTGGTGGGAGACTCGAACGGCTGCCAACGCGGAGAGTCACACGTACGAACCGTACGCGCCCCACGTGGCCGAGTTGCTAAGTATCTTGCAGCGCGCCTTCGTGGCGGCTACCCGCACGTTGGGGCATGACGTCGAAAAGCGTGAGTTACTGTCAAAAATATTTTATTCAGTTCACACTACATTGAGATGTAAAACAACTATTGGCATGCATGAGCAGTAAAATTGACTTATATGCCGTGACGGCAAACGAAATGACACTCTCTTACGTCGTCTTAGGCCGGGTTTATATTTGTCTGTCGTGTTTTGTCGAGACGGGCTCTGACGTACTCTGGCGATATTTTGGGTCAATACGGTCGTAGCTTTCGTAAAATTCATATATTCCCAATGTTTTTCCATGATTCATCCGACTCTGATTTAGATTATGAAGAATACATTGAATTTTGTGCTGGCAACTCATCTAAAAAAATTCTATCAGGTTGTCCATACTTTAAATTAAAAAAGTATCTATATTTTATACCGAGACAAAGCGCATGCGGTTCTGACGCGTTACAACACAACACTGGCGCGTACACACTTGTCTGATGAGTCTTCAGGCGGATATAATCGGAATATTTTCTGATGCTTTGCATCAGAAGCCATCATAACACATTACGTCACACAAATATATACTCACCACACTAAATGTATGAAACCGATACCATTCTGATGTGTCACAACCACGGACTCCGTGGTCACAACACAACACGTCAGACAAATGTAAATCCGGCTTTATGCCTCTACTCCACCGCTCTCGACTCCCTTGTGTATACGTGCGTGTATACTGCACACTTCGTTGCTTCTCTGTGTGAGTTGTGTACCCCGTGTGTCTTTATATTTGATTATAGTATACTTGACGCGTTCACCTCTTGTGTATACACTGTTTCTTTTAATATTATTGTTTTTGAAAGGACATTGTTAAGTGCTTGAAATATTTCGAAATAGTATTATTTTTATTTATTTTTATTCTATATTTCTTTATTGGTTTTCAGTAATTATAAATTCTACCGTACGTCCGTCCAGTGACGGACAGCATTTTACTTTTTCAGTTGCCTGTCACGTTTACGCAAAATTTTTCCTAAAGCTTGGCTTAATAAAATGTGTGCGTGCAAGAATATACAATGCTTGAAAAACTTATAGATATAAGTGAGGCGCAATCTTATGTCTACGTATATAAAACCTCCTCTTCTCCTTTGTATATATTGTTAATCGTCTATAAATGTGTATAATTGAACCAGAGCGACGTAGAATTTTATTATATTTGTTGTTACGGCCCTCAGCTGCCCCGGCAAAAGTCTACTGGGCTAGGGCCCATAGCAGCCTCCTCGACGAGCAGCCGAGGGTTAGGGCCCAATGGCCTATGGATTATTATTAATGGCTGCTAAGGAAACAAAAACTTACCGAGTTCCGGAGGTAGGGTTGACCACAGGGTACCAGTCAGGTGGTAAGTGAGGTGTATGTAAGTAGTGTGTGAAAGTGTGTATAAATGTGACCTGACTTAACCGATGTAGTCGGACAGCAGATCCACAGGCGCTGCTTTTCTCCAAATGTGCGATCCCTCCAGTGGGCGTTCACCAATTGAAACTTTCAACTTTTATTTCACTATATTAGTTTATCAATTTTATTATACATTTAATTAACTTCAAATTTAACTAAATCCACGTTAATCGAAATTCAAACAAGTGACACACGGCACAACTTAAGAACGGTCGGACAAAGTTGAAAAAATGTTCCATATTCACTTAGCAACAAATTATCATCGAGCACAAACGCGATCTCTTCTCGAGTCACAAAGTACAGCGTTCCACACTACAAAGTAAAATTCCTTCGCACGATATTAAAATGCCACAAAGCAACTCGTCGACGCGAATTAACGTCAATCTAAGTTAAATTAATAATTCAAAACTCAAGGATAAGCCTCGTTATCACTTAAAACGGTCAAAACAGACAACTCAATTCGAGGCGATCTTAACGAGACCCAAATCTTCGATAGTAAATTAGACGCGCACAATTTACTCAAAATTTAGACCGTCAAATCAACACCGCCGCGCGCAACGAACTCAGCGGTCGCAGACAATACTATACTTCGCCCACGCGTCGAGCGACTGAGCGCTCGGCCGAGAAAACCGCCCGAGAGAAGGGGCCAGAGGTGACCTTTAAATTCCATCGGGCGAAAACGCCGAGACACGCGTCTTGAAGTTCAAGTTTTTACAATATTAATTATTTGGCCTAAACATTTATTATTGGATATACTACTGTTTCGAGAGAAGTGACGAATATTATGGACCTCTCCGAAGAAGCTTACTAAGTTTGGACGTGGTAATTGTTCACTTGCTGTATGTGTGTGGAAGGATACGTTTTAATAAAATTTGCTTATTTGTTTATTTTTGCTTTCAAGTCTATGTCGTAAATAGATTTATAATTTTAGATATGACCTGGTATAATTTTCCACATTATCCGACTAGCAAATCAAATTTACAAACTACCTGTTCTAGTTATATATGCCGAGTTCTTAGTATTTAAGTAATTTGTGCACCCATATCGTCTTATTTCAAAACATGGTTTATAAGATAATCTCGGATGTAAACTGTGGTTTATGTATGTGTGTTTATATGGTGTACTATGGTATACGAGGGCGACACTGAAAGTTTTTAGAACTGGCCACTTGTAAACGATATAATAAAAAAGTAAGTTCAAATTTTGAAAATGGAACTCTTTGCAAATATTATTGTGTATGTATTTTAGTAATTTGTCATTTATTTAAGATTTGGCGGCAAATTGAAAGTTGTCTGTCACGTCAGCATGAATTTAACGCGAGAAAATTTTCATATAATGATTTTTTATGAATTTCGATGTCCTTTAAGTCAACAAGAAAGTTATGATAGACTTCGATTGGCCTTTCAAGATGAAACCCCATCTCGTGCCACTGTTTACAACTGGTTTAATGAGTTTAAACGTGGTCTCACTAATCTCACCGATGATCTGCGAAAGGGACGGCCTTCTACGGCGACGACTGAAGATAACATCAGTGTTGTGCGGCGTATGATAGAGACTGACAAAAGAGTGACTTAACAGCAGATTCGGACAAGTTTAGGCATCGATATGAGTCAAGTGCACAAAATCCTCCATGAACATTTAGCGGTCATCGGATGCAGCGATGTATTGATGTAAATTGACACTATTTTGAAAAGATATAATAAAACTAATAACTTGCTAGTTTGTTCAGTTTTTGATTTTCTAAGAACTTTCAGTGTTCCCCCGTGTTGTGTCGGCTTGTACGATGGCATCACTACTAAATACGAATTACTATCAAATTAAATTCAATACAAGTTACACAAATACAAATTACTATTTATTAAATTAAATAAAAATTACACTACAAATACAAGTACACACTACAGTCGGTCAGCAAAGATGCCTCGCTCTGGCGACCGACCCTTCTGCAATTAATCTAATAGATTTATACGATAACGATAATTATACGATTATGTGATAACAATAATTATTTACCTACCCGACGCGTGACGGTACCTAACCCTAAACTACACTCCCGCTTGCTCAACCTAACGCGCGTGGTTCCTAATTCCACCCATCTATCCGCTAACAAACAAAGGACGAAAACAAAAAAAAAATATTTTTATTACGTATTACGGCCGGGCGTGATTGTAGAAACAATCAACCACGCTCTGCTACCAGAAATTGTACACGCCCTTAGTTGCCCCGACAAAGGTCGACCGTACCAGGGCCCATGAGTGGTATTCGCGACGGGCAACCAAGGGAGGGGACCAAAATGCCTATGGATAATTCTAAATTAATTGCAAATAAGCAAACACAACTTACCGAGTTCCGGAGGTAGGGTTGACCACAGGGTACCAGTCAGGTGATAAGTGAGGTGTATGTAAGTAGTGTGTAGTAGAGTTTATATGTAACCTGACTTAACCGATAAAGTCGGACTGCAGATCCAAAGGCGCTGCTTCTCTCCAAATGTGCGATCCCTCCAGTGGTCGATCACCAATCGAAAACTTCTGCTATTATTTTCACTATATTTGTTTATCAACTTTATTGTAAATTTAATTAACTTCAAAGTCAACAAATCAACGTTCATCGAAATTAAAACAAGTGACTCACGACACAAGTAAAGAACAGTCGATCAAAGTTCAATATTCAATGTTCCAGGTTCACTTAGCACAAAATTATAAACACGAGAACGAACGCGGTCTCTTCTCGAGTCACAAATTTCAGCGTTCTCCCGACAAGGCAAATGTCTTATCACGATATTAAAATGCCACACAAACAACTTGTCGTCGCAAATTAATGGCAATCAGTTAATTTAATCATTCAAAACTCAAGATAGGCCTCGCTTTCACGTAACGCTCAAAATGGACATTCTATTCGAGGCGGTCTTAACTAGACCCAAATATTCAGTAGTAAATTCAAAACGCTGCGCACAATTAACCCAAATTTTCTAATCAAAACGCCGGGCGCGCGCAACCTACTAACGGTCGCAAACAATACTCAAAACGGTTACAACAATAATTATATGAGACCAGCCTCGTTGACACGTAAGACGAACTAAAATAGACCACACACAAAAAAAAGGCACTTAACGCGACGTTACAATTCAATATTAACTTCCAAAAGCAATTAACCGGCCGACGCGCGACAAAATCTTTTCCAGACTTTAAGACAAGCCTCATTATCACGAAACGTACAAATTAAGATAACTCCATAGGAGGTACGCGCCCGGTCACCGCGCAACAATTCTTTTCTAGACTTTTACAATACCATCCGTCGCGCAACAAGTATTTTCCATACTAACTCGTCGGCCGTGCACTCGAATGGAATGCGGACGGGAGCGGAGGTACCGGGCGGTGACTGGTACCGTCGAATGAACGCGCCGTGCACGCGTCGTGAATTCAAGTTTCAAAGGTTAATATTTGGCCTGAACACCCCGTATATTATATAATAGTCCTTCTAATTAAAATGTTCTTTAGTCGCGGCGCCACAGTATTTAAGAAATTTTAAATTTTATGTCAAATTCCGTACATAACATTTTAGTTCGTATATTTCCGCGGGACTTCTTTTGTGAAACGGATATTAGTTTAAACCTGGGACTATTGTTATGACAGGCAGTTGCGTTTCCGAAGATAAGGGTTGATGGCCTGTATCAAGTTAATAAAATGTGTGGGCATGAATATAGACAATGCTCAAACTAATGATGGAAGTAAGACGCTACCTTATGTCTTTGGTCATAAAACCTTTTCTTCTTTAGATTTACAAACTTACTTCCTACAGTACTTCCTTTAGATTTGATAATAGCGAGTTTTCCAGTACCTTCCCAATTAAAAGAGTGGACTGACATGGATCGAACTAGAATGTTCTACATTCTTCTTATTGGGTATTTGTATAATAAAATCTGTCTTTCTTTCTAATCGGTATTTTTAATCACCCCGCATGTAACAATATAAACAATTTTTTGTAATAAGGCTTTTGAACACTAAGGCCAAAATGCTGACGGTGTTACTTACAGCTGTGCCGTATATATTCCCAAGCTAAACTCACCATACGAAACACAGGAGCATTAAGCTGCTATTTTCTGTTCGTGTTATGTTTATTATTTTGCCCGTCATCCTCAATTGTTTGAGGTAGACGAGTACTAAACACCAAACCGATTTGACGCGCTATTGCAAAACGTTTGCAATAACGCATCAAATCTTTTTGGTAATTTGCCAAACTTCCGGAATCCGGAATGTAACTTTATTCTGTTTCCGGTTACAGTATAACAAACCGTGTACTTATTAGTTACATTATTTATTTAGTTACATTATTTATTATTTTATTTATGTATTTATTAAACATAAATAAAATAATATACACTACATAGTATAAAACAAAGTCTCTTCCTTCTGAAAGTCTGTCCGCTTAGATATTTTAAATATGCCAATAGTGTTTTGAACACTATTGCCAAAACGCTAATGGTGCTAACCTACGGCTGTGTCATATCTTCTTGGATGGAATAAATTATAACAGATTTCAATAGTGTTTTTGAAAACTTGACCAAAAGCTGATAGTGCTATCTGTGGCTGTGGCGTACATATTCCCAGAAGAAATAAAGTATAAAATGTGCTAATAGTGTTTTTGAGCACTGTGGCCAAATTGCTGATGTGCTATCTACGGCTTGCCGGACATATTCTCAGGTGAAATAAATTATAAAAGATGCAGATGGACCAGACAAATATTTTTTTTCAAACTTAACACAAATGACCATGACAATGTTAAAACAATAATGTATATATCATGGGCGTGTTCAGTGTCATGGTTCGCGTGGTGCGCCTTGCGGGAGGCGTGGGCTGCGTGGGTGCAGGCGGGTGACGTGGCGCCGCTGCTGAGCGTCGTGGACGGCTCCGACGCGTATGCGAACCTGCTTCAACGCTTCCTCGACACACTACGCCTCACCATAGATGACTGTCCAGGTTCTTTGTTTAGTCACTCGCGGCTCTGTCCGCGCTTAAATACCTTTATGGTTATTTTCATTTCAATACTTTTATATTGTATTTCATTCATATCAATTAAAGCCATCTAATCACTATTGAAACTGAAACGTTACAGTTTTATAACAGGAAGCGAAGAATACATCCTGCGGTACGTTTGGGAGTGGGCAGTCCACACATACCTCGGCGTTTCCACGTCGCGTGCGTCGCAAGAGAGCCGCGTGCAAGTGTCGGCACTGCTGGGCACGCTGGGCGCTCTGGACTGGACGCGGCAACAGTGGGTGCATGCCGGCTGCCTGCCGCTCGCACTGCAGGTAGTCCGCTGTTCACTGTCCGCTCCTGGGCACGCTGAACTGGCCTCGGTACAGTGAGTGCACACCGGCTGCCGTTACTTATGAGGAAATTTGCGGGATGATTTTTTTGGAAGGGGTAATTTTTTTCGTATCTACGTCAGGTCTGACATATTCTATCGCCTTGCGGCAAATTCTCGCTACTGCGGGTGTGACCTATGTGCAGGGGTTGGGGTAGGTCCTACTGGATTTATAGAGTTTTTCCCCTGAACAGAGTTTTGCAATATTGGAGTCGTTTTTCAAACGAGTATTAAAATTGTATATAAATTACAGAATAAATATTATTTATAATCTATATTAAATAAAAGTTATATACTCAATTTAATATGACTTTATTTTCTGAGTTATTTGTTTTTTTCGAGCAGGTGAGTCGGAGTGAGGACAAGGAGCTGACGAGCTGGTGCTGCAGCACGTGGCGGGGTACCGCAGCCGCCTCGTGGCTCCGCGGCGTAACCGACCACCAGCTGGCGCCGCAGCTCGCCGCACTGCTCGCTCTATTGTGCTCCCCGCAGCTCCAGTTCTCGCCACAGGTATGCTGCACTCCACAGGTATAATGCATGCCACAGGTATACTGCACGCCGCGCACGTGTATTGAAACCAACGTCAAAAGTGCAGAACCAGTGTTCTACGATCGGAACTGCAACAAAGTTGCAATTACAGCAAATTTCTCCTTTCTGTGGATAAGATAAGTTATTGGTAACATTATGCTTGAAGTTGTGGACGTGTATATTCACCCAGGATAAATGTGTTTTTTTTATAAAACTGAAGTGGCAAACGAATTTACAATTCTCCTGATAGTAAGTACCTACTGCAGCCCATAGACACCTGCAACCTACTTCAATCAAAGAAGGTTGCAAATGCGTTGTCACCACTAAAGACTGAGATAGACCGCCAACTTCGCACAATTCACAAATCCAACTCTGCTAGGCAGCGTTCAGGAAATTACGATACGTCTTCTCGTCCAGCATTCTACAAAATTAAAAAAAAAACGTACAACCAATGCGAGTTGTCACTGATATCTTGTAAAATTGAGACGTGTTCCTTAATGCGTTGTCACCACTAAAGACTGAGATGGAATGACAACTTCACACAATTGACAAATCCAACTCGGCTAGGCAGCGTTCAGGAAATTACGACACATCTTCTCGTCCAGTATTCTACCAAATAAAATAAAAAACGTACAACCAATGCGAGCTGTCACTGATAGCTTGTGGTCCTTTACTATTAGTCGTATGAGAAAACTTAAAGTCACTCAGCGAAGTTTGGCGAGTTTTAGAAAGGCCCCATGTTTGCAAGAAGTCACTGGATGTAGTTTGCTCAGGACCGTGTTTTGTGGCTTTCCTTGGGGATGGTCTATTATCGGCAATGGTTGTGAGGGGCTGAATGATTATGATGGGAGAAGCCATCAAAAAGCCAACCTCGACTGTTTAGGTGCTGGAGAAATTACCTGGATATTCTTCGTTAAATAACAAGTCCAGAAAAATAGTTGACAAAAATTATTGCGTCTAGAAATAACTTATATATAAAATGAGCTTTATTATTTTTCTATGATTTTTCAATTAAAAATGTATTTTAATTAAAGCGACAGAAAAAACAAACATTTTGAGGAATATCAAATGACTTAAATCATTTTACTCTATTCAAGTGTTGCCATTTACTATATTCATACTATTTTCGTATACACTTGTAAGACTACCAACACAACACACAAACACAAAATATTTTTATATTAAGTTATTATTAGTAATAACTATTCTATCAGTAATAATAAAAATAAAAGTGATACATATGAACTTCCTATAATAATAAATTATCTCAATCATAGTACTATGTAACAACTCCATTTAATGTTATGGCAACACTAGCTAAAACAAAATGTCACTGATTGGCCTAAAGGTCTAGATACCAGGCCATAAACTCCAAAAAAATGTCACTGTTTTTTTTACTGGCTTTACGACTCTGGGTTCTAGCTCTTCTGAGAATGTCACTGTATGACACAAAGGCCCTGGAGACATGCCAGAAATATACATTTATAGTATGCAAATATATAATAGAGATACAATAATCTAAAAACTCAATTGTCTAGGTAGGTACATTTTGTTGAGAATGTATTAAGCTAACATCAAACAACCACAAAGCGCATTGTGATATAGGAAGTGTGTCAATGAGAAGAGGCGTGTTGATGCTTCTATAACTTTAATTAGACTGTTCTTATTCTACCTTAACACTAATATATATATATATATATATATATATATATATATATATATATATATATATAGTCGTGGGGGCTATACTACACTACACCTCCCACCGACAAAAAAAATGAAAATTTTTTTAATATAAAATTGTCTTGTGCCTTAATACAAATGCCATAAATGCCTAAAATGTAATGTGCTTTTTGATATTGTATTATGATTACATTTTTTATATATATAAATAGTGATAAAAATATTGAAAAATCAATTGTATCGTAAGTTATCTGATAAATAAGTTCAATTTAAACATACGTGTATTAAATATAGAATATTTAATACTTAACTTCAACAAATATTATAGCAAAAAAAATATATAAAAACAATCTAAAATTGATAAATAAAGTTTTAAATAGAATTAAAATCACACGGGTGTGAAGTTACCTCCTAATTTTCTTCTTTGTTCTTCTGGACGAAGCTTGCAAGAGTACAACCGCTGCTTTCCTTTTCAAATAAACCTGCCGTTTCTTGAATTTTGTTCTTTGGTAGTTATATTTAGAAAAAAAAACACTTTATTTTCCTCATTCTTTCTTAGTTGCTTTCATAGTAGGTACTATTATACATTTAAATTATATTACTACATGTTCATTTTACTTTTTATATTTCAATCAGCTTCTGTAAAATTATTATTGTGGCCTCTTCTTTTATTCATATTCATTTATTTTTCGTCACATCCGGTATTGCGTCCATTCTGTTATAATATAATTTTCTTTTTAAACGGTCAATCCCTGATGATTTCCATTTTTTTTTGTAATTTTTTTTTTTCTCTTTATGTAGGCCGAGCGGTGCGCGTGCAATGTAGCACCGCCTGGCAGGGTCGCCATGAGATATATTAAATAAGTCAATGAAATAGAGACGTGTTGATGCTTCTATAACTTTAATTAGACTGTTCTTATTCTACCTTAACACTAATATATATAGTCGTGGGGGCTATACTACACTACAGCATGACTTTCTCCAAGTGATATAAGACATAACCTAAAAAGGTTCAAATCTAAATATCTTTTTTTTGACGCCGTCTCAGGAAAAAATCTTTTGACAAAACTATTCAGGGAGTGACGCTTAACATTTTAAGATATTTTTGATATATAGACGCTAGTATTTCTTCTCAACTAATTTTATGTATGAAAGTCTGCCATTTTTTTTTTCTAGTGAACATAACGTTCATGTATCTTTTTTGGTTAGAAATTAAAAATGAATATTTCCGCAGACTCTAGAAGAAGCGACGCACTTGCCATGGTGGCGACTGCCTGAGGCAGCACTGGATACTGCCATGGAGCAGTTCTTCGTCGATCACCATAACCCAGCGCTTCCTTACCACGAGGTTCCACAGTTCAGGTGATGCTTGTGACAATATTTTATTATAACTAACTGTGTTATATATATGGTAGGTAATAACAGGGAAAATTGTCTAAAAATTCAATAATTATAAATAAGCCTACAATATATATATACAATACATATAATATACAATTAATTTTACAAGCGACGCATTTCTTAAGCACTGACTTATAATTTTTTTTTTTATTATAAGCCAGAGCTTGAGCGCAGGTGGGAACCTGGTAGGTGGTGGTGAAGTCCCTAGATGGTAAATCGCTTGTAATTTTTTAATATAATTGTGGTATTGTTTTAACATAAAAAAGCCTAAATTCAGTTTTGCCTTGAAAACGCTCAAATTGTATTCAGACGAAAATACAGGCGTCGGCAAATTATTCCACTCCTTTGATGTACGATTTGAAAGACATTTTTGTTTACAACCCGCGCGCATAAGGTATGTCAATAGAGCTATGACATCACGCGTTGATAGGCACATGCACGGAAATTTTGCCAACGGTATTGAACAGACTGACGACGGTTGCTGTCTACGGAAGTGGAAGGAATTTTATACCCAACACGTTGGGCAAGGTGGTTTGTTGAATGCGGAGTAGTGACTTTTGTGCTAGTAATGCTGACAATGTCTCTCAGTGAGGACTAATCATTTTCTGCTCACCAGATATCGCTAGTTGACACTGAGGTAAAGTTTTTTTGTTACACTGTGTCATTTAATTGAGAAGTTCGTTTTTAATAAAAGTTTATCAGTTTCTAGAGTATTATATTAATACACAAAACAATGCTTCAGTGGTTTGCTCTTTAATTTTTTTGCACATTTTTTTAATTTTTTCTACTTTCATAAATATCTGTGGTTTAGTTTATTTATTTTTAATCTTATTATTATAAAATGTAGCTAATAGTACAGAAAGAAACATTACATTTTCCGACCAAATTAACTTCCCCGCTATGAAATCTGTCAAATATTATACCTCACTTTTAAGTGGAGCCGCCCTGGTGGCAGAAAAAGTCGTGGCCCTCATTGGCATTTGAGGTAATATTTGGATGACGATTTAAGTATTACCTTAGAATTCTATTATATATCTGTTGTATTATATAGGTTAACATGTATATTTAACAGATGTTGCCTGATTGTTGACGACGTTGTCTTTAGGGGTTGATAATTATGACGATAATTAGAATATGTTATTCTATAAGTATAATATAAGTTAAGAGTTTATCTGATGGAATACTTATTTTTATTACTCTTACTTGTCCAAATTGGCACATATAACAAATATTTTGCAGCGTGTGTTACTATCCGTGTTACCTAAAATATCTCACAGGCTTTAAGTATCTGGGCTCTCTTATCCTTTAAAATATTATAAGCAGTGTCTGCACTGATGGATATATAGAAACAATATAATAACATTCGGTGAGGCATTCTTCTTACTCATCAGAGGTGACAACGCATCTGTAGCTTTATTTTATGTTGGTGGACGGCGTCCGTAGATTTAAGTAGTCTCTTATTATCAGTTGGACTTTGTGATATTATTCGCGGGTTAGTCACTTCAGTTTTATAAAAAAATGCTATCTATGTACACATTGAGTGTTTACACCGTAATATTGAATGTATATATAGGGTGATGTTGTGCAGCCAACATATATATGTACGCTGAACACCAGACATTGGAACCTATGATTGGAACTGCAACAAAGCTGCGATTACATTAAATTCTTCTTTTCTATGGATAAGTTATTGGTAACATTACTGTCGAAGCTGTGGACGAGTATATTCACCCAGCATAAAATGTGTTGTTTTCTTTTTATATAAACCTGAAGTGGCAAGCGAATTTACAGGTTTCCTGATGGTAAGTGGTTATTGCAGCCCATGGACACTTGCAACCAACTTTAAACAAAGAAGACTGCAAATGCGTTGTCACCACTAAGGAGTGAGTTGTGTGTTTAGAGCGTAATATTGAATGTATATACAGGCTGATGTTGGGTGCGAGCCAGCTGGTGGCGGGCGGGGCAGCTGAGGCAGCGGGGGCGTGCGGGGCGGGCGGGGCGGCGCGGGCACGGCGGCTGCGCGGCGTGTCGCAGTGCGTGCGCGCGTTCTCGGCGCCCGCGCTGCTCACGCACGTGCGCGCGCACACTGCCTTCCTGCTGCGAACGCTCGCCGAACTCGGTCAGTCACTACGCCAAACCCACCTCCACACGCCTGCTGTGTGCCACAAATACCAACAATCTCCAAACACCGACCACAACCACCCAACAGAAACACGGCATCCCCAGGCTTGTGGCCATTTAAGTATTACGTAAGCACTAAAGGGAGACTGAGAGGGTCTTTGATTTGCTTATTTTTAATAACATGGGGGATGGTTGGATCTGAATGGTGATTACGTCAACAATATTTAATTATTTAGGTTTAAGATTTTCTGCAAAATTTAGTCGGTTTTCATTTAAAAAAAATATATACATCCAGGATTTGGTTCATCTGATTATTACATTGAAGTAATTGGCATCTGACCTTCGTAACCCTTAGACTGGGGAACCAGACAATTACAAAAATTCCGCTTACTTTATTTAAATTTTATTTTGTTTAAATTACCTTTACCTTAATTTAAGTAGTTTTATTAATAAAATACATTTGATTATTAATTTTCAGCGCCTCAAATAGAAAACTCTGAAGGAGAATTAGAAGAACTACTCAGCAGAGCGATCGTCATCTTGTGTATAGAACCGGCAGCTGAGGCGGCCTTACCGGTTCGTATAATTATTTCAACGTATTTTTTTCAAAATATAATGCGTACAATACCACTGGCATATTTAATGCCCTTACTTATTTTTAAATAATTTATACCGTGATCCGTAATGACCATCGCGTCTTTTTTTTATGACTTTTATTTGGATATAGGTGTTTTAGTACTGTTACAGCCTATCAAAAGTCTACTGCTGACAAGAGATTCGTCATAGATTGCCTTTTTTTATAGGATAGGATGGCAAACGAACAAACAGTCCACCTGATGGTAAGTGGTTGCTGTAACACATAGACATCTACATTTATCCTCAATAAAGAATCAATATGCAGATGCGTCGTCAGCCGTGAGGACTAAGATGGAATGCCTCTTTTCCAGTAAAATGGGTCCGGTACTCTACAATATCTTCTCTGTGGACTCTGTGCTAATTTATCAATCTTGTTCTATAAAAAGCATCGGCAAATATAATCGCTGTAGATAATAAAGTTTATTAGAACGCAGTACGGCGTAGTATTGCCTATAAATAATTGTACCGGGTTTAGATGCTTGTTTGTGCATGCAAAATATTGTTGCGCGCCACAATTAATGTCTTGTGGCATGGCAACACTAGTTACCACTTGCGCCCTCTAGTATTGAGTAGCAGAACTAGGAGAGTCAAGATCCTTCTAGAAATTTCGGGACCGATATGTACTCGAACATTCTAGATGTTTCTACAGTAGAAGGTTCTGGAAACTATCTTCTATCCAGCTTCCCTAAGCGAACTGTAGAAAGGGAAAGTGATCGATCTCAAGAGGGTAAGGAAGTGGTATCTGTGAGGATGCTCAGGACACACCAGCTCAGTAATGAGTGGAAGGACAGCCTACAACATGCACAGCAGGAAGATTCGGACACCAAGCCGATTATGGAATGGATGAAGGCCAGTGCTTATAAGCCCAAATGTATGAGTTCGACCACGAAAAGCTATTGGGCCCAATGGGACAGCTTGCTAATTCAGGATGGAGTCCTGTGCCGTAAATGGGAAAATGGTCGGGGAGATAGTAGTCATTTGCAAATGGTTGTCCCTAAGGCTAAAGTACCGGATGTTCTGCAGCTTGTAGTGTAGCCTCCTCGATAGTATATATTAGTGTTAAGGTCTCTCTCTCATTTAATACTTAAAACATTACAAGCTGTACCATAATGGTTGTTCAGGAGGCCAACTGGGAGTTAAACGAACTCTACTGAAGATCCGAGAACGGTTTTACTGGGTCCACTGTCGTGACGATGTCGAGGACTGGTGCCGCAAATGTACAAGTTGTGTGGCTGTAAAGGGACCTCAAACTCGTAGTAGAGGCGCATTTGTACAATGTTGGTGCACCATTGGAGAGGATAGCCATTGACGTTGCGGGGCCGTTTCCGGAAAGTGAAAGTTGTAACAAGTATATCATGGTTGTGATGGATTACTTCACTAAGTGGTCAGAAGTATTCGCCATTCCAAATCAAGAAGCTTCAACAGTTGCAGATAAACTAGTTCATTAAGTCTTCTGTTGTTTTGGAGTACCTTTAGAGATTCACAGCGACCAAGGAAGTACAAATATTCCAGGAAACTTGCCGAGTTATGGGTACTCATAAAACAATAACGACTTACCACCCACAATCTGATGGAATGGTAGAACGATTTATTCAAACATTGGAGAGGCGCCTAGCAAAAATTGTGGAAAAACGGCAACGAAACTGATACAGGAACATACAACCGTTTTTGTTGTTATATTGAAGCGCTGTTCACGAAAGTACATCAGTGACACCAGCTTTCGCAAACGTTGGGAGAGAATTACGGCTGCCTGCAGACCTGATCACCACCTGATGCCCCACGCAGTATAACCGATTATGCAACTGACTTGCGGAACAAAATGAATGACACTGACGTGCTCACGTCAGACAGTCCGGCCAGCAAAGGTCTGAGAACATGAAAAGACGGGTATGACCGCAAAATGAACAACAAAAGGTTTGACGAAGGTTCACTAGTGTGGTTATACAATCCAGTCCGCAGCAAAGGGAAATCTCTTAAGCTTCAAGCTAAATGGGATGGACTGTACCGGATTGTGACAAGGATCAATGACGTAACCTACCGGATACAGAAAGGTGCCAGAGATACTCCTAAGATCGTCCATGTCTATCGACTGGCGCGTTATCATGGGGCCAATAATGCTCGGGACGAGCATGTCTTAGGAGGGGGCAGTGTTGCGCGCCACTATTAATGTCTTGTACATGGCAACACTAGCTACCACTAACGCCCTCTAGTATCGAGTAGCAGAACTAGGAGAGTCAAGATCCTTCTAGAAATTTCGGGACCGATATGTACTCGAACATTCTAGATGTTTCTACAGTAGAAGGTTCTGGAAACTATCTGAGGTCCTATATAAGGCCGGTATAGACCACGACCGAGTCAGTATTGAATTGGCGGTATAAGTGAATACTTCGAAGTGATATAACTGCGAACTAAAGTGATCAGTAGTACAATTGTGTTTTATTATTAGTGTGGTCTAAGTTGTTATTAGTGTTCTGTAATTAAAGTGTCGAGTTTGGTAATTCACTCGGCAGTTTTTAATTGTCTCGAATCCCAAGCTCTTAAAAATATTAATAAAAAATGAAAAAGATATAAGAGATGATAGCTCAGCGACATGATTGCAGGTGTGGGAGCAGTGGGTGCAGCAGAGCAGTGGCACGCTGCGGCTGGCGTGCGCTTGTGCGGTGGGCTCGCTCACAACACTCGACCGCTTCTGCGCACTCGCCGAGTGCGTCGCGCGTGCGCATATGGCACAGCCAGGTGCCTAACCTTACTTTATCTATTTGCGACTGGCGTAAGCTTGGCCGGTGGGCTCGCTCACAACACTCGACCGCTTCTGCGCACTCGCCGAGTGCGTCGCGCGTGCGCATATGGCACAGCCAGGTGCCTAACCTTACTTTATCTATTTGCGACTGGCGTAAGCTTGGCCGGTGGGCTCGCTCACAACACTCGACCGCTTCTGCGCACTCGCCGAGTGCGTCGCGCGTGCGCATATGGCACAGCCAGGTGCCTAACCTTACTTTATCTATTTGCGACTGGCGTAAGCTTGGCCGGTGGGCTCGCTCACAACACTCGACCGCTTCTGCGCACTCGCCGAGTGCGTCGCGCGTGCGCATATGGCACAGCCAGGTGCCTAACCTTACTTTATCTATTTCTTTATCTTCGTCATCAGCATCTCTGTACCGGGGAGGATTTACTTAAATCGTCACGCTTGACGAACAGATTCACAATCGCAGTACCAGGCGTCTTCCAAGTTAGCGGTGCTCCTCGTCGCTTTTCTGGGTATTTTTTACACTTGGTGCAAGGAGGTGGTTATACCGCTATAAAAGCTATAAGATATGCCTGGCACTTCCCATACGCGCCTCTTACGACGCCCACAGGACAATTTTGGGTGATGGGTTTTCTTTTACCGCCATCACACTGTGATACTATATGTATATGTATATATATGTGTATATATATATATATATATATATATATATATATATATATATATATATATATATATATATATATATATGAAGTCCACCAACATGCACTGGAACAGCGCGGCAGACACTTCCCTGCTCTTATGCCTCGGCCACACACATCGCGATAAAATTATCGCGATAAAGCTTCACCTTCGGCCTTAAGCTTATCACACTAAACACAAAATTGGACGGCACGGTCGCTCTGTATTATATGGCAGCGAATAATTATTGTTTTATTATTGTGTCAGATTTAAAAAAATAAGAAAAATATTGAAATTCTAAATCTAAATTATTACACCAATTCATGTCGGAAATACGTCGCAAACCCCAATTTACTTTAACACATCCGCTACGCACGATGTCTGTGGGCAGACTGAAGAGTATGTGGCTGCACAAGCGAAGTCCATCCCGATAAAACCCTTTAAAGTACGAGAATTTACCGACTGCAAAGCGATGTGTGTGTTCGCAGCATTAGCCTTTATGTCGTGGCCACACACATCGCCGCGATAGCCCGAATATTCGCGTTATCGTAATGTACGTGGCGGTCTCTTCGTGAATACTTCATCACTTCGTGCGAAGGCGCAAGTATATCGCTTCTCTGTCGGTAAATCTGCAGTGTGGCCAGGCACCTTTGCGATAATGCCATGTCACGCGATGTGTGTAGCCGAGGCATTAGAAATTTAAGACAAACAAAGAAGCCTGTGCCTAGGACTGTATCAGTAGTTCATTAATACTAGCTCTAGTCTACCGAATAGCTCGTTGGTCTTTGGTTTGGTTACAAGCGCGATTATAGATCCTGAGATCTCGGGTTATAGTTAGTCATGGGTCGGGCCGAAAAAGGGCCTTAAAATTGGGGTTTTCTATAAAAAAAACGTTGGCACGTTGGTTCTGTAATTGATTTTTCTCCAGTTGTGTCAATTTGCCGATTTATCGGACTATTAGAGTGAAGAAATAGAAAGTGTGACTGTGCTCGCCCACACACTCTTACATTATAATCTACTTCTGTGCAGATGGCTCTCCATTGAGACTAGCCCCCGTGAACGAAATTCGGCCTGGAGGACATTATTAATGCTTAGTTAGTGTAGTAAACAGTCGCTGGCAAATAATTGATTCGTTTGTGTTATGTGTGCGTGCGGCCCAGATGGTGGGGGGTGGGCAGCGCTGCGTGGGCGCTGGAGTGCGTGCGTGTGGGCGGCTGACGTGGCCAGTGAGGCGGCGGCCGCACGCCGCGCAGCGCACGCCGCCTACGCGCTGCACACGCACGCACACACGCACGCGTCTGCGGCCGCGCTGCTCGCACTCGCCGACACGCTCTTCACCAGGTGAGCTTCATACGATGCTGCTACCGTATAATTAACAATATCTAATAATGCTTCCGTGATAATGCACCAGAAATAACAGTGCAGCAATATCTCTATATGCTTCGTTCACATAGAAATGTGAAAGAAGCACACCACTGCAATACTTCAAGACATCTGCGTTCATTCATTCTGCATAGATCGGATAAAAATTAATAATTAAAAAAGCTGAAGGTACTCCGGGTTAACTCTGACATCCGGACGTCAATCACCTCAGTCCCCCGTGAACATGGGCGCTGTAAAGCACCCGAAACGTCGGGAATTAACAAAAAAGAAGAAGATGTCTCCATACATTCTTGGGCCCAAGTGTTAACAAGATGAAAGTAGGACCATTTGAAAGAGTATATATAAACAATTCATAGCTGAAAATCTGGCAAGATTTGTCAATCTGGGAGCTGAGTTACTGTGGAGTAAGTAAAAATGAGATTATGAATTACCTACACTGTAAAAGGTGATTTTTCACTGTTACTACACTGTAACAGGCTACTTTTCACTATAATTACTTAAAGATATAAAAGTAAAATCAGTATAACATCACTAAAAAATACTGTGGTTAGTAATGAAAAGAAATGGTGAAACGATTAACAAAAGTTAAAACAACAACAACTAAGTGAAGGGAATATTAGGGATATCGATCTGAGATTGATTACTTGAATTGTTGTTGTAACTATTACTTGTTAGAATGTTGATATTTTGTATTTTTTATTATTATTTTGTAGATATGTACGAAATCATTTTTATCTCCGTCGTTAACACTGAAAAATAATCGAAAATAAATATTAAAATGCTCAATATAATCGAGAATCGATTATATTGCGCTCATTTCAAATCGAATCGAAAATTTGTCTTTTTCTTTTAGGTAAATAGTTTGACCTGTCAAGTTCCAAAATGAGAAGTCATCTATTAGAAGATAACTTTTAGAAACGAAAATTTCACTAGTGTATTCTTTATGATAATCGATTTATTACTACAATCGATTTTCTAACTTATTTCCTATTTTATTGTTTTTACGAATTCTAGATTGTAAAAAGAGCTACTTTTTTGTATTTTACTTTAGAAAAATATGGACAATTTTTAAAGTATAAGCCAATTAGTTAACTTCAGGCCCAAAAATCCCATTCTTCTTTAAAAGAACAATTCATTTAAAGTATATTTAAATATATATTTTTTATCATCAATTCCATTTTTTTAGTATTTTTTTTTACTTAAGCCAGTGCTTGACTACAATCCCACCTGGTGATAAGTGGACGTGGTGATGTAGCCTTAGATGGTAAATCGCACTGTCTTATCGTAACAAAAGCCTATTCACTCTTGCCTTGAAGACGCCCAGATTGTATTCGGACGAAAAGATAGACGCCGGCAAATTATTCCACTGTTTTGCTGTACGCATTACAAAAGACGAAGCAAACCGTTTGGTTCTAATGCGCGGAATATCGACACAATGGGATGAAGACCCGCCGACCGCATGGTTGTCCGATGGTGGAAAGGAAAGGGAGGAATCAAAGCGTGTAATTCCTGCGCACACTCACCGAATTGCATCCTATAGAATACCGAGAGACTGGCTACTCTGCGCCTGTGCTCGAGCTGACAAGATTGGTTTCAACCAAATCAAGGTCACCAATGAGCCTCTTAGCACGTCTCTCCACTGATTCCAATACTGCCAGATGGCATTTTACAGTACCAGCCCATATGTGACAGCAGTACTCCATGCACGACCGGACTTGCGCTTTATAAGAAGCTGCCCCGGCGTGAAGTACCGCCGCACCCTTGCAAGGACACCAAGTTTCCTTGCAGCTGCTTTGGCTCTGGATTCAATGAACCGCCCATAGTTTAGGTTCGGAGAAAATTCAATCCCTAACAAGTGAAGGCAGTCAATGTACTCCCAGGATACATTCCGTAATGTAGGAGCCAAGGTGAGCGGGCTCCTTTTAGCGGTAAAAAGACACGCTTGTGATTTGGAGGCGTTACATCTCACGAAATTGGCATCGCCCCGTTCGGAGACTGCCTGTAGTGTGAGACTCACACGCTCAACCATAGCTTCTCTTAATAACTGGATTTGATCCCGACTGGCCCGGGCACTTGGTTGGTATCTCTCCACAACTGTGCTGTCGTCTGCATATCCATAGATACCGGGAATGAGCAGATCATTCATATGCAGCCGGAAAAGAGTTGCGGAGAGAACGGACCATTGAGGAACACCGGTGTTAGTTGCCACAGTACCGGATGAGCAGCCATCGACGACGACCCGGAGAGACCGTTCACTCAAAAAATCCTTCATCCAGGCAATCAGGCTAGGGGATAAGCCGTACGCTGAAAGCTTGCCCAATAGACTAGCGTGCCAAACCCTGTCAAAGGCCTTCGAAACATCGAGGGAAACAGCAAGTGCTTCACCACTGTTCTCGAGGGCTTCATCCCATATGTGAGTGGCATACGCTAGAAGGTTTCCAGTTGATCGATTTTGGTGAAACCCGTACTGGCGATCACTGAGGAGATCATTTTGTTCTAGGTATGCCATGAGGTGGGTGTTCAATATACGCTCCATAATCTTGTAGAGTATGGAGGTAATTGAAATTGGCCGATAGTTGGTAGAGTCGGTACAGCTACCTTTTTAGGCACAGGCTGCACATTGGCCAGCTTCCAAGATAGAGATCCAGAAAAAATGAGAAGCAAAGACAAATATTCACTAGGTAAACATGAATTAGAAGTGATAAAAACCATTAAACGTTATTTCTCTAAGAAGTGACTTTAGGTAGTTGCCACGAAGCCCAGATTTGAGCCCAATGGATGTGTTTTGTAGGGATCTCTCAAAAGCGTAGTATATGCCAATTATCCTAGAACAAAGGCTCAATTAAAAGAAAATATAGAATCCATCAGCATGCTTGTCCTTGAAAATATCATTCTTAGCATATGCCAGCGTTGTAATATTTTTGACATTGATAAAAAATAAAATTGCAAATCTTTTATATATTAAAAATGAATAATAATAATTAAGTCTAACTATAGGTTTTTGGAGCGTATTTAAAAATAAAATTTTCCGCGAGCCATCCATAATAATATAAAAAAACGTTTGTCCCAGTGGCGACGACGAGCCCATCGCAGCCGTGTGGGTGTGTGTAGCGTGTCGAGTGGGGCGGGGGTGCGAGGCGGGGCGCGGGGAGGCGCGCAGCTTGGTGTCGCGCGGCGCGCAGGAGCCGCGGCGCTCGCTGCTGCGCGTCGTGTCGCTGCAGCAGCGCGCCGCACACAACGCACGGTCCGTCAATTTATTATCTTTATATATTATATAATTCTTCTGTACGGGTGTATCTCACTGAACTCCTCCTAAACGCCTGGACCGATTTTGTGTGTGATTAAGTTATTTCTAGAATAGTTTAGATTCACAATTGGACCCGGTAGGTGGCACTGTTGTCGAAATCCAGAAATCACCTGTGCGAAACCGAGGCGCATCGCTAGTTTATATATATATATATATATATATATATATATATATATATATATATATTGTTTTAATCCCTAATTTTATATATATAAAGGTGAATGTGTGTTGATCTCCCGCTAGAGGGGATAACGAACTGGTAAGTCATGCAAGTTGATGGATGCAATTGGCTTAAAACCGTGTTTTGTGACATAACTTTTTGGAGGCCTATGTCCAATACTAATGAATCTGCATTCGATTCTTAATCAAGGATAATTTGTGTGCTCGCTTCTCACTCGTATTCTACAAAATATTCAATTAAGAAACAAAATTCACACGCGTTGTCACTCCTGAGGACTTAGATGGAATGCCCCTTTATCAGTAAAAATGACCTCCGATTTACTACACTCACCGTACGAAACATAGAATTATTCAGCTGTTTCACGCTAGTATTCTGTGAAAGCGCAGTCCTACCCTAGTCGAACCGAACCATCCGTGCAGCAACCATAATATAGCTACAACATTACTCTCTTACGTAAATGTGATATAAATATACAAAGCCCACAGCATTTATTTACCATCAGGTTGACTGTGTGCTCGTTTGTCACCCATATAAAAAAGCCGGCCACGTGCGAGTTGGACTCGCACATGAAGGATTCCGTCCCATCGTAAAACACGTTAATGGGAGCCCCCTTTAATGTTTAATTTATTTTATTATTTTTTGTTATAGCAGCATCAGAAATACACATAATTTCAACTGTCTACTATTACGGATCATGAGATACAGCCCGCTGACAGACAGACGGACAGACAGCGGAAGCTTAGTAATAGGGTCCCGTTGCTTACCCTTTGGGTACGGAACCCCAAAAAGGTTCGGATACCATGAAATTGATAACGACCACCAGCCTAATACAGTATACAACGGACTTGAGTATAAAGTTAAAAATTCTACTACTAAGTAAACTTCTTTTCTGTCTCGGTGTCCGTCTGGGTTTATTATTTTATTTGTTTGTGTCGCTAAATAGCATTGCTAGCCCTGCCGTGTACCGGTGTGAAGGGAAGGCCAGTATAATTATAGGTTATAATATAGGCATAATATAGGCATTGCATTCCATCCTAATTATCAAAACTGACAACGCGTTCTTTGTTTAAAATTGGTTGCTGGTATGAGTAGTCACTGACCATCAAATGCAATGTAAGAATAATTCTATGTTTTTCCACAGCATCCGCCTTCTGTGTCGCTTCGCTCAGTGCATCCTAAACCCTGAGTCGGAGAATTTAGTCCGTGCGTACGAAGCAACGTGCGCAGCTGTACTCGGTTCCAACGCTGCCGATGTGATGGCGTGGGGCAAAGCGCCCAGTGCGAAACTCCTACCACGTCTCGCTCTAAGGCTATTTCCAGGGAAGGAGGTATACTTTAAGGAAGAACTAGATATGGTACCCGAAGATGCTTAATGATGCTCATAATTATTTCATTTGAAATGTTAAAAAAATTAAAGAAATTAGTAACGTGAGTCTCTTGATGCTAGCCTAAACTCGTCATGTTTGTAGAGTTTTATGTGACATATTTAGATATCGTCAATTTGTTTTCCTTTACTCGTTTTAACGATGGGTCATCTTCGATCTACCCCTTACACAATATCTGACTTACTATTTGAATGTTGTCATCAGAAAGAAACACATACATACAAGTCACGGCACGTAAGTCTAGCGCTGAACGAAACGTGGAGGGGATGGCATCGCATGGTTACTGTTGCGCACGAATTGAATTGCACGAATGCGACTAGAGAGCCCTGCAAACAACACGCATGACCGCCTCGCGACCCGTTTACTACGCCATGATACCTTATTTTCGACTTATGCGCAATAACGGTCACCGCTAGACTTTCGTGCCGTTACTTATACATAGAATCTACGGCAATTTAACATATGTATAGACAGTAATATCAGTTTACGATTATAAATTGATACTACTGTCTACTAAATACTGATTAGTAAAATTTGTGGAGTAGCTTTAAAAATATAGCTCTCATTATGAATTTCATTTGTTTAAAATATAATAGAATAGGAAATATTTTTCTCGATGTAGATTAAGATTTTTTACTCTTAAAATAAATTTGACTTATTACTCGTTAAAATACATTTTATAATTTACCACTGGTTCGGAAAATACATCTGTCTCGGGAAGAACCAGCAGGAAGTTTAATTGATTGATTATTTGTTTTAAATAAAAAGCTTACAATAATATGTACAATTTTTATGGTATTTCTGTTTCTATTTCACTATTTCATATTTAAATTAAAAATATATCATCTTAAGGATATAATGTATCATATAAATTTAATATAGATACCACCTATTTTTGATACTTGTTACAAAATATGTAACCGCTTCTTAATACCAAACCAAAAAACTTAATGTAAATACTTTTCTAAATAAGGTATGTACAGTATAGTGTATATTTAGTGCAATTAGCTATAAAGTAATAATTATAAAATTTACATATTAAAACTACAAACATATCATCCAATTTCAAATATACAGTTGATTGAACATATAGTAAGTACACGAACAAAAACATTAATAATATTTTGTGTTTTGTTTGTCACCTGATATAAATATTTGCAACAGGTCAAATATGGACACAATCTTATTATATTAGGTCACTAGTACATTTCACAGCATTTGTTCCTATCGAGTAAACAGAGAAAAGTAAATAACTTTACAATTAAATTTTTTTCATGGGTCTGAAAGTTATACGTAAATTATTGGAAACTCGATTCGTGATTACAGATAAAACATGTTGGAAAACACTTGTATCATTTTTAAAATTTTGAATATGTAACGTGTGTGTAACACAATATAATTTTTAGTTTTATTACTTTTGTATTTCATATTTTTTTAATTATTTCAAGTTGATAAGAAATTGATTTCGTTTTTCTTTTCTAAATATTACGGTTGATTTTTCGCAGTAGTTACAACGAAGGTATAGAGTTTGATTTACTTTTACTTTGAATTTTAGATATAAAAAGAAAACAAAATATTCGATGACTTCGACAACGTAATTTCGTTTGAAAGTATTCCTGTGTGACATGAAAATTGTGTCGACCGATATTGCAGTACATTTTTAGTATCGAAATGTGATATTACGTATGCTTCATTAAATTAAGTGATTTTATACACAAATTTGTTTCATTCGATATATATTTTTCAATAAATTGCAAATGCATCCCCTAAAAAGAACATTTTAAGATTCGAGCAATGGAGTTTTAGCCAGTTAATCGAATAAGCTAGTCAATATAAATAATTATAATTCAAAATGGCGACCATTTTTTACCACTTTTCAGTTCACATCATCATCATCATCATTACAGCCTTTCATAAGTCCACTGCTGAAGATAGGCCTCCCCCAAGGAATGCCTCAAAGTTTTCAGTTCATAGTTAAGTTTAAATTTCAAGTCTTAATTTCTCCCACCCCCTTCCACCATCTGACAGCCAGACGCTCGGCCAGTCTCCACCCATTTGTTGTCGACATAATTAGGTACATAGCATTCGAACCTAATGCTTTGCTTCGCCATTCGTAATGCTAGCAATTTTGTTTACAATATGGGTGTCTTCAAGGTAAAAAGCCAAAAAGTCTTGTTATGCTAAATCAGTGCGTGCAGTCACCTTCACGTACATCACCATTTACTAGCGAAATATTAGTCAAGCACAGGCTTATATTCGTTGAAAAAGATTGCCAAAACCAAAAAAACAAATATAAAAAACATTTGAAATGTTTTATACTTATATAGGTATATAAGTATGTTATGAGGTACATAATCAACATATACGAGGGGTGATCCAAAAGTAATGATAATCGGTTACTTCAGGTCCGCATAAAAATCCAAAAAAAATATTTTTTGCTTATATTAGAGCTGTCATCATCAAGTACCAAGTAAAGCGTCATTGCCAAGGCAAGGTCTGAGCACATCGGCAGAATTGGCGAGAAGCTAGTTCGCCTTCCTTCGGGAACCCGTGCATTCTGGTCTCTCGCCAAGGCTGTCCAAGGGAACTTCTGTCAGCCATCCCTTCCATCTCTCCACAGAGAGGACGACTCACTGGCCCATGCCGCAAAAGAGAAAGCCGACCTGTTGTGCTCTCTTTTTGCGTCTAACTCGACTCTAGATGACGGGGGGAACACACCGCCGACCATCCCGCGATGTGAGTGCTCCATGCCGAATGTGCGATTTACACAGCGCTCGGTCCGCAAAGCACTCTTCTCCCTGGACGTCAGCAAGTCGAGTGGGCCCGATGGAGTCCCTCCCATTGTGCTGAAGACGTGTGCTCCGGAGTTGGCACCGGTTTTAACGCGTCTTCTCCGGTACTCCTACTCCCAAGGCGTAGTCCCGAATTCATGGAAGACAGCTTTGGTCCACCCGATCCCTAAAAAAGGCGACCGCTCAGACCCGTCCAACTACAGGCCTATCGCTATCACCTCCTTGTTCTCCAAAATAATGGAATCCATTATAAACTGCCAGCTCATGAGGTACCTTGAAGATCACCAGCTGATCAGTGACCGTCAGTACGGTTTTCGTCGGGGTCGATCAGCGGGTGATCTTCTAGTTTACTTAACTCATAGATGGGCGAAGGCAGTAGAGTCCAAGGGGGAGGCATTGGCCGTTAGTTTGGACATAGCGAAGGCCTTCGATCGGGTCTGGCACAAGGCGCTTCTTTCGAAGCTTCCTTCCTATGGGCTTCCCGAGAAATTGTGCAAATGGATCACCAGTTTCCTTGCTGATCGGAGCATCAAGGTCGTAGTAGACGGTGCATGCTCTGATTACAAGCCTATCAACGCTGGTGTTCCACAAGGCTGCGTGCTATCACCAACGCTGTTTCTCCTGCATATCAATGATATGTTGCTAACTGGTAGCATTCATTGCTATGCAGACGACAGCACTGGTGATGCCTTATATACCGGCCGTGCCAATATTTCTCGGGAAAACGTCGCCGAGTACCGGAACAAACTTGTGTCTGAAGTCGAGTCTTTGCTTAACAAAGTCTCGGATTGGGGCCGACTAAATCTAGTCCAGTTCAATCCCCAGAAGACACAAGTTTGCGCGATTACCGCTAAAAAGAACCCCTTTGTCGTATCTCCTCAGTTTCAAGGCACTCCCCTTGCTGCCTCAGCCAGTATCGGAATCCTTGGCGTCGACATATCGAATAGCGTGCAGTTTCGTGGTCACTTGGAAGGGAAGGCCAAATTGGCCTCTAAAAAGCTTGGCGTGCTCAGCAGAGCGAGACAGTATTTCATGCCGGCACATCGCTTGCAACTTTACAAAGCGCAATTTCGGCCCCACATGGAATACTGTTCTCATCTCTGGGCCGGGGCACCCCAGTGCCAGCTTCTTCCACTTGACCGCATCCAGCGCAGAGCGATTCGAATCGTCGACGACCGAGTTCTTTCCGATCAGCTCGATACACTGGCACTGCGTAGAGATGTTGCATCTCTTTGCGTGTTTTATCGCATCTATCACGGGGAGTGCTCTGAGGAATTGTTCGGACTAATTCCAGCCGCTCAATTTCACCATCGCACGTCACGACAAAACTCGCGTTACCATCCGTACCATCTGGATGATTGGCGGTCCACCACTGTGCGATTTAGAAGAAGTTTTCTCCCTCGCACAACTTCTTTGTGGAATCAATTACCACCAGCGAATTTTCCGAACTGATACGACTTAGGAACCTTCAAGAAAAGAGCTTACACCTTTCTAAAAGGCCGGCAACGCATCTGCAATTCCCCTGGTGTTGCGGTTGTTCATGGGCGGCGGTAGTCACTTACCATCAGGTGAGCCGCAAGCTCGTTTGCCCCCTATTCTATAAAAAAAAAAAACCTCTGTTTGAAAAAAAATGTCTTCAAAAGACATACACAGTGACTTAGTGGAAACATTGGGGGACTCTGCTTCTCCATATTCTACATTTGCACGCTGGGCTAAGGAGTTTAAACTGAAAATCCACTGAAGATGAACATCGCGAAGGACGCCCATCCACGTCCCTCACTGAAGACAACGTGAAAAAAGTCGAAGATTTTGTGTTGGCAGATCGAAGAGTGACCATCAGGCATGTAGCTGAGGTCACAGGGATCTCATATGGCAGCGTTCAAAGAATCCTTGCGAACGAGTTGCATATGAAAAAGGTCTCTGCGCGTTGGGTACCCAGAATGTTAACCGACGAGCAAAAGAAAAATCGAGTTGACATTTCGAGGGTCAATCTCGAAAAGTTCCAAGCAGATCAAGAAAATTTTTTGTTCCGTTTTGTGACTATGGATGAGACCTGGATCCACCATTTTGATCCTGAAACGAAACAACAATCGATGACTTGGAAGCGAGCCTCCTCACCGACGCCAAAGAAATTCAAAGTTTCAAGTTCGGCGGGATAGGTTATGGCATCTGTTTTTTGGGACGCTCAAGGCATAATTATGGTGGAATATTTGGAAAAGGGAGCCACTATTACGGGTTCTTACTACGCAGACCAAATAAGAAGATTATGGGAGGCCATTAAGGAAAAAAGACGCGGCAAACTGCGAGCTGGAGTGCTGTTTCACCAAGACAACGTACCGGCTCACAAAGTCGCAGTTGCGATGGCTGCCATTCAAGAAACGGGGTTCGAACTGCTCGAACACCCTCCTTATTCGCCAGATCTAGCTACTAGTGATTTCTACCTCTTTCCTCGGCTCAAGGAACGCCTCCGAGGCAAGAAATTCGAAGACGATAGCGAAGTAATGGCTGCTGTTTGAAGCGTTTTGGGAGGGTCAAGACAAAGAATTTTTTTCAAAGGGAATCCTAGGTTTGGAAAAAAGATGGACTAAATGTATTGATTTGTTAGGAGACTATGTAGAAAAATAAATTATTATTTTAACTACGAGGGTGGATTGAAAAGTACTCGGCCTAACACAGATCCATTCAATTCTAAAAATCAAATCTACCCACATTATTTAGTTCAGTTCAGACTAGTTCATTGTGTGAAGTTCGAAACGTGTGCGATAATTAGTTGTGATTTTATAAATTTATTAACAAAGTAATCGGACATAATTTCCGCGAATGGAGCAAATCGAGCAGCGTGCCGTCATTAAGTACCTCCATAAGAAGGGGCTATCATCAAAAGCCATCCATGATGACATGGTCAGTACATTAGGCGATTGTGCTCTGTCATATTCATCCGTCAAAAAATGGATAGCAGAATTTAAGCGTGGTAGAGAGAGTGTGAAAGATGAACCCCGCTCTGGAAGGCCTTCGTCGTCAACTACTGACGAAAATATTAAAAAAGTACTTGATTTAATAATGGGAGACCGCAGATTAAAAATTAGAGAGATAGTCGAGATTATAGGCATCTCTTATGAACGAACTCAAAACATCATTGTCAACGAGTTGGGTTTCCACAAGGTGTCTGCGAGGTGGGTTCCGCGACTGCTTTCAGTTGAACAAAAAAGGACGCGATTGACTATTTCACGCGATTGTTTGGAGTTATTTGAAGCCGATGCAGATGATTTTTTGAATCGTTTTGTTACTATGGACGAAACATGGGTTCATTACTATACACCGGAAACAAAACAACAATCAAAACAGTGGAGAAGACCTGGTTCACCACCCCCTAAAAAGGCTAAGTCGATTTTGTCGGCAAATAAGGTGATGGCTTCAGTATTCTGGGACTCGAAAGGTGTGATTATGATTGATTATCTTGAAAGGGGTCAGAATATAAATTCTGATTACTACTGCACCTTACTACGTCGTTTACGAGAGGAAATAAAAGAAAAACGTCGAGGAATGCTCAGAAGAAAAGTCCTGTTTCATCAAGATAACGCCCGTGTTCACACGTCAGTACAGTCAATGGCTGAAATTCACAACTGTGGCTTTGAACTGTTACCGCATCCGCCGTATTCACCTGATCTGGCACCATCAGACTTCTTTCTGTTCCTTAACCTAAAAAAGCACTTGGGAGGTCAAAGATTTTCGACAAACGACGAGGTCAAAGCAGCTGTAGACGCATATTTTGACTCTAAGGAAGAATCATTTTTTTCAACGGTCTAAATGCTTGGAAGGGGAGGTGGCAAAAGTGTATTGAACTTGATGGTGATTATGTAGAAAAATAAAAATATAACTGATTTAGTATTTGTTTATTTTCTTGGTTAGGCCGAGTACTTTTCAATCCACCCTCGTATAATTACCGTGTTTTATTTTCATTATCATTACTTTTAGATCACCCCTCGTAATATACTTAGTACGTGAGGGTAATATGGTCATCCGGTTAATATGGTCACTTTCCTGTAATTCAAAAACTATAGCCTTGTTTACATAGCTTTTTCTGTGATACGATAGCTCTTCGTCATTCAATTGAGTACTAAAAGGTCAAAAGGAAGCTGCTTTATCGACGCCATTTTGACAGTTGACATTATCAGCTTTTCACTAAATGCATATGAAAGTATATATGGTACTTATAACAAAAACACAATTTTTTATTTTTTGTCTGTCTGTCTGTCTGTTTGTTCCGGCTAATCTCCGAAATGGCTGGACAGATTTTGTTGGGACTTTCACTGGCAGGCAACTGATGTTATAAGTAGTAACTTAAAAAAAATTAAAAACCTAAATTAAATTACACGCGGGCGAAGTCGTGGAGAACAGCTCGTAGTAAATATTTTAGTCGATTTTATTATTGTGTCACTACAAATAAATTCGGAAATAATTCGAAATCCACTTAAAAATAAACTAAGTACACTTACTTAGTTTATTTTTAAGTGGATTTCGAATTATTTCCGAAGCATGTTTGTTATTTCTTTCTTAATATATTAGTTATAGTATACGACTTTGTGTTTTTGTCTCTGTCCTCCTCCTAGTTCTGGTTTTATAGTGCGACAAAGCTTAAGGTGACCATATTATCCTCATGTACCTTATAATATTTACAAGGCACACTCTTTTTTTTATTTCAAGCTGCAATACGCTCACACTTAAATAGTTATAAAAGTTTTAAAATACTTATAAACACTGCACGAGATCAAAGAATTCACTACCGCGGTAACAATCTCTTTCCGTGATAATGCACAACAAGAGCTAATACAGCAGATGCCGTGGCGACAGCGGAGGCCTGCGCGGTTGTGAGCGCTCCGCCCCACAGCCAGCCGCGCGGCAGCCAGCTCACCGCGTGCACCACGTCCAACAGTAACTTAGTACTTGTGAGAGCGGCCTGAGTGACACGTACGGGTGCGCATTTTGGTCTTTTAGGTGATTTGAGGATCTTTCTTGTCAAGTGCAAAGCGCGAAGAGACCTGTGGAAGGGGGAAATAATATTATTTAAAGTTAAAACCGGTGCGTGTTGCCAGTGATAACTTACGGAGCGGAAATGTGCTCCGTCACTGTTACATAAGGAAGCTCAAATTCATTCAGCGTGTTATGATTTATGCCCGGAATTACTCTGCGAGATAGAACGATAATATTATCTGTAGAAGAACAAGAACCGTAAAAACCGTATTTTTACGGATTTTATCACGTTAAATTTATTTACTTTTATGTTATAGACGTTTCGAATACTTTAAGCCTCCATGGTCAGTCCCCTGTGACCATGAGTGCTGAAAAGTACTTGGAACGTCGTGAACATAAATGAAAATTAAACGCTGTAAAATCCGTAAAAAAATGTTTAAGTATTTTAGTACATACCTACCTACTTTATTTTAAGTAACATCATAAATTATTTTTGATCACCTGCTTAGTCCAATGAATGCAGAAAGAGACCAGAAGAGCTTATGTGCTATCCGAATTCGTTCAGCTAGCTCTGGAGTCAGTTTCAGCACGCCGGTGTCTAGCAGCCAGACAAGTTTCTCCGCTTGTAGGTACGACAGCGTACACAGTCCATTAGTAAGGCCTAAAGTGCCCCAAAGCAAACCTTCCTAAGGAATAAGATATCGGTATGAATACAAAATTTGTATTAGTATGACTACCTATACATGTAATTTGATATAGATGATTTACAAATGACAATTTTTATGTTACCTTTTATGTTTCTGGGTTGATACCAGTTTAATTCATCATTTATTCCTAACACCACTCACTGTCCTGTCCTATTATTTTGACTAATGATAGTTCAGAAGTTGTGGTGCACAAATAAAATTAATTGTTCATATATAATAATGTATTGTCATTCCCACAATAATTTCCTTAGTTAAACTAAATTACTACAGTTACGTAAAGTCGAAACTATTGGCCTAACTACTGAACTAACTACCGAACTAACTACCGAGGAGGCCACGTGACGGGGGGCGACTGACTTGCCTAGCGGCGGCTCACTAAATATGCTGATTCCACACATGACGTACAGTCGCCACCTACATGTTTTTCCTCGTTTATAAAGGAACTTATAGTATTTTTTTTATTATATACCTAATATGAACATATTAACATAATTATCACTGACCTATGTTAGTCTAGGCTTAGTTTAAACGACTTCGGGTACCAAATTAACTTGGGAAAACTATGAAAACTTTAAGCGAAATTCCATCAAAACTTTGTCTTCGGCGAATAGGTTATTATAGTTCATCTTTTTTTTAATTTACTAAAAATGTTGAAAACGTCATAAAAGTTTTCCATATAATAAGAAAACGAACCAGAAACGCTAGTCGTAGTCTAAGTTTAACTTCCCTGGCCGCGAAAAAGACAATAGTTAAACAATCGAAATGATCATGTATGACTCACGAGACAGTGAAATTGTTATCTTCTTACTTGCTTTCCAAAACCATATCTGAAGAGAGCTCTGAGCGCGGCGGCATCATCGAAGAGACGCAGCGTTGCGCGCGCCCCGGCGACCCGCACGCTCGCTGTCAATAATGGCGGACTTTTCGTAGTGGCGCCCCAGAGCTTTAGTGTGTAACTCACAAGCGACACCACCTAAGTATTTAAATTTTAATACAGTAATAACACAACATGGGTGCTCCGGTGTACGAGTAACGGTGTAAGACCACGCACTCTCAGAATACCAGCGTGGAATAGAAGCTTAAGGCTATATTTCGTATGGTGATTGTAGAGAACCGGAACCCTTTTTACTGGAAAAGAGGCATTCCATCTTAGTCCTCAGGGCATAATAAATAACAATGCATCTGAATTTTGATCCTTCATCATCATCATCGTCATTACAGCCTTTCATAAGTCCACTGCTGAACATAGGCCTCCCCCAAGGAATGCCACAAAGCACGGTCCTGAGCCACCTGCATTCATCGACTTCCTGCATGTCTTACCAGGTCGTCACTCCATCTCGTCGGGGGCCGTCCTACACTTCGCCTACCGGTACCAGGCTGCCACTCGAGAACCTTTCTTCCCCATCTGTTGTCGGCTCTTCGAGCTATATGGCCGGCCCAATGCCACTTCAGCTTACTAATCCGTTGGGCTATGTCGGTTACTCTGGTTCTACTGCGGATATCCTCATTTCTAAGTTTATCACGCAGAGAAACCCCGAACATAGCCCTCTCCATAGCTCGCTGAGCGACTTTGAGCTTCCTGATACGGCCAGCAGTGAAGGACCACGTCTCAGATCCGTAAGTCATCACTGGCAACACGCACTGGTTGTACAATTTCGTTTTAAGGTATGTCTAATTTTGACCCTTAATCGAGGATAAATGTAGATGCCTATGGGCCACAGTATGAGGTGTACTGTGTGCTCATTTGTCACCCTTATTCTAATAAAAGCTAGTCAGTCCGCAGACGTCGACCATCGTGGTCGAGTGCTTAGAATATTGGCTACTATGTCGCGGCTCCTGGGCTCGATCCCAGTCGGTACCAAAATTTGTGCATAATCATAAATTGATGACTCCTATGTAGCCTACCTCTGACCGTATCACATAAGCATTACGTCGGAACGAGTAGGTTCACAAGTAACCCCGAACGCGTTCCGCTTGTTGTGGTGGGGGGCTTAGTAGCCATGGTTTTTTATGTATTCTACGTACCACGTTTTTTCGAAATCAGTGGCTTGTCGGTACTTTGATGTTTTTTGTTTTCATTTCTCATAATTTTTTATTAATTTTATATATTGTTTTAGTCTCTATTCTTTATTTTATTCGTTTTTATCGTTTACAAATGTCGTTGATTCTTAGTATATTTAGTTCTGTTTTAATGAACATATCTTATATAATATTAGGACATATGTATGTGCTCGTATGTGTAATTGAAATAAATAATAAATATTTTTTTCATTTTTTTATTATTATTATTAAAGAAAAAATTGACACCTAATTCAGCCGCCATCTTGGATTTACATTTCGACAGCACTATCGGCTTCAACAACCTCGAAACCCATGAAAATGACACCCATGATGAAAAAATTGATACCTATTGCAGCCGCCATCTTGGATTTACATTTTGACAGCAATCAGTTGTTGCGCTGGGGGCCGCGGGTTCGAATCCCGCACGGAACAAGTATTTGTATGGCCTACAAATAATTGTTCCGGGTCTGGATGTTTGTCCTTGTGCAATTTATGTTTGTAAACTGCCTCCACGACACAGGAGAATATCCTAGAGTGAGGGTAACGTTTTTTTTAAAGGAAAAAAAAACACCCTCGAAAACAATGAAAATTACACCCATGACGAAAAAATAGATACTACTTACTTTTAGTGCGGACTACTATTATTTATTCTGTGCTTTTAAAATATTGTAATCAAAAACATCTCTCATTATTATTATAATCAAGTATTTAAGAAATTTGGTTATTCGAATATTGTGTATTTATACAGCGATCTTTTTGAGCCGCTGCAAACAACCGTAACAATGTGCACTCACGATGCGATGGCGACTGACGGCGAACTTAGTGACGCAGTCTCTATTTAGTAATAACTTATTCATACAAGGCTGCGGAATACACCGAAAATTTCGCCATTTCGCAGCCGAAAAAAATTTATTATAACTAAACTAAACAAAATTAAACTGCCATTTACATTCAATGGCTTCCCACATGATAGATGAAGAGTTTTAAAAACATATTGAGTTGGACAATTGATATTTTCAAAAGTTATCGTATTTACAAGCGGACTTGATAAATTCACACCATAAGCCACTAAAACGCCTTTTTTATTTAAAACTAGCAATTAATCGATTTAAAAAAAATTATAAGTTCAACAATCATTTACCTTTTTGACAATCTGCTTTTTATATCACTTATATGTACAATATGATTACTACATACGATTTCATGCCACAAAACGTTGGAATCTTAATTTTTAGGCCATAGTAGAACATACGGACGCGCTAAGGCGCTTACGGCATGCAATATTTATTGATTTTGACAGATATTGGAAACAAGACTATTAAATTTCAATTTTTATCCATGATTAAGGCTAATATTTTTATTTTCGCTACTAGTTTTATTTCTTTATTTTTTACTATCATACCATAAGTTTTTTTTATAGGGCAAATTTTAATTTATTTTTAATCCCCATTCATATGTGTGAAAGAGTTAGATCTACATTTATCTTGATATCGTATGTCACGTGACCCGAGAAGATCACAACGATGTCGTCGACGAAGGCTTGACAATACACTCCGGGCTCTTCTAATTAATTTAGCAACAGATCTAAAAGCAAGTACCAAAATATGAGACCACCAATCGAGCTTTGAATGCACCCTTTTGTATTGTTTCTTGTAAATTCTTCGTTCGCGTATCTAACTGTAACTTTACTATTTGCAAAATAACTATTTATTAATCTACGTATATTCACAGGACACTTTGTCGCCATCAGTCTATTTTTATTTAGCCGGCCACCACGCGCTGTCGAAATCCCCGTCTCTGTCTAAGGATATTGCTATACTTATTTTCTTATTTCTCAGATTATTCTTGATGTGTAATACCAAGTCATAGAGGGAGTCATCCGTACAGCGCTGTGGAATTTCGGTTTATACAAAGGTACTCTGTGACGAACCCGTACCCGTACTGACGTGGATTTAATTTTGGTAAAATGTAATATTTCAGTCTTCTCACCATCATCTTTTCTAGGATCATACCCATAACAGAAAGGATATATCGGCCTGTATGATTTTGCAACGGAGTAATCAGTTTTTCCCGGCTTTATAAGTGCTAACAGTAGCTTCCTTCCATGGATCCGGAAAGTGTGATAATTCTAAGCACTTGTTCAACAAGGCTAAGAATATCTGCTCATCAACGTTTATTCGCCGTGGCACAGATGTCCGTTGTGAAGCCATCTGAACCTGGCGCCTTCCTTAGATGGAAGCTGCTGGTAGCGAATTGTAATTCGTTCGCTGTAAATGGAACATCCCAAATATCATCCGTAGTTTGAGTGCAAGAGGAACCCCTTGGCTGGCTCGTGGTGTAGGGCCGGTCCGAGGAGGCCAGTCCGAGTGGGCTTGGCGTGCCCACTTCGGATGTGTGTCAGTGGCTGAGGAGGGGCTGCCAAAGGACGGTCTGCGCTGGTGGCGCCTCGGATGTGTGCGAAAGCGTTCCCGTGGTCCTGCTAATATACGGCGAAGGTAGAACACTATGGGGTTTTAGTCGGTGCGAGTCCGACATAACCCGTCCTTGCTCCCGCGAGGCGGGTATACGTAAGCATTTCCTCATTTAAAAAAAGGTTCACAAGTAAGTGCAGATACATTAACGCAAAACGAGCACTCGAAAGCACCAGGTGCTAAGTAAATTGGAACTTTAACAATTTCAATAGTGTCAACTCCGCCACTTAACTTTTACATTATTACTGGCATTAAAAAAAGATTAAAACAATCTAATTTTATTTTTGATAGATTACGGGTCACAAACGTACACACAGTCCAATTTAGTTGTTACTGTAAGTGGATGCTGTAGATATCTGCATCTATCCTCGATAAAGCATTCAAATTAATGCTGATGCGTTGTCATTGTCAGCCGTAAGGATAGGTGGTCTCCTAAACTGGCCACACTAATCACAGTGGAATTAAACTGCTATTTGACACTGGTATTCTGTGAGAGCGTGGTCCTTCCCCGGTTGAGCTGGCATACTATAGCTGCTGCAACCATATTATAGCTGCAGTGTAGTAATCATACGAATAGTTTGATTGAAATTTTACGAACATTTGTAGTATTCAAAATGAATAGGGATAAGAATTAAAAATATTATATTATAATATTATTTCATTATTTTTCAATACATGCATAGTACATGGACTACAGAAGACTTCTAATTGCGAGAATGTGGGAGGGGTCGGCATTTTTGACTAGTCTAGCGGCTCCGGGCGACAGAAACTACGGGGAACTTGTATGGAATACCTGGACCAGCAATCCTTGCTACGCCACGCCACTGAGTGTAGTTTAGAATTCCTGTATATACTTATTAAACTCTTTGGTTTAGAACCAAACTTATGTTCCTCGCGTAGGTAGTATGAAATAAAGGGTAATCGCTCTAGCCTAGAGCTAAGGTTACCTACCACCCAAAATCACTCATAACTGGACTATCATAACATACACGTATATCATAAAATTGAATTTGTTGCTTCAGTACTATCTTAAAATTTATCAGTTTCTACTTTTAGCTAAATCAGAATTCTATTATTTAAAAAAAAATACAAAATTTACAGTTATCGTTACAGCCTATCAAAGTCAACTGCTGAACATAGGCCTCCCCCATAGATTGCTTTATAGATAGGATATTTGCCATGGTATATGGCCGCTTGATATGCGGCTTGGCAGCTGTAGTTTATTTTTTATTTTTAGTTATTGTTAGAAAGACACTGCCCCATCTCCTGGTTTGTTGCCGTCTGTCGTCTCTTACAACGCACACGGGACGATATGGGGTAGAAGATGTACTTAATAAAGTGTCTTAAATCTATACAAATGACACAGTATTGCGAAATTTAATAGAGGGACTCAGTTTCAAAACATGCAAAGAGAAGAAAAGCGTGGGAGAAAACATTGCGAGCATAGAATGAGAAATCGATATATTTTACACACACGCACGCTCGCTCGCACAAAAGTAAAACAGACCGGCCGACTACAAGAACTAAAAAGAAAAAAATCCACATAACAGGTAAAGGGGTACAGTCGAATCGAGAACCTCAACCACTACATATGTATTCGCCTTTCAGTAAAATCGGATTTTTACTGACATAGAATGCATCTCTCGAACGAACTTTGACTTGAGAAACCGACGCAAACGTGTACTTTTAACCGGCATCAAAAAGGAGGTGCACTATGTTACGCGATATCTTCGCAGGTTGTGAACCAATTTTGATGATTCTTTTTTTATTAAATAGGTTATACTTTAAGGGTGGTGCCATATAAATTTTGAAAAAAAATTCCACCGCTAAGGGTAACAAATAAATAACTTCATTTTTAACAATTTGAAGTTGGTTTTTACTTTTTGTTAAGTTATAATTATTTAAGGCAGATTAAACTTCGTAATAATTACGTTTTATTACATGTTCATGACCGTTACCTACTGCTACTGTTACTGTGCTACTAATTTGAATCTTTTGGCTACAATAAGCGAATAATAGTTAGACTGTGGTGGGGCCACAGTCTAACTACTACTATTTTATACAGGGATCCCACATAATACATAATATTACGATGTACCTTATAGGTATATACATAAGAAAACAAACACTTACCTTGTCACGGTCCGCGTGAGCCTCTAGAAGGCTGCAAATTTCTTCGACAAGCGAAACCATGACTAATTTTACACTTACACCTTCCTACAACATTTAATATCTACATGTACAATCTAAAAGGTCATGTGTAATTACCTAGTACAAATATTTTATCGTAACTTCTTACGATAAGATAATTGTAATATTATGTAGATTTAAGCTAATGGATTTTAGAACATTAAGTTCAACACATTTTGTAGTGGCTGGTGGCGCAGTGTCCTAAAATCTATGGACATCTGAGAGAACGATAAACTCAGACCAGTGACATCTGTACAGAGTCTGGAACTGCGAACGTTAGTCGGCTTGCTATGTAGTCAATATAGCGTCCTTCGTCTTTAGTAACGGAACACTCAATGAGTATAGTAAGAATAGGGGGTGTTACAACTTGTAACATAGGCATAGCAGAGCCTTAACATAGAAGTGTTCCAATACCACAGCAATACACACAATAACACAGCGACAGTACAGTTGTGGGGATACCATTCTAATGTCAAAAAGCGCAATTTCTATAAAGCTGATTATGAAAAAATTCGTGAACACTTAAGTAAAATTAATTGGGATATGCTATTCATGGGGCTAAATGATATAAATAGTATTGTTTCAGTTTTTTACAAAATTGTAAATTTAGCAATAGAAAAATTTGTTCCACGGAGTACGATCAAAAGTGATAAATAAGGTGAGGTGTAGACACAAAAAATATAATAACGCAATGGATTTACTCAGCCTAAAGTTACTTAATAAGAGATGTGATAAATTAGCTAAGACCTGCTACAACGTTTATATAAAATCTATAGAAGATAATATTGTTACAAATTCTAAAGTTTTTTGGTCTTACATCAAAAATAAACGGCATGGCAATAGTAAGTATCCGAGTGCAATGTCTAATGGTAGTGTGATGACAACAGATGCGACTGATATATGCAATCATTTTGCCTCACATTTCTCCTCAGTATACACCGTAGACAATCCAAATGGTCTTAATGAAAATGATTCAAATAACCAATATTTAACATATTTAGATAATAATAATTATCATTTTGGCACTTTGGTTTTGGATGAAAAATCAGTTTTAAAAAAATTAAAGGGCTTAGACCGAAAAAAAGGACCTGGTCCAGACTCTATTTCACCTTATTTCATCGCTGAATGTGCCATAGAACTGTCTACTCCTCTTTGTTTTATATATAACAAATCCTTACAAACAGGATGCTTTCCAGATATATGGAAGCTCGCAAAAGTTGTCCCTATACATAAAGTGGATGATGATACTTTAGTTAGCAATTATAGACCGATCTCAATATTATCAACCTTTCCCAAAATATTTGAATCATTAGTATGTCCCTATATCCAAAATTATACAAAACAGTTTATTACAGATGATCACTTAGTAAGTTTATAATTTATATTATAGTGATCACAGCAGAACACAGAATGACTTTGTCCGAATATGATTCGACTCGACTCCACTTAATGTAAGTTTATAATTTATATTATAGTGATCACAGCAGAGCACAGAATGACTTTGTCCGAATAAGATTCGACTCGATTCTGCTTAATGTAAGTTTATAATTTATATTATAGTGATCACAGCAGAGCACAGAATGACTTTGTCCGAATATGATTCGACTCGACTCTGCTTAATGTAAGTTTATAATTTATATTATAGTGATCACAGCAGAGCACAGAATGACTTTGTCCGAATATGATTCGACTCGATTCTGCTTAATGTAAGTTTATAATTTATATTATAGTGATCACAGCAGAGCACAGAATGACTTTGTCCGAATATGATTCGACTCGACTCTGCTTAATGTAAGTTTATAATTTATATTATAGTGATCACAGCAGAGCACAGAATGACTTTGTCCGAATAAGATTCGACTCGACTCTGCTTAATGTAAGTTTATAATTTATATTATAGTGATCACAGCAGAGCACAGAATGACTTTGTCCGAATATGATTCGACTCGACTCTACTTAAACACCTACATACATTGCTGATGATGATACATCGCTGTCATTATTTATATGATCAAAACCAAAATTTGTTTTTAGCAGCTTTCGTTTTGGTTTGTTGCTAATAATTTACCTCTTAAAACAGTGACACTAAAATGTTTTAAATTTACGCTGTGTAAATTGGGTACACTTTACACAGAACGGATAACAATTCGAGCATTGGAATTGGTCCCAAACTGTTCGAGTTCTTATCCATTCGCCGGCTTGAGGGACAAACTATGGAGCTTGTGGATTCAGCAGAGTTCCTGGGTACCTATTAATAGGCAGCGACTTGCCCAGTCGCTACCTATCAATGTTAATGTTAATTTGCCAACTTCTCAATGTGTGTTCCACATTGAGAAGTTCTGATACTTTTGATTAACAGATATTAAAACATGAACTAATATAGCATGTATCATGTTATACTGTTACGTACTAGAAGCATTATACCCGCAACAATAAACTGGCCATTTCTAAATTTCGGTAAGGCCTTTTGATTAACAGATATTAAAACATGAACTAATATAGCATGTATCATGTTATACTGTTACGTACTAGAAGCATTATACCCGCAACAATAAACTGGCCATTTCTAAATTTCGGTAATCCAAAACTAAAAATTCGTTTTTAACCAAACTTATAAGAGATTGTACCTAATTAAAAAATAATAAAGTTGTTAAACGTTCCTTTACTACTATTATAAAATAGACGACGTATGAACGTATGGAAGTAAAAAAATGCACTAGTAATCGGCGGGCACAAAAATATAATATTTTAATTTCATTTAATAAATTGTAAAACGAGAGTTAAATGGTTCTTGCTAGTTCCTCGTGTAGAGATCTCACGGTAGATTTTTCCCTTTTATAAGAACTTCACAATATTATAAACCTAAATTAAATAAAAAATTTCTCGATTTAACTTGGAATAATTTATATTTTAGTACCTACCTCCTTATAATTAGTGAAAAGATATTTTAAAATATTTATGAAGATTTTATAGAAAAAGAGAAATCATTAAAAAATGCATCAACTATACATAATATTTACATTTGATAAAATTATGTCAAACACGATGTCATTTAAACTTTAGAAATTATCATAACCGTGATCCAGCACATAGTTATTAAAATTTGATTTTCAAGTTAAAAAAAAAGTAATTGGTAATTTTGCCAATTAGGTACTCGAACACAAATTCGATAAGTGATATTACACGATATTTAATCTGATAACAACTTGTTATAAATATACTACAGTATTTACCTATCGCTTTTAATCTGATATATCATGTACTATACAAAAACAACAAAAACATACAAGATAGTCAGACCATTTTATTTTATAAACTAGCTGATACCCGCGACTTCACCCGCGTTGCTTGATTTGCGAAGGAAAAAACCATCAAAAAGATCGCCAGCAAAAGTATACTTTGCTTACAAAATTTCTTTGTAAACAATTATTCGTTGCATATATGTATAATGTTCACTGAACACGTAGGACGTAGTGCTTATAAAAATCCTCGTTTCTTAAAACGTTAATAATTTTATATTAAAATGAAGATTTTGTTTATCCTATCGGCTTTGTCGCTCGTTTAGCACCACCCGGGGGACACGTGTAGGGTGTGCCTAGGGTTAGGTGGTCGAAGCCTACGGACGAGAACTACTCATCCCCCACGACGACGAGCGTGTATGCGTGGATATATGGATGTAAAGTCCAGGAAGTCAATGTATGTAGGTGGTTCTACATACATTGACTTCCTGCACCTCTTATCACTTGAGAGGCTGCCGCTTGACGTTTTCCATGGGTTCTCAGTTCTTCGAGCTATATCACCGGTCTATTGCTATTCTGACTTATTGATCCGTTGGACAGTCGATTACTCTGGTTCTACTGGGTATATCCTCATTATTAAGTCTATCACACAGAAAAACTCCGAGCATAACCCTCTCCAAAACTCCATAGTTCGGTGAGCGACCTTGAGCGTCCTCATACGGCCCGCAAGGATCACGTCTCAGATCCATATGTCATCACTCGCGACGCGCACGGGTTGTACACTCTTGTATTCAAATCTTAAGGTATTCGTTTATTTATATTGTATACGATATAAATAAATAAAAAAGTAAATTTAATTTTTCGGTGTTTTCTGACAGGATTGTGAAGCGGGAAGAATCCACCACGGTCTCCTTTTTTTATGAGGCCGCTCTATGATTTATCTTCATTACAGAAATTGGTAGTTAAAATAGTAATTTGTAATATTAGCAGTGTCATCAACAGGAATAGAGTTCAAGTTGCGCCTGTACTTTGAATAGACAGGTATACAGGGCTAATTTTCAAAAAGTAGCCAAATTTCAAACTTAAGTTCAAATATATAAAAAATGATATATCGTATATACAGTTTTTGCAAATACGAGTAAATAAGGTTTCTACTTTTATTTGAAATTATCCTGAACTGAATGTGATTTATGGGTAACAACATTTTTGCCTACCGATCGACCTTTACGAATATGTGCGTGCGCAGTAAAATCAGTTAAAATAAAGCATTACCACGCATTTTGCATTTAAAAGATAAATATGACAGAATGTTTGACATTTTTATATTATTGTTTCTTCGCCATTTGTTTGTCTATATTAATTATTTTGAACCTTCTCTACAAATTTAGCCGGTTATTGCAAAATAACCCTGTATAATCAAAGCGCCTGCATTATGAAAATGTATGTATGCGCTCTATGCTTTAGTTATATATTACATCTCTTTTTAAATATTTAATTAATAAAAATACATAAAAATGTAGAGAAATAAAACCAACTAGAAACGAAAATAATTGTTTATTATTTATATTTCTTAAGGAATTTTTTTAAATAACAAATTTACAATAACCATAAGATATTACAAATATAACAACCTTGATAACGTTGGAATAATATATTACGTAACCTTAAGTACCAACCACTTTATTTAAAATAAATTTGACACTCACTGGTAGCACATTCTGTGTCATGATAAGAAAATATTACATAATAATCTCATTATTTTAACTACCTATTAAATTAGAACAAAAGAATGTTTGTATTTTTTTTTATGAAACATCACATCTCAGGTGTTAGATAACCGACGAAGGTTTATATACAGCTGTAACTGTAACTTTTATTTTATATGAATAACTTTTACCTCACAAGGGGATATACAAGTAATACGTAAGCAAAACTCCTATGATTTTAGACCACCACAAAAATAAATTGCGAACTCCCTTTCTCCCCCCCCCCCCCCTCCCCCACCCCAATGATAAATCGCAAGAATTTTTTCAAAACTTTTATTAAATATTAACGTTTATTATATTTAAATGACTCAATTATTTTTAAAATTAAAGTGTGTATTAGTGTTTTAATAAAATTAGGAATTTAAGAATCACTGTCCACGGGCTCCGTATCCAAGTTTATAGATCATTAACTGTTGGTAATTTTTTTATCTTACGTAAGATTCTTAATATTCCCTTCTCCCCACTGTCTTTGTCAGCAAAAGTAAGAAACAATTGAACCCCTCCCCTCTCTCATCCTGCTTACGCAATACTTGAAAGCCCCCCAATTGAAAAATCAGCCTTTACGGTTATTTACACTATCACAGTTTTCCAGTACAATTTCGACCAGATTACGAGTAGTCGGTTTAAAAATTTTATACATAATGCAATTGTCGATATAAATAATTAAACTAATTCTGAATTTGCATCTGTAGATATTAAAAATTCAAATAGATATCAACATTTTTATCGAAAACTTGAGTCACTCTAACGTGAGATGGAAAGATACGTGACGGGAAGGAAACTCTAGTATTAAAACAAAATAAATCTAAAGCAGAGTCTGCTAAGATACTTATTGCGTATGTGCCTATAAAAAAGATATAAAATACATATAAAAGCCTACTCCCATCTCAAAGATCCAATCAATTCATCCAACAAAAGCAATCCAACTGCAATTTCTTCGACGCTCATGAGCGGCGGTGGTCACTTACTATCAGGTGAGCCGCAAGCTCACTTGCCAAATTAAATTAGGTGAAATAAATATATATAAAAAATTATAATATGAAATAAAAAAATTATCTGTTAAAGTTCAAGATACGGATAAAAATTATTTTAAATATACAATTGTTTCTAATAATATGATATTGGTTTATAGGATATGGGTGACAAACGAGCACACAGTCCATCTGATGGTAAGTGGTTGCTGTGGCCCATAGACATCTACATCTATCCTCTATTACAAATTAAAATGTAGATGCGTTGTCAGCCTTGAGGACTATGATGGAATGCCTCTTTTCCAGTAAAAAGGGTCTCCGGTTCTCTACACTCACCATAAGAAACACAGCAGCATTAAGCTGCTATTTTACGCTGGTATTCTGTGAGAGCGTGGTCCTTCCCCGGTCGAGCTGACCCATTCGTGCTACAACTATATTATAAATATAGCTGCAGCTTGGCTCTACCACGTACAATATTATGGAGGTTATGGATATTATACAGTTTACGCTCTTTTTCATATCATGTAAGTGCAATTATTCCGCTCTCTTTTGTAGGAAGAAATAAATTTCACGTTGTCAGTATGTACTCAACGGCGAAGGCCCGACCATAGGTATGTAAATTTTCACGCGGAGACTTACAATGTAAAACTGATAAAGTTAACACGTGCTTAAAACTTAAAAGTGAAGAAATAAGAATTCTGGTAAATATATTTTTGTTAAATAGTATGTATTTAAAATATTGGGTATTTTTATTTCGGATTCGTTTACAGAACAACTTGACATCCCTGGTATAAGCGTCAATAGGTGGTCACTTCAGTAATCGTTTTTTTGCAAAATATAACGCGATTCCAATAACAGAAGACGTGGTGGCGATTGCAGCGACTTTGGTAGGTCCTATCCTGTCGCCCCACAGCCAGCCGGGGGGTAGGCAGCTCACGGCGTGAGTTATGTCTAGGCACAGCTTGCCAGCGGTGATAGCCTGCAGGGTCAGCCTTACGTCCAAGTTTTGTCGCGCCGCTGCTCCACCGCTCTCCGAGCAAGTTTGTAGACAATCTCTACTCCACCATAGATGACGTATTGATTGGAATGTCCTGTTAATATAATTAAAAAGTTTAAGATATTAATATAATTAAATAGTTATTCATAATGAATTCCGGATAATAATTCAGGTTCAGCCCTGAATCTGAATGGTAGGGTGAGAAATAGTGTAACAAGTGAAAAGAGTGGTTTGCAAGATGACGTTGTGACCAGGATTAAGAAAGGAATGCTTCGGTGGCTTGGTCATGTAGGAAGAATGAACGAGGAAAGAGTGACAAAGCAAATTTATGTTGCAGAAGTGAACGGCGGGGTCGGGAAGGGACGCCCTAGACGAAGGTTTATCGACCAAATCGGCGATACATTGAAAATGGGCCAGATTACCCTTTACCGACGAGCGTGTATGCGTACATATATGGATGTAAAGGAGGCGAAAGAGGTGTTTCAGGATCGCGCCAAATCTGCGGGCTGTTCGAAAGAGATACCGCGGCTCCGGAACGTAAGGGCACTGAAGGAACACGGATGGTTTTTAGTCAGTAAAAGTCTGACACTCCCTTCCGCTCCACCCAGAGCGAAAGGCGTCATTTGATGATTTTCCATCCGCAAAAAAAAAAAAAAAAAAAGGATCGCGCCAAATGGAAGTCCGTAGTCTCTGCCTACCCCTCTGGGTGACAGGCGTGAGTGTTTGCGTGTGTGTGTTCCGGATAGTAAATTTTAAAAAAAACAAACCATTCGAGTTTCATCTTTAGACAATAAAAGTTGACAATCGCGGGCGTCTTCCGTTATATGGCCATAATCTCTACGCTTTTACTGTGTAGTGGCGATGTAAGAACTACTAGCCCATATCGTGAGTAGCGTAAGAAGCGACAGTGGGTATCAAAACCAGGAGATGAGCAGCAGCGTTTTCCAGCGTTGCAGGAAACCATAGCAAGTATCTCCTTTATGAGAGAGGTATATATGTTCAGCAGTGGAATTCGATTGGCTGGGGCTGTAATGATGTCAATTTGGCAGTACCAGACGTCACTCAACTTTAACGCTCCTCTTCATCGTTGTTCTAGGTTTTTTTAATAGGATAAGGGCGACAAACGAGCACACAGTCCACCTGATGGTAAGTGGTTGCTGTGGCCCATAGATATCTACATCTATCCTCGTTTGCGAATCAAAATGTAGATGCGTTGTCACCCGTGAGGACTAAGATAGAATGCCTCTTACCCAGGAAACACGGCAGCGTTAAGCTGCTATTTTACGCTGGTATTCTGTGAGATCGTGGTCTTTCCCCGGTCGAGCCGACCCATTCGTGCTACAACTTTTTAGAATAGAATAGAATAGAATATTTTTTATTCAATATACATTACATGTGTAATTCTCATTGAAAGTCATTTTTTACTTTACCACTGGTTCGAAAAAAACCCTCTGTCCTGGGAAGAACCAGCAAGAAACCCAGCGGGACTTTTTTTTAAAAATAAATTTTACAATATAAATGATTACGAACTATTTACAAAATTTATTTTAGAAACTGCTTGGAAGCGACCACCTCATTCCCAGGGGCTATTATCAACCATGTATTCATTTATACTATAATAACCCTTTTTATACAGTTTCAGCTTAGTAAAACATTTAAACTTGGTAATAGAGAGAACCTGTACACTTTCCGGGACCTTGTTGTAATAGCGTATACATTGCCCCAAGAATGAATTACTGACTCTGTGGAGTCGAGAAACTGGCATTACTAGCTTGTGTTTGTTCCTAGTGTTTACAGAATGTATATCACTTTTTTTACTAAAACTATCTTTGTTTTTGTGAATATACATTAAATTTTCGTAAATATACTGAGAGGCCAAAGTTAATATATTAATTTCTTTAAATTTATCTCTAAGAGACTCTCTCGGTTTTAGATTGTAAATAGCTCTAATGGCCCTCTTCTGTAAAACAAAAATAGTTTCTGAATCAGCCGCATTTCCCCATAGCAAAATCCCATAAGACATTATGCTATGGAAATAACTAAAATAAACTAATCTAGCTGTCTCGACACTAGTGAGACCTCTAATCTTTTTTACAGCATAGGCTGCAGAACTTAGTCTGCTTGCTAATTTGGATATATGGGGGCCCCACTGGAGCTTTGCGTCATGAGTGATGCGAAGAAAAACTGTGGATACAACAGGGCTCAATTCCTCCCCATTTAAAAACACATTGGTATTCAGATTTTTAACATTCGTTGTTGTAAATCTAACAGTTGTGTATCGCTAGCAACGCAAAGTCGGGAATTTGCATTTGGTAAAATCCAAAATTTTTATTAGGGGCGCCTTGTTACTGCGTATGCTTGCAGCACCTAATTAGCACCTAATTCCTTGCTATTAATATTTATCGTATATTTAATAAGTTCATTGCGTTGCTAGCGAGACGTTTTGCTAGCAATACAAATTTCAATCGTTCGTTGCGGTGAAAATTTTAGAGCACCTAATTTTTAAACTTGGCACCTAATTAGCATCTAAAAAGCGCCTAATTTGGGATTTTTCCAAATGCAAATTCTCGACTTTGCGTTGCTAGCGATACACAACTAAATCTAACACGTTTTATTTCCGTTCAAATGCAGATTATTAACGTTAAACCAATGCACTAATTTTGATATAGCATTATTCACTTCGTCACATTTAAATGATTGACGTTTAAGTTTAAAAATCAAGGAAGTATCATCAGCAAATAATACTATATCATGACTATCCCCTACAAGGTGAGGTAAGTCATTAATATACACCAGAAACAGGAGAATCGAGCCCTGAGGAACACCCATTAGTACAGGTGACCCGGAAGAACTTTTACCATTGATAATAACCTTCTGTTTTCTATTACTTAAATATGAAATAATAAGTTTAAGCGCTGTGTTCTTGACACTATAGTACTGTAGCTTCCTGATTAATGTCTCATGGTGGACACAGTCGAAGGCCTTGGAAAGGTCACAAAATATACCCAAAGCATCCTCTGAATTCTCCCATGCACAAAAAATATGTTTAATAAGCTCAACTCCAGCGTCAGTTGTCGAGCGACCCCTTGTAAAACCGAATTGATTTTTATGTAGCAATTTATTAATATTAAAGAAACTTAACATCTGATCTAAAATAATTTTTTCAAAAATTTTACTTAATGTTGGTAGTACAGAAATTGGTCTAAAATTGGCGGGGTCTAATGTACTACCAGATTTAAATATAGGTATGACTTTACTATGTTTCATTAAATCAGGAAACACACCAGATTCGACGCTTATATTAAATATAGTGGCTAGATAAGGTGCTAATATATCTATTATAGATAAAATAACTTTAACGGAACTATACTGCTAATATAGCTGCAGTATGGCTCTCCACGTATACAGGTCTTTTACGTCTGCCATGCCGCCTTTAAGCGATTATACTTCAAGTTATCGAAAGCATCGAGATCTTTCTGGCATGTCCGCTAGTTGCTTATTACGACGTCACCGGGACGAATTGTATGATTCGACTCTCCGACGTCGCCACCACGCGGCAGTGTAGTGTAATATGTAAGTAATACGAGTATAGGTTAAGGAAAATAAGTGCTAAAATTAAAAATGTTGTACAACCGACTTCAATACAAATAAAATGAGAACATCATCAATGTAGTCGAAGTCAATTTAATACACATTATTAAGGATAATTCAAAAACTACTAGTCAGATCTTGATCAAATTTACATGGGAACACATGAGAAGCACTAGCTTTCAAATAAAAGTATCATCAAAATCGGTTCACCTTTTATTTATAGGAGAGTACACGTCAATTTGAAAAATCTTCTAAAATTTACAAAATAAAAAAAACTTCTTAATGTGAAGAAAGTATCAGAATGTTATTCCCATTTCTCGAGTGTTCCTGCTGTCAATCTCGTTACAGAGTATCAGCTATGGTTTTCAAAGTGGAAACGGGAGCTCAAAGAAAATACTGATACAAAATTTCCTAAGCGTGTGGTTTCTACAATCGAGGTTTGCGACGATGATCTCTACCCAAATAATATAAAGACTGCTGAGAATTCTGGCAACTCTTCCTATAAGCGGTGCGACATCAAAGAGATGATTTTCTACGCTAAGGCGTGTAAAAACTTTGTTGAGAGCAGACATGTTAGAAGAGAGACTGACAGGTCAGGCCCGTCTGGGTTCCTACCCACGCTTTGACATAATACCAGAGTAAAATATCAGTTCAATACTTCTGTGCTTCGAATGGTGAATGTAGAAAACAGGAGACCCTTTTTCCTGGAAACGGGGCAATCCATCTCAGTCCTCAGGGATGACAACGCATCTGCATTTTGATATTTAATTGACGATAAATTTGATGTCTATGGGCATCAGCATTCACTTACCATCAGGTCTACTGTGTGCTCATGTGTCACCCTTATACTATAACAAAAGTTATGTAGTAGCTTACAGCATAATATAACTAAACATGTTTAAACATAGCTCCGTGGCGCATTGGCTTAGCAATTAAGTTGCAGCGCTAAGAGCCGCGGGTTCGAATACCGCACGGGACTTCTCTTCATCTTCGGCCTCATCACTCACGTATGCAACACAGCTATATTGTGCTTATTTTACACCTGGTATTCTGTGAGAGCGTGGTCCTTCCTTCACTGATCAACTCGATTTTACCTATCTAGTTTCTGTGATGTTAGTGCTGTTACCCTATGCGGCTCTTACAGCTTCATCGGACACAGGGCTCGTGGCCGGAAAGGTCAAGAGCTATAAAAAGGGGGCGGGTGGAATGGGGGGGGGGGGAGATTATTTATTTTAAAGCAACGTTGTGAAAGCGACGACGTTAAAATCAATAATATAGGGGTGGGATTTATTGTGTTCAGTAATCACATCATCATCATCACATCAACATCAAATACCTACTCCTTGATGCCGCCAAAAATCATAACATGACATGGGTGAGTTGCGTAACCGCCGTCCGAACAAGGGGTGGCGGACCCCGGCTCTGACGGCTAACTCATAACGTTCGATGTTCTGGGCGGTGAGAACCGCCCAGGGATGCGGGTGTACGGTGTGTACGCGATCTGGAGGGGTGTCCGGCGCGACACTCTGCGGACTCGCTGCGTCCCGTCCGTTGTTGACCTAAGTGTTTGTGGCACTAGGTGAGTTTGTAGTGTTTGTGTGTGACTTGCCGGCGACATTTCAGTCGTCGGAATCTAGCGGAACAGGGGGTTCGATTAGAATGTTGCGGGCATTCGCAGGGTTTGCACAACGTTCCGAGTCGGAGCGTTCTATTTTACCTATCGGACCTATTATGGAACATGGATCGAAAATCGTATGAATGATAAATGTATGAGAGATGTATGTTAGACAAAGAGCCTGCCTCAGCCTGTCTACACATACACACGCTCCAGACAATAGGAATTGCATACCAATTTTTATTTAATTTAGATTGACTAGTGAACACGAATGTGCCGATCCGACACAAAGATTGCGACACTTAGAGCTCAAGTAAAACGGGACGTTTAATTGATTGATTGAGCCGAAGTGATTTTACATGAACATGAGCTCCAGTGGCCACATCAGGTGGACTGAAGGCTCTTTAGTAACAAAATAAAAGCAATTGTTATGACTGTGTGTCCAGACTAATGATCGGTATATGTATGCCAGTTTCTCGACTCCACAGTCGGTAATTCAATTCTTGGGGCAATGTATACACTATTACAACAAGGTCCCGGAAAATGTACAGGTTCTCTCTATTACCAAGTTTAAATATTTTATTAAGCTGAAACTGTATAAAAAGGGTTATTATAGTATAAATGAATACATGGTTGATAATAACCCCTGGGAATGAGGTGGTCTTCCAAGCAGTTTCTAAAATAAATTTTGTAAATAGTTCGTAATCATTTATATTGTTTATTTAAAAAAAATTAATTTTTTTTTAAAAAAGTCCCGCTGGGTTTCTTGCTGGTTCTACCCAGAACAAAGGTTTTTTGTTTCGAACCAGTGGTAAAGTAAAAAATGACTTTCAATAAGAATTACACATGTAAGATATATTGAATAAAAATTATTCTATTCTATTCTGTATTTGTACATTACATTACGTTATTTTGAGCGAGGGTTACATAAAATGAATTTGTTTTCACAAATCAATACTTACTGTAACAAGGATATATAAAGACCGGCGGCCCAAAGCACCGTACTAATGACGTCCAATTTTTCAGCAGCCTGCGGCGACAGTCGCAAGACGCCCACGTCGTGCAGCCAACAAGCCTTTTCCACGGGCAGGAATGCTTGATCGACGATGTTCGCCAATACGCCCAGGAAAGCTGCCATTTTTGTCGATTCCTGTTTTTTTTTTTAAATGGTGTTATTAGTATTTTAAACGTTATTGTAAATTTAGAGAATTGGAGACAATTATTACTGGTTATGAGGCATTTCACGTTAGTCCTAGGTTGCCGTGGTTAACTATGACATTGGGAGGTCATACACCTCAGTCCCCCCCGTGACCATGGGTGCTGTAAAGTACTCGAAAAATCCGTAAAATTAGTTTTATTTAAATTTTCTTTAATACAAAACATTGTTTTATTCAAAAAAAAAAAACAAATACTGTTGAAGGAACATATTCTATTAAATTCTTCGCTTAAAATTGAATAGTTAAATAGATGTATACTCTATTTAAAATAAAATTACACTTATTTTTGATCATTGTAATTATTTATCTCATAAAATTAAGTGGCTATTTCAAGAGATTTAGATATAGTATTTTACATTATTCAAAATTCCAAAGTCATCGCTAAGAACCTAAACTAAGCAGCCGGGCTATTCACAATCGTCTCGGAAAGCGAATTCGACTCGGATTCGATAACTTCTCGCACCGAAACCAATAAACGCTATTCACATTTAACGTTCGGATAAAGGTCACTTAGATACATCCCATAACTATTGTATCGTCATTTAGTTACATGCATTTACGATATTTACGAATTTTGTAGATAAATAGGCTTTTGTATTTTTTTAGAGTAACGCCTAAACAAAAACATAATGCAATATTTTGGTGTTAGCCATTGATATCGAATATAAAAAATATATAATTTAACTATATAATAAATAACAAAAAAACTGAGATATGTCTCGTTTCACAAAGCAGCATATATATAGGTATATTTGTGATAGGAAACATAAAAACACACCTTTCACAAAAATTCAGCTTTACGATTAAGTGCAAATATTGAAGTAATTATATGAAAATACGTCTTATAGATAATTGTAATTAATTTTTGTTACCTACCTTATAATTAAAAGGGTTTATTTATCTCTCCTAATCATCAATATTCGAAAAGTTTTCGCCAGCCTCAGAGCTCTCGTAAAGTTTCCGATGCAAACTGTCACAATTATCGAAAACAAACGTCAAAGAACGCCCCATAGAAAAAAACCCAGACCCGACAGAAACGAGACATATCTCAGTTATTTTGTTATTTATTATATAGTTAAATTATATATTTTTTATATTCGATATCAATGGCTAACTCCAAAATATTGCATTATGTTTTTGTGCAGGCGTTACTCTAAAAAATTACAAAAGCCTATTTATCTACAAAATTCGTAAATGCATGTAACTAAATGACGATACAATAGTTATAGGATGTATCTAAGTGACCTTTATCCGAACGTTAAATGTTAATAGCGTTTATTGGTTTCGGTGCGAGAAGTTATCGAATCCGAGTCGATTTCGCTTTCCGAGACGATTGTGAATAGCCCTGCAGGGGTGGATAATACCGAGGAAGTTTTTAATTTCATTGTTAATTTACCAAATTTAAACAATAAACTTAAATTATTTGTAATAATCCCTTGATAAGTTGTGATGACAGGGTTTTTCTAATTTTACCGGTTTATGATGTCAACCGATTTTTTGCGTAAAAAATTCACTTATGAATTATGTATGATATTTTTTTCTTATTTTTATTGTTTTTTTACCTTTATTACTAGTGTTTTTAAGTTGTTGTGGGAAAACATTTCGTTTAGTTGAAAAATGGGGTAATCTAAGTGCGAGCGCGAGTGACTCACAACATGCAATTCCTGAAACTGACCAAAGCCAACGGCGACCAAAAAGTGCCCTCAATGTTGACTTTGACAAAATTTTAAATTACTTAAAACATAGAATAAACAACTACACTGTGTTTCATAAAAGAAAACTGTCATAAATATTTTTGAAGAAGTTTCGGAGTCCTGATCTGCAGGTACACCTTATAAAACTCATATAATTAACAAAAGAGTAGGACGTTGCAGGTCATCACACAATATTTGAAAATAATATGGCAATCTTGCTTTGTTCTTGTAATTAAAAAATCATTGTTATTAAAAATGACTGTCATTTCGTTAGTCTAAGTATTTAGTACATTCTTTCGTACATACCACTAATTTTAACATAATTAGGAATAACAAATAGTTTTATCAACCTAGGGCAGGGGTCGGCACTTTTGAGTCGGAAGAGTCAAAAATTACAATTTTTCACTCTTCCGATTACAAAAGTTTTTAAAGAGCCACAATTTTTTTTCTTGCGAACCTAAAATAGTACTTGCATAAATAAAGTTTTTTGATTAAAAAAAAAACTATTCTATTTATTCATAAGAAAAATATATATTTATTCATATATAAATAGTGTTTTTCACAATAAATTAGAATCTAATTTCTATTATCATCTAATTATTAGATATTGGTCTTATTATATAAAAAATAGAAAATTTTAACTTTACTAAACAATATAACTTTTACTTGAAAATAAAAAAAAACAATAACATACATTTAAGCAAACAAATTCAATGGGAGCGTTGGCTTTGCATGGTTTTAGAAAGTTTGGATAAATATGGCTCATTACTTGTTGTTATAAGTTTCAAACACGACTCTGAATTTTCATTTGTTAGTTGGCTTTTTACTTTACTTTTAATTATATTCATACAAAAGAACGCTTGCTCGCACGAATATGTCGATCCGAAGATAGTCAGCACTTCAAATGCCAACTTCTTCACCTCACTCTAGCAATCTGGAAGACTATTCCATATAAGTGCCTTAACTCGCGGCATTTCTTTTAAAGCTGTTCATTTTTATTTCGTTCATTTTTTTACGTACATACGTAACGCAACAAAAATGAACAGCTTTTCTGAACATTTCTGGACCTCCAACTCTTTCAACTTGCTTTTCAACTCTGTAAATTTTCTAACTCCACAAAGCTTTACTTTTTAAATCGATCAATTGCATTTCTAAAGATCCAGCACGAACTCCAAATGGCTTAGTGTGGATGGATTATTAAATGTTTTTTTTTTATAAAATAAATAATATTTGCGTATGAAAGTAAAGAGCCGCAACTTCATATCCAAAGAGGCGCATGTGGCTCGCGAGCCGCAGGTTGCCGACCCCGGGCCTAGGGTAATTAAGAAAAATTTACATGTTTTAACAATAATACATTTCTCAAAGTAATTGATAGAATCAGGCGTTACTTTGCGGAAATCCATTATAATGGGGTTGTTATAAACTAATTTGCTTAGTTCGGCATAAAGAAAGAAAATGAGCGGCCAGCCTCCGCAGAGTCTACTTCACCTGAGGATGCCTCGTGTAGAGGCGAAACACGTGTCGTATTTTCGAGAGTGGTGTGTCGTGCCTAGTGTGCTGGTGCTGGGGGTGATAGTGCTGGGATTAACGGCGACGGGTATAGTGCGCGCGATTGAGGGAAGGTGGGAGGGAGGTTAGAGTAGGTAAGAGTACCCGCTACCCAATATCATCCCGTGGATGTTGTAAGAGACAACAGGGCGAAATGAAACTACAGGCGGCAGCTGATAAAAATTCAAAATAAAATAAAAACTCAGGTTCTAACCCGCCTGTAAAGCGTTGCCACTATGTCATATATTTCTCTATCCGTATGAGGCAAGCCGTGTAGTGGCGGTTAAGAATATCCACTACCCCATATCTTCCCGTGGGTGTCGTAAAAGGCGACAAAGGGAAACAGGCAGGAGATGGGCAGCAGCATCTTCCTGATAATAGCCAAAATAACAATAAAAAAACTGCGGTTGCCAACCCGCTCGCCAATCGTGGCAACTATGGCAATATACCCCCCATGAGCAATGACAATAATAAACGGCCCCCAGTCCCCGGCGGCCCCGCTATTCCTGGCTACGGTGGCGACCATGGTAACGGCGGGGCAGGGGGTGCTAAGAATCTCCGGTGGAGGTTCGGTTGCCACCTACGACGACTCGACCTGGCAACATACAACGCACGCACCCTGAGGACTGACGAGAAGATTGTGGAGCTGGAAGAAGAGATAGACAAGTTACGCTGGCATATTATAGGATTATCCGAAGTCCGAAGAGAGGGGGAGGACACGGTAATCCTCGAATCCGGCAACTTGCTCTATTACCGGGAGGGCGACCATCTGTCCCAAGGAGGTGTCGGATTTATCGTCCACAAGTCTCTCGTTAACAACGTTGTAAAGATTGAGAGTGTGTCGACGAGGGTTGCGTACCTTATACTCAGAATCACCAAACGGTATTCGCTGAAGGTCATACAGGTTTACGCACCAACCTCGGCACACCCCGATCAGGAGGTGGAGGAAATGTATGAGGATATCTCTAGAGCCATGCATTCCTCCAAAACCCAATATACGGTGTTAATGGGAGACTTCAATGCAAAACTAGGCACAAGAGAGAACGGTGAGCTGAAAGTAGGGAAATTTGGAATAGGGCAACGGAACCCAAGGGGCCAGCAGTTGGCTGACTTCATGGAGAAAGAGGGACTCTTTATGATGAACTCTTTCTTCCAGAAGCGGCCCCACAGGAAGTGGACCTGGTCGAGCCCCGTCGGTTCGACAAAAAATGAGATTGACTTCATTATGACGACCAGACGACAACTGTTCAGTGATGTCTCAGTGATCGCGAGGGTGAAAACCGGCAGCGATCACCGAATGGTTAGAGGCACACTGAACCTAAACGTTAAGTTGGAGAGGTCTCGTCTAATGAAGTCAACGCTCCGTCCCCCTCGTGCTCTAATCCAAGGTCCCGAAACCTTTCAGCTCGAGTTACAAAACCGTTTTCAGTGCCTAGAAGACTGCAATGAAGTGGACGATTTGAATGACAAGCTCGTGGAAACTATCCATGCGGTCGGAGCTAACTTCTGCAAGACCCGCCGCAGAAGAACACAAAAACTCTCCGATCACACTCTTAATCTCATGGCTGTTAGACGGGAGATGAAGCTACATTCTTCAACAGATTTAACAGCATACAGGCAACTGAACAGACAGATCTCCAAATGCATGCGGCGGGACTTACGCAAATTCAATACAGCTCGTATTGAAGAAG